TGGCTTGCAGGTGGATTACTACCCAGCCACTTGCTCACCCCCCTCCTCATCTGGAAGTGGAGAGAAACGGGAAGAATAGGAAAGAGGAGAAACTTTGTGGGTTGAGATGAAGACAATGAAATCGTTTTCAGGCAAAACAGATTCTACTTGGGGAAGAGTGATTTAAGTTGTTGAGAATTGGAAACACAGCTATGAATTTGGGTAGTGGGAAACAAAAACAAACTTGGAAACACCTTCCCCTCACCCCCTTCCTAGGTTCATCTTCACTCCTGACATACCTACTTGTTACTTCCCCCACAGCCCTGAGTAGTTCAGTGGGGATGGGGGGTTAGCTTACCTCTGCCACTCCTTCCTTTTCCAATGTAGGCTCTGCACAGGCCACAGTCCTTCAGGAAAATCCATCTGCATAGTCACCTCTGTGGGTTTTGTCATGGATATATGCTCCAGCCCCTGGAATATCTCTTTATCCTCTTCTGACTTTGTTTTTCCCTCAATTGTTTCTTGTTCCTTTCATTTCTTTGTCTTCTCTTCATTAGTTGTTTTTGCCCTTTCTTAAATATGTTTTCCAACATATTTACACACCGAGCCACTGGCTTGGCTGATGGGCTTGGTGCCACCAGTTTAGCTGATGGGCTCAGCTGTGTCCCATGTGGTTATGTTGGAGCCAGCTGGCACTGGCTTTATTCAGCATGGTGCAGTGCTTGTGTGTTTTTGTTTGTTTTTTTTTTTTAGAGACCATCCCTGCAGCTCCCTACAGCCAACAACCTGCCTCTTACACCCAATACAAACATTCAGTTAGGTGGGGTTAGGGATAAATTCTATTTTCTGCTTCATTTATTTCATAGAGTTGGCTCAGATACAGCTTAGGTATGTGAAAGGTGTATTATGATGTTATTTACCTCACTGAAGGAAGGGGAGTAACTTTTACCTCAGCTTGTCTTTGTCATCTGGATAAAATAGCATCTAATTTTCTTGCCATATTTAAAGCATACATTTAGCACTACAACTTTTGATCAATTTTTATTGCTAACTTAATAACAACATCACAGTTATTTTTATATTTTTTCAGGGAAAAATATTTGAAGTTACTTCACATGAGGCAAAGTGAAATCTGGAGAGGATATTTGTGCTTCTCCAGAGTGTAAAGACTTACAGAATAATCATGCAGGAAGACACTGATGCTGACAAAGGTAGAGGGTTTCCCTGTACAAGTGCTCTATTAATCTGTGGAATCAGCTTCTGAAATACTGTTTGTATGGTAGTAACTCCTTGTGCTCAGTTTAGTGGAAGGTTTTCAGCATTAGGAGAACACTCAGACATCACAGTAGCCACCTGTAGTAGTGGCAGTGGTGGCAGCAGCATTTGCTGTATGCTGAGAGGAGTGTGAGGCTTGTGAGGTGTCTGAGGGGGTCTTCTGAGTCCTGATGCCTTGTGTTGGTCTTAGTGACAGAGATTTCAGGGCCCTGGGGAGAAAACAAAAAGACTCAAGAGCCCAAGATGATGTTCTCCTCAATCCTCTCCATAATGTGGAGAGACAATGACATAGATGAGCTATTCTGTAGGCAACTGGGGAAAATCCTGGCATTGGTTGCCCTCTTCATTATGGGAGACTTCAAATTCCTAGACATAAACTGGGATTATCATACTGCTGTGGCTGGGAAATTCCCAAAGCATGTTGAAGATGACTTCATGTCACAAGTACAGGAGTGAGCCAACAAGGGAAGGAGACCTCCTGGATCTGTTGTTAAAGAACAGCCTTGTGAGAGAGGTGACAGCAAGTGTCTCAGCTACAGTGACCATGAATAAGCTGAGTTCACGACTTTTGGTGTAAGGAGAGAAAAAAGGTCAGCAGAATTGCCACCCTGGCCTTTAAGACAGATTTTAAGCTTCCTGGGGAGCTAGTTAGAAGCATCCCCTGGGATCTGCTCTAGTGTGTTTAGGGGTCCATAAGAGCCAGTTTATTCTCAAGAGCCACCTGTTAAAAGCCCAAGAGCAGGCAACCCTGCTGTGCTACAAGGTAGGCAAGTAGGGTGGAAGACGAGCCTGATTGAACGGGAACTCTGCCTGAAACTAGGGCTGAACAAGAGTATATATGACCTCTGGAAGCAAGGCCTTGCTTCGTGGGGAGAATACAGAGCTGTAGTCTGCATCTGCCTGGAGAAAAGCCAAAGCCTGACTTGCATTGACGCTGAACGCTGTGGTGTCAGACAATAAAAAAGGCTTTTTCAAGTACGCCAACAGCAAGATGTCAAATGAAAACATTGGGCTGATCAGGGGAGAAGGAAAAGACAGAGGCATTTAATGCCTCTTTTGTTTTTGTATTTAACAGTAATGACAGATCTTGGGCTACCAGGACTTCAGAACTGTAGGACTGCTGGGGAGCAGTGACTTCCTCTGTGTGGTTACTGAAATTGTAAGGGATCACTTGTATCAACTCAACATTCGTAAGTCCATGGGACCTGATGGAGTTCACCAGCAAGTGCTGAAGGAATTATATCAGATGTTATAGCTGGACCCCTCTCAGCAATTTACTGAATATCATGGTAGTCTGGGGAGGTCCCTGCTGACCAGAATCTAGTCAATGTTATATCTGCCCACAAACAAGGTGTGAGAGGAGACCCAGGAAACTACAGGCCTATTAGTCTAACCTCAGTCCCTGGAAAAGTTGTGGAGAAGATTGTCCTGGAAGATGTTGGAAGGTATTTAAAGAACAAAGCTATTATCAGGCATAGTCAACACAGGCTCATGAAGGGTAACTCCTGCCTTAGTAATTTGTTCTCCTTCTATTATAAGATAGATGAAGAGAAGGCAGTGTGTGTAATATTTCTGGATTTCAGTAGGGATGTTAATACCATCCTTCATAGCATCTTTCTGGATACATTTTTCAGCTGTGAGATAAACAGGTTCACACTATGCTGGGTGATGAACTGGCTTCATGGTGGACCTCAAAGGGTTGCAGTAAATGGGCCTGCATGCAGTTGTCACTAGCAGTGTTCCTCAGGGCTCAGTTTTAGGGCTGGTTATGTTAAATGTTTTTTATCAGTGGTCTGGATGCATGAACGGAGTGCATCCTCAGGAAGTTTGCTGGTGATACTGAACTGGGAGGTGCTGTTCACACCCTTGGGGGGAGGAGAGGACTCGCAGAGAGATCTAGATAGATTGGAGCATTGTACAATCATTAGCAGGGTGAAGTTCAGTGAAGGAAAATACCCGATTCTGTGTTTGGGACAGAATAATGCTGGACATATGGATATACTGGGAGGTGAGTGGCTGGAGAGCAGCTCCGCAGAAAGGCATCTGGGGGTGCTGGTCAGCAGAAGGCTTAACATGAGCCAGCAGTGTGCCCTGGCAGCCAAGAGGGCAAACCACACTTTAGGATTCATGAAACGTAGTCAGATGGCCAAAATAGATGATACACTGTATGTAGTGTGTAGATACACTGTATGTAGGGTGTTGCAGTTGCACCTTGAATGCTGTGTGCTGTTATGGTCTCCAAAATATAAAAGGGATGTTAAGGTCCTTGGATGCCTCCAGAGGGCAACAGAGCTGGTAAGAGGAAGGCATGCCCTGCCAAGAGAGGCTGAGAAGCACTTGGGTTGTCCACCCTGGAGAAGAGAATCCTTCAAGGTGATGCCACTACTCTCTGTAACTACGTTCTGTTCTTCTATTTTAGTTCTGGCAAAAGGGTGTGCTTTTTTTTTCTTGTTGTTGTTGTTTTACTTTTAACTGGGAGATGAATTGTAGTAATGTAGGAGTGAGTACTGGTATTTTTTTCCTCTTTTAAAGTACTAAAGAGTTAAAAAGGCCCAGAGTTCATGGTATCATATGATATGGATAAAACAATTTGCAGTTCTAGCAGAAATAATAAAAAATGACTGAGGGCATAAATGTTGTGCTTCAGGGCATTAGCCAAAGACGGACATGCAGACAAGATGTATCTTAGTTTACAAGTACATTATGTAACTCTGGGATTTCTTTGCCCTATAGTAAAAAAAAAAAAAAAAAAAAAAAAAATTGCTTGTTTTGCCTATGGAGCGTAGGTCTTGCAGCCAGACCTGTAACAGGTGAGTTCCAAGCATCTTTTCTATTCTATACTTCTGCATTATTATGTTGCTAAATTTCTTAAGGTTTTTAGTCTAGGTTTGATATCTTTGAAGATAAACTCAGAATGTGCACATTTTTAATAATAAAAACTTGGCCTGTTGCCAGTGCCACTTTTGAACTTGTCCCAAGGAAGGAACTGAAATTGTTAATCACTTGAAAGTAAAGACAGCTCTATAGTTAGCATCCATTCAGGAAAGTACTGTTTTACATTGTCTATAAATATTTAATTACCCAAGAAAGTAGGATGGGACTGTTATGGTACAAGTTACTTCCTGCCTTTGGTTGCAGAAAGGAGTCTCAGTTGGACGACTGTTGTATTTTAACAACTCAAAATATGTGGTCTGGAGAAGCTTATTTCTAGGTTGCAATAAGCAAATTTGAGTTTTCAAAAGGCACCTCACAACATCCTGTAAGAGTCAAAATGCTATTTTTGTTTGAAATGGTCATTTGCTACTTGCAGCACTCTTGCTCAAGATGCTTACATTTATTTTCCTTTTTTATGGCTGCATAATTTTGCTCTAATTTCTTTTACTTGCTACTTTTTTCTTGTTCATGGCAACTAATTTGATTAGATTTTAATGATGCATAGATTTTAGCACTGTGATTTGATGTGTTAACAAGCTGGAGTCTATTTCAGCTTAAAAGAAAAGACTATGAAAAGCCTATTCTATTCAGACTGACTTTGATGTCTAAAGTTACTTGATAGCATCTTCTAATATTCACAAATGAGCAACAGGGCAGATGAGATTACAATTGGAAACTCATTAAAGTAAATTGATGCCTCTTTTGGTCCTGGTCTTTGCTGTTAGCTGTCTTCAGCTTCAGAAGCAAGAGCAGTGCCTAGGGGAAAAGTGCAAGGCTTCTAATATTTTTTTTTTACTTTTATTTTTTTTTAGCTGGGACAAGCAATCAAATTAATTCTTCTAGAATGGATGAAAAAAATGATCACCCAGCAGCTAAACCTGAAGATGAACTAAGTGTAAGTAGGCTGGCTTAAGCATTCTTGATTTCATACACTTCTTCACACTATTAGATCTGCTATGATCTAATTATCAAGTATTAACTTTGACATTCTGGTTGGATTTGTTATACCTTTATATTTTACAGCTCAATCTGAAAATGTCAATGCTTGTTAGTGTATCATCAGATTTCTAATAACATGTATTTTCAGGCTGAAATAATGGGATTGCTAGAGTGACAATATGAAAGGCTAATGTTGGTGTCATGGCAGCATGTTTTTCCAAAAAGAAATCGATTTCTAGGCAAGAAAATCAACAGTAGAGTAGGTGAAGTGCTTGTTTATCCCTGAAAAGATACAGAAGATGATTACTGCATGACTGTTAACCCATGACAACAAAGTGATTAAATAATTCAGTATATAGTGATAGTCAAACCGGAATTTTAGCTGGAAACCACTTCTAGAATATAGGAAATAAAAAAAAAAAAAAAAAAAAAAGAATTGTGATTTTTATTCAGTGAAGGGAACAGCATAACTTTGCTATTTTCCTTAATACAAAGTGTTTATTTTACGCTATTTAACTTACGGAAATATTTATAATGTGGAGCACAACATTCAGTATTGCTCTGAATCCCATGTAACAGAAGTCTGCCTTGCAAGCTTTGATACATGAAGTGCATTTTTTAAAAAAGATTACAGTTGGAGTAGATGAAATGAAGACATTAACTGTTCCCAGCATACATTTATATTCCAATGGTGTCAATCCTGAGCAGTCTTTATTGATCCTTGACAGAGATCTATGTACCTAATTTTTAAGAATAAATCTGTCTGGTTAGCTCTACAGACATCAATGAGAATGACATAGAACAACTTAAATATGTTATTCTTGTGTGAGTCTTGATAAAAGCAGCAAGTGTCCCCACTGATCCATAAAGCAGCCCTAAGTTCAGGTGTCAGAGCTGAGAGCTCATCAAGCTGTCTCAAGATGTCCTAATGAACACCTGAGACTATAGAGGAACTTAACAGGACAGATCATAGCTTTAAACAAACAGGCAGTTTGGTTTTGATCTTTACACAGAATTGTACTTCAAGTTAAAAAACAAATACATTTGGAAGACAGGCAAACTTACTCCTTTTTGAGAGCACTTATGGAAAAATAAGTGCTGGTAGTTACTTTGTCTAGTTACCTAGACAGAAGGTATGAGTCAGGAATCTTTCAGTTGTGTATTTTCCCATTTAGCTTGAGGAAATTGTGAAGCATTCTACCGGGTCTCATTACTCATATTCAATTTATTCATTGTTCAACTCACCTTTGTACACTCTAAACACTGAAATGAAAGGTTGCTGTTATTTTTGACTATAGGCCTTGCAGGAGGATCTTTGTAATGATGGAGCTTATGTTCTTTCTCTCTGTGAGGATGTACAGAGCTCTCTTACCAACAGCATTACTAAGGCATAATATTACGGAATCATAGAAAAAGTTAGGCTCGTGGAAGCTTCTGAAGGGGATCTACTGAATGCTTCTGTTCCAAACAGAGCTAACATGAGGTCAGGCCAGATCTTTTGGGGCCTTGTCCCACTGAGTTTTGTGTATATGTAGGGATGCAGATTCCCTGACCTCGCTGGTATAGCCCAGGTGCCTGGCCCTCATGGTGAAATACTTTTATTTTCCATGTGTCCAGAAGGAATTTCCCTTGCTGCCACACGTGACTGTTGTGGCTCTCTTCACTGTGTATCACAGAGAAAATAGTGTTTTTGTGTTTTCTGTAAGCCACAGTAAGCAGGGAAATCTATGACTAGCTTTACTTGCATTGATTTTTGCCTTCTCATCTACAGCTAAATATCCCTGGAGCACTCAGCTTCTCACTGTGCAATACATGCCTTAGCCCCTCACTTCTCAGTGGTTGTTCCCTGGAATCGCTCCAGTTTATCAATGTATCTGTTGTACTGATGGGCTCAAAAGCAGACATAATACTTCACAAGTGGCTCTAATACCGCTGGGAAGAAGGAAACAACTTATTTCAGTTGATTTCATGGCAATGCTTTGGCAAATGGCTAGTATTTATGCCTGGCATTTCCTTGGTGTTAAGCTCCAAAGGCATGTGTTTAGTTTTTATAGTCGCTGAATGAATGTAGCATCCCACATTGGTAATTTGGAGTGCAATTCTTAGCTAGGTGCTTCCTGACTTTGATAATGTTCTCCTTCCTCCAGTGAAAAATAGGGATGAAGAATGAGTTTTGTGCTCATATCTTTCATTCTACAGTAGGCCACAGGTTCTTGCTATGTACCTTCTGAGAGACTTTGAAGACAAGATGCTGTCAAACAGCCTGAGAACTTGTTGCAGTCACTCTCCTCAATGTCTACACCTTGTAGCTCTGTAGATGCTAAGGAGGACTACTCAGCTCAAAGAACAGCCAGGTCTGCCCTAGATGAGGCATGTGCTGTCATATGTGCATCTGTTCTCGTGTGGTTGTGAGCTCTTCCATGTGTTTGAGCACTGAAATGGAGGGATGATGGGGCAGGAGTCTGTCCCTCAGTAGAGTGAGTTCACCTGCACCTTGAACAAATGATGCACTGGCGATCACCAGACTGTGTCATAGACTTCTGGTTTGTGTTCATGGGAGATGACGTAGCTCTGAGTAGGTCCCAGCCACAGGTGAGATCCATCTTGAAAATGTCATTGAAATGAATTAAGCTGGCCAGAGAAGGAAGTGGTTTTATTTCTGGAACAGCAGTCATGTTTTGACCATGGGCTGGGAGGACATATGAATAGTGTGCGTACACGTGTTTCCTAGTTACTTAGCATGTAAAGGAAAAGTTAGTGTATATGGAAAAGGATTGATTACTTGAATACTGTAATACCACCTTCCTCCAGCTTCACACAAATGGAGGAATGACTGACTGGACATAAGTCTGCCTGTATGCAAAACTTGCATCAAAACAGCAAATGTTTGGGTAGTGAGAAGGCTTGCTAGGTCGTGTTAGCAAGCCACCAGTGAAAAGCTGCTGTTCTGCAGTACTTGTGTGTGTATATACATCTCAGCTGCAGCCAGTGCAAGGTATTTCAAGGCTACCTGTCCTTTAGACAAAATAGGGCTAATTTATGTTAATGAAAGATGCCCAAGGATATATGTATTTGTTCAGATGGTTAATGTTAGATGGCTGTTGCATGGTGAGCTGTTATCCTAGGGTATGCTGTGTTTTTACTTCTGTATGCCATTGGGTTGGACTGCTTTGTATCTGCAAGTGTCTGGACCTTACTTCTCTGCAGTTTTAAACTGCTACTGCATTAATAATAGTTTTGTATGTGAGTAACAGAAAAATGTGTGTGGGATTCTGTTCTAGCTGTTGGTCGGTCAGCTGCTGTTTGCAATGTTCCACATTAGTTTGTTGTCTTCCACCTTGTTTCAGGTAGCCAACATTTCAGTCCAAGTGGTATCTGCAGAAGACAAGTTGGCAAAGAGGATTCTGGCAAGGAAAAAACATGGCAAATTGAAGAAAAAAGAGAAGTTGCTGTGGAATTTTCAAAACAAAATAATTATTTTTACCCTCATTCTATTTATTTTAGGAGTTGTAACCTGGACTTTACTTTGGCTCTTCATTGGTGAGTTGCTGAAAGCTCACACTGATTTCAAATATCACTATTCCCAGTAGCACTTTTATTTTATATACCAGTTGCTTGTAGGATCTCACTTGTTCTGAAGGCTCCTTCTAAGATAAGCATAAAACCTGGAATACCTTTGTTACACTTCACAGGGTTCAATGAACAAGGAATTATAGCAGTAGGCACAACTGCTGTTTTAGGAAGCATGATTTCCAGCCCCCACACACCCCTCCCACCCCAAGACTTAGGCAAAGCTTTTGTGTATGTGCACTAGTTAATTGTGTAGACAATTCCCCTAACTTGATTCCACAAAGATTCTGACCTCCACTGCACTTGGCCTGCTAGAGGCTGGGTAAGATATCTGTGCCTTAGGCAGAATATATTTTAAAAGGCTAAAAAGGCAGTAAAATATGGAAGGCAAATACTTTATCTGTAATTGTTTTTTTGTTTGTTTGTTTTGTTTTAAAGAAGTGCTGCCTAAGATTCCTTAGGGATATTCTTGAACTTGGATGCTGACGTGACTTCTGCTACAGTTGGTTTGTACTATGGTATCTTAGGTTGTGTGTAGGAAGCAGGTGCTTGATGGACCTTCATATTGTGGTACTCATCTAGAAAAAAATGTCTTTGAATATATAAGGTTGATTTGGTAGTCTTTTCCACTTTAAGGTTGAATAGATTAATTTGGTTTAAAATTTGATCAGAAAAAGTTTCGTTGTTACTTGACAATAATTGGGGTCTGTCCTTTGTTTCTTGCAGTTCAGGCAGAAAGCAAAGATGTGTTGTACTTTGTTGGGCTATTTCGTGTTGCCAACATAGAATTTCTCCCAGAATATAGGCAGAAGGAATCGAAAGAATTTCTCTCTGTGGCGCAGAACGTACAACATGTGGTAAGATGAGTGGGCTGCTTGGTTAACAAAAAGTAGCAAAAAGACCAGAGCTGTGATCAATAATTGCAAATCTCAGGTGCCATCAAGTCTGCTGTGGCATTCTGCAGTTCTTATTTTCCTCCTTATGCCCTTTCAGAAGACAGTGCAGATGTGGCTAGCTGAAGGCAGGAAGGAACTGGGTGCTTTTAGCTTGTTAACCACAAACTAAATTTTGGAAAGGTCTGTTCGACATACACATTGACTAAAATTTTACACATTATTCCCCACAAACCAGTCTATGAATAGAGCTCTACAAAAAACCTTCAAAATTGCCACTTCTGAGACATTGATGAAATCTTTTGCATTCAAAGTGGTATCTGCTGCCAGTCTTCTGCCTTAGAGCATCTATAATTACACTACAGCTCTCATATGCTTTTACACTTAGTTTCCTTCTGATGCCAGTTATTCCAAAGAACATTATTCCTCCCAAACACCTTGCACCAGTCACAGCAGAAACAGCACTCAGTCGTAGGCAGTTACAGCTGCTCTACAGCAGGCAGAGGTGGCTGTCTCAATGCAACCAGAGATTCTTGAACAATTACCAAGTTTTGGTCATCTTATAGCATGAACTCATGCTCCTGCTTGCAAGCTCTTTGATCAGAGGGAAGATTTCTTGATGACCCGTAGTGCTTTCAGGCCAGTGCAGGTATTGTCCCTCCCAATTTACCAGAGAGCAGCTTCAACCTGCTGTGGGCCATTTGTCTTGTTCTTGTCCCAGAGCATCCTGCCATCTTCACACCCTGCAGAGAGAGGTGACAGACAAGAACATGTGAACTGCCAGTGCCACCATCTTCTACTTGGACATAACTTGGAAATGATTTTTTTCTCTAAACTCAACCAATACTCACCAATAGATTTTGCACTGCTAATAATGTACATCTCATTGCATGACAACATGACTATTGGCTAAAAAGGCTAGCAGGAATGTTGGGAATCTGAGTTTGTAAGGTTTTTGTCTTTTTTTTGTTGTTCTAATTGAAACCCTTTTGTTTATGACTTTTGTGTCAGAGGTCTCTAGAACAATGCCTGAAGAACCTCTCAAGTTACACTCATTCCCCTTTTGACAGTAAAAGCAATATATAGATAGAATCCCTCATAGCTTAATCTGGAGACAGATTGAGCTCTGCTCATTTTACTTAGGCCCTTAAACTGATTGTTCCAACTTGGTGTCAAATGATGAAGATTATGGACTAACATCCATATGACTTTGACAGCTGTCAAAGCCAAGGATTCAAAAGAATCCTAGTTACAGTCCTGTGGGCATTAATTAAGTAGCAGGAGGAGAGGCTGAACAGCTTGAGGTACGTGCCACCTGGTGGTGCTAGTGGTGTGCCTCCTTCAACAAGGATAAGGAAGGTTACTGTCGCGTGGTTATCTAAAGAACTGGTGAAAGCAGGAGTATGCTTTCCCAAAGGCTGTCCTGCATCAAGAAAGCGGTAGAGTTTTCCCCTGTTCACATATTTTACATTGTATTGGAAAGAAATATATTAATGCTAAGCTGGTAGTTGGGGAAAAAATAGACACAAATGGAATGAAAAGGCAGGAGGTTGCCCATAAACAATGGAGGGGGGGGAAAAAATAAAATACTTAAAACATAACTAGTCCCCTGTAAAAAAAAAAAAAAAAAAAAAAAAAAAAAAAAACAAACAAAAAAAACACCAGCTCCCCCAAAACAAGTCAAACAAAAAAAACAACCCACACCCCTTAAACCAAGCCTGAACTGTCTCCTTAAAAAAAGTGTGTACAAAACACACTCTTAAACCACAGACAGCTTCAAAAAAAAAACAACAAAACAAAACAAAAAAAAACCACAAAAGCAAAAACCAAGCAAACAAAAATCCTCTGCCCAAAAACAAAAGAGAAGCAAGAAATAAACAACCCCCAAAACAAAAACATGGGGAAAAAAAAGGAAGAAAACAAAGCAAACCTCCCCAAAAGCAAGAACAAACAAACAAAAAAAAAAAACCACCAAAACAAAGATAAGCCTCACAAGAAAACAAAACAAAAAAAAAAGAAAAAAAAAAACACCAAAAAATGGAATAATAAAAAACATAAAAAAAAAAGAAAAACAAAGTGACAAAAAGAACAAAAAATTCCCCCAAAAAACAGAAGCAATAAAAGCAAAAATAATAATAATAAAAAAATCATAAAACCAACAAATGAAAATCCAACTACAAAAAAGTAAAGAAATAATAATAAAAAGAAAAAGTAAAAACAAAATAAAAACAGAAAAAGGGGGAGAAGAACTGAGGAAAAAATAACCAAAGAACGCAGAAGAAAGAAAAAAAGCCAAAACACCCCTCAAAAGAAAACAAAATGAAAACAAATCCCAAACTATAGTGACAAAAAAACTAACAAAACTACTCATAAAACAATACAAAATGACAATACATAAAATGGAAAAAAAAAAAAAAGGACAAAAAGCAATTAAAATCCCCTGTTCTCCACAAACAAGAGAAGGCAACAACTAGAACAAGTAAAAAGAAAATATTTAATCTTAAAAACATTTAAAACTCCCTTAGAAAACCAGGACAACCCCCTAAAAATCTCCACCCTATAAAAAGAAAATAACTAAATCAAAGAAAGCAAAAAGCAACAACAACAAAAAAATCCTAACGGTACTCCAACTTAAAATAAAATAAAAACACTGAAAATAAAAAAAAAAAAAGATAAAATACAAAACCCCGTAAAAATAGAACAAGAAAAAATGATCAATTCCACAAGCTAACAAAGAATAATAAAAATACATTAATAGAACTTCAAAAAAAAAACTGAAACAGGAAAAAAAAAGACAAAAGAACCCCTCATAGCCTCCCCAAGAAATAAGAAAATCCTAAAACAAACAAAAAAGAATCCCTCCAAAAGAGGAAAAAAACAAAACAACAACAATAAAACAAACAGAAAAATACTGTCAATTAATGAAAGATGCAAAGGAAAGACCATATAAGAAAGAAAAAGAGAAAAGAAAAACAAAGAAAAGCAGTAATGGGGAGGAAAAAAAAAAAGAGGATAAAAAACAACTCACCAATAAATAAAAAAGCATCCCCCAAAAGTAACACTCTCAAAAAGTTAAAAAACAACAAACACACACACACACAAAAACTACAGAAATACACTTAAAACAGAAATAAAAACAAAACCAAAACAAGAATAAAATTAGCAACAGAAGTAAATAATTTAAAAAAATAAAAAAAAGGCACAGCAAGCCCAACCCCATGTGACCACTTGGATTTGGCCCTCTCTGGGGGCTGTAGCTCTCCCTTGTCGCTGTGAGAGGAGGGGTCAGTGTTTTGCATTTCCAGAGGCCCCTTCCAGCCCCAGCCATACCATGGCTTTGCTGAAGAGCTTGGATGCACCCTTACCTGAACCTTAGTGGCAGTCACTGCATGGCACGTCAGAGGCTTGTTTTCTTTTCCAGATTACTGGCTCAGAAGGTTTGGCAGTGGGAGAGGGTGGGCCCCTGCCTTTGAGATTTTTCTGGAAGAAGAACGTGCACCCTTTCCAAAACTCATTTATTTTGGACCAGCGTTCACTGTATGTGTCAGCTGGCCCCATGCAGAAGGTTTGGTGTTTGCTGGGGGTGCTGGAGCTGGTAGGGGTGCGTGGCAGAGCTGGCCCAATCATGTTTGCTGCTCTGCCCAGCATGTCTGCTGTGTATTAGGACAGGTGGGTTCATGGCTTCCTCCTGGTGCAAGAGAGCATGTTCCTGGGACATCCCAGGCACAGGATATCTCAAGGTATGCCTGTTTTCAACAATGCTTAATCTTCACCGGCTTTATACTTTCTCTTTCAGATGAACTTGGTTTACAGAACCTCCTCTTTCTCCAAGTTTTATAAGCAGGCCACTGTTTCAGAAGTCAGGTAAAAAACTGGTTAACGTGTCTGTGTTTTTGCTGGATAGCGTAACGAGCCCACAGGAGAAGCCTTTTTTTTTTTTTTTTTTTTTGTGGTCTTCAGAAAACTTTCAGTGTAATGGTAATCCATGTTTTTTTTATTATTATTATTATTATTATTATTTCAGTAACAACAATAACGGAGGGCTTCTTATCCACTTCTGGATTGTATTTGTGGTACCGCAGCCAAAAGGCCAAGTGCTGTGTGAGGACTGCGTGGCTGCCATTTTAAAGGACTCCATTCAGACAAGCATCCTTAACCGCACCTCAGTGGGAAGTCTTCAGGGTCTCGCAGTTGACATGGACTCCATTGTGCTAAGTGGTTAGTAAAAGCATGTGTCCCTACTGTTGAAGAAATGCTTATTAACAACAAGTATTTATCTCAGAGTAGCAGATTTTAGAAATATACTGAAGTCTTTATCTTGTGCCTCTTATGGTGGGGCTGGTGGGAAAAAAAGAAAAGAACAGACTGGAGGTCATATTAAGGTACAAAATGGTTTTGTCACTGCTGCAAAGCTTATGTTCTAACTCAGGAGCTAAGCCTGACAACTCGTAGCCAGCTCAGACTTGGGTTAGGCTGCAACCTAAAACATATTAAAAGATGAAGTGTTTTATTCTATACAGGGATCAAACTTTAGCATCACCATGGAAAATGGGATTGTTGTTACATTTCTGTTAGATTAAAAAAAATACAAACATAAAGCTGCTTATTCATTAATCAATTTCTATATCCTGTGCTGTTTTTGTCTGTGGAGGAAATTAGCAAGACAGGTCCAAGAACCTGTTTAATCTAACTAGTTACAAAGTAGCATAGGATTTTCAGCTCTACAAATAAAGGATGGAACAAGCTTCATTTGAACAGCTCTGCCCAGCTGAAAGCTGAAAAAGAGTTTGTGGCCAAGGGTGGGGAAGTAACTCCCTGGGTTTTTCTGCCTCAGGCCTTCAATTGAATTGGACTGCTCAAGTGACCAGCAATCCCCTCATCCCTCGGGCACTGAGAATGCCTGGGGACGTGACGGCTGCTTCCAAGGATGGTAGCAGAATTTGTGGAGATGGTGCGGGATTGAGCAGTCTCCCACATCGAGAGCTGTTTTATTCTGTGTGCTTAGTGATAAGATTAAGGAAGCATGATTGAATCAAACACTGATTTCTGGATGTTCTGCATATTAGAAGACTCACAAAACCTTTTTTTTCTATGCAGCAGGTCTTCGGTCAGATTATTGGTCAACAACAGGAACAGGTAATTCACCACTTGGCAGTTTTGTGGCAGAAGAGTGGTTGGAGAACAAAGCTCCTCATTAATGTCTTCAGATGCAAAGATATTGCTTAGTGTTAATTTAAAATGGTTAAATTCAGTCTTGGTATTTATGTCCTGACTTTGCTGTAAGAGGGTCCAAGAGTCCTGCATATGGCAAATACATAAACTATCTGCCTTTATTTTGAGTGGTAAAATTCAGCTGTGCCTGGTGGCAGGATGGGAAATAAATTCTGTCACTCATTTTTTTCTATTCACTCCAGCTTTTTTCTAACTTGGGCAGCACTGAATTTGAATCTATTTTTTGGCTTTCACTCTAAACAATAGTAATGCTTTTATCCACCCTTTATCATCATTTACTCCATTTGCTCCAAGATTAATGTTGTGTTTTTCTTTTGAATGAGATCCCTAGCAGAAGTGAGTCTAAGTAGTTCTACTTTTCCAGGGTAATGGGAGACACTATTCATATACCTCCTTGGTTTTGTGTTCTACATTTCCCAGTGGGGTTCTTTGGTGGTATGCAGAGACTTTACAAGACAACATGTACAGTCTAAAAGTACATCCCAGTTGTGTTCACTACTATGTGGAACAGATCACTGTGTTGTATTTTGAGGGCAATGGAGTAACTTTTTAATGAAGATGTACCTAGTAATTGGTTTAGACTCAGCACTGGGATGGACGTTTTTTAAAGGATGGGTTGGATAAAGGACTTGTGCAGATTCAGCTGGTGCAACTGACTTGCATTGCCACACTATATGGCTGAGCAGGGTCTCTTTGGATAATGATTGTACCTAGCTTCAGTTTCAAACTGGTATGCTTACATTGCTTCTAGATTTAGTGTTAGCTCTGACTTAGATACGCCATGCTTCACAAGCAGCGAGCTAGTCACACTGTTAATTGCATAATAGCAATAAAGGCAGTCACTCTGTAATTCTACAGAGTCACTCTGTAATTCTAAATGTAATTCTACAGAGTTTCATATCAAAACTGGCTTTGTTAAGGCTGAGTAAATAAGCAGGGAAAAAACAAAACAAAACTATTATTAAAAGAAAAAAAAATTGCTGGGAAGATACAAAAGAAGAAGGAAGAACAATGGGTCAACCAAAGCTTTAAATAGTTACAACCGTAACTGAACTTGAAGAGCATGTGACTTACAAATTGTTCATAAGCATTTATAACGTCTGTTTCAAGACTATAAATTAGAAGTGGAAGTCAGACAAAGCCTGCTATTTCCTGTCTGGTTGACTCAAAGTAAACGTTGGCCTTTTAACTGCTAGTTAACAATTGATGGCAAAATTCCACAGTGCTGTAACTGATGTTCCACTATGGTAACTATTTAAGATACTTGTTTCTGTAATAGGCAGAGTCATGCAAATATTCACTTTGGGTCTTATTTTCCCTAATTTGCTCTTTTGTTTCTTCTCACCTTTCAGAAGAGCTATGTTAAGAGCTCTAAGTATGACCAAACAAAAAAATCCCTAAGCTTTTGTTGGATGGGAACTGGAACATCAAACTGAAACAAAGATGTTAATATATTTGACTTGAAAGCCACAATTGTATTAGCTTAATTAGAAAATTGGATCGAAGTAGGGTAATTTTCTGGTGACTCTTTTCTAAGTTACGACACGAATGGAATTTTGATTTTGTTTTACTTTTTTTTTTTTTTTTTTTAGTAAAACTAGGTTGTGTACGCTAGTCTGTACTGCGTATATTTCACAGTACTTCCATTTCTATCAGTGACTTCTAATGCTGCAAAAGCTTTCAGGACCTGACATGAGAAAATCCAGGTTCAAATTCCTTTTGACCTTGCTTTGAGCAGGAAGTTGAACAGCAAAGGTCCTAGCATCCCTTACAAACGGAATTAATAGGTGAATCTGTTGTAGCATGTCCAGCTCATTTCACATAAAACATTGAGTAGCTTGATTTTTGAGCAGTAATCTATAAAACCTAGAGTAGTATGAAAATGTGTGTATATGTATATATATATATATTTTTTTTTTGTCTTTTTTTTTTAAATAAATATCCAAATACTTGTAGGGGTGAGCAGCTGATTTCTATCCTGGCAGTAGATGAACGTTTCCCAGGTAACAACTGTTTCACTTAAGTCATTTATCCTCTGGAGGTTCCACAGAGATTTGTTAACAGCAAATATGTGTTGTACAAAATGGCAGTGCTTTGGCACTAGTACCCCTACACGTTTTTACAGTGCTGTTTGCCAAGCTCTGCAGCTTTATGAATAGACATTTCCTTGACCAGAGACTTGTAACTGAGATGAAAACAGTGAGCAGTATAGGCTACTTTGTTTTTCCTCTTTGGAGGAAAAATGTTTCGTATGTTTCATATGTTGCTTTACTTCATAATTATATATAGGATTTTTTTTTGTACTCCCATGCATAGATTTACCAGTTTCAGAGCATATGTTCAGTGTTGGAAATATGTTTCCACAGGAACAAATTGTATGTATGATCTGCATGCTGATCGTCTCCATGAACACTTTCCTTTGGATATCCATGCTACCTCAGGGGGAACGATCTGCTATCTTAAACTGATTGCGTTAGTGGGTCATCTTATTCGTCTTTCAATAGTATCGCTTCAGATTGGAGCAGATAACTGCATCACTGACTCGCTAACCATTTATGACTCTCTGATGCCAATCAAACATAAGATACTGTACCGGTGAGTATAAATTTTATTGAGAAGTCACTGGCATTCTTTTTTTCCTGAAGATTTGTCATCTGTTTTTTTTTCTTTGTTTAAAGTACTTTGATCTTCATGTTATATACAGAACACCAAAATTACTTCCCCCCAAAAAGTAGAAAAGTAATTAAAGAGAACTTAATATTCTTCAGATGCTTTGTTATTCTTCAGATAGACTGTATCCTCACCTACATATCAAAATATAAGAAGTTCATACGTTACTGGGTGGAATTTTTCTTGTCAGGAAACATGTTAACTAAAACAAATTGTCAAAATTCCATCCTATAAGTGAACTTTTCTTCCCTGTGAAGACTAGTGTTCCGAGGAAGACTGAAGTTGTAAAACTAAGTATCCTGATTCTTTTTATACTTCACTTTTTTCTTTAGTGCCTTTTTAAGCTGCTTTATTTGAGTTATTCAGACTTATTAAAATCTAGAGTTGAAACTGATGTGTCAAGGCATGTGAATTACTACTAATTTTTATCCTTTATGATCTAGAATTTTTGTCTGGAAATTTTTGAGTGAAATTCCTGGTTATTAATTCCATAGGACTCTGTCAGACTGAAAAGTGAGGGGAGCATCTCCATCAAGTGGATGAAGAGCTCAGTGTTCTGACCACTGAAAGCCCTTTCTCTGCCCTGTCAGTGTATATATAAGCCTCAAAAGAGAGCCTTCCAGTCATCTTAAAGATCTGTTCTCCAGTGACCTGGAACATTCACTGACTTCTCTGTAAAGCAGCAGATGATGTTCATTTACTAGTACCTGTAGAGGTTGCAGGTGTTTCTAACTGGCCTTTTAAGAAGTACACTTCCGTGCATAAGAGCATGCTTTTTTATTTTCCCCCCACTAGGCTTTGAAGTACGTGAGTACTGTAGCAGTGGAAAGCAAAGAATGAGAGCAATGCATTGTTGATACAAATGGCTTAGATATGTACTCTCCATTATTCCTCCTCAGAGCGTGCGAGCCAGCTGATTCATTGGTGTCACTTGTGTCCACAAATAATCTCATGCTGGTAATGTTTAAGGCAGCACAGATAAGTGAACGGAAGGAGTTCCATGGCTATTTTGAGATCATTACACAAGAAAGTAGGTTTGTAATGTATTTGGAAATGCATTTGTTGTATTGTTTCTATCTCAGAGCCCCATGTGGCTATGTTATGGATAAATGACTCCTTGCAAATCTGTATCTCTCTTTTTTTTTTTTTCTCCCACATCCCTGTCTCCCTTCTTCATGTCCTCTGCATTATTAAGTGGCTGCCTTCCTCTTGAGTAATTTCAGCTGTTTAGCTGTCTATATGAAATAAAAACATATAGAAGGCTGAAACCAACCCTGACTGAATTCAATTGGTCAGAACTGCAATGTGCCAGTAGATGGAGTTGTTATTCCAGGTGTGGCTGTGGACTTGCTCCTACATTGGGACTTTGTGATGATGTTAAAGGTGGAAATTGCTCATCACTGAAAATTACTTTCAGAGTACAAAGTGTCAGTAGCTCTGTCTGCCTTTTGCTATTGGTCTCTGCCTCATTAACACAAAGGATTCAGTGATGTTTGGTCATCAAGTCTTTTCTGCTTCTTATTGCTTTAAGAAGTGGTTTGGTCATAATCACAAATAGCACAAGGAATGTCACCCAAGCAGCACAAAGACAAAAGTATAACACATTCCAATACGAGGAAATTAGGCTGTAATTAAGCTGCTCAGAAAGGTGCTGCATATTTCCAATGGTGAGAGTAACTAAGCACGGAAATATGAAAGTATGTGATGAATTCTGCATCATAAGTAATTTTAAATTCAGGACTATGTTTTTACTGTTTGTGTTTTGTTTGCTTTAATGAGTTGTCTTAATCCCTTAATCAGTCACAAAAAGACACCTTGGCTTCTGTGAGGCTGATTAGATTAGCACGTTGTCCATTCTTGTTCTAACCAGTTGTATTTTAAGATGTACTCATCTACTACTCATGTACTACTGCGATGTGGATGCCTTGATGTGCAACACTGCTCACTAAGACTTGTTCACAGACCTGCCTTTAGTGAAATACCTGACAGAAAGGTTGACAATGTTTTCTCCTGGTCCTGCAGAGACAAAATAAAAGTCAATAGTCCTGTAAAGGCCTTTATTTAAAAAAAAAAAAAAAAAAAAAAATCACTTTATCGTTCCCAAGCCTTTGAGCTGAAATGAGAGGTTAGGGTAATTTCTGACAGTCTTAGAGCATCTAACAGACAATATGAACTATCTGTTTTGTGAGAGGCACGCTCAACAGAGCATCACAGCAAGCATTCCTAGACTTTTATGAGCCTTATCTGTCTGTAACATTGGATTTACAGTGAATTTATTACAACCTGAACCTAGATAAACATAACTCCATAGCTGTCCTGTTTTACAGTGAAACACTTGTGATAAAATTGAATGCCTAGCCCACTGAATAGCTTTGTTGGAAATAGATTAAGATTTACCAGCTCTTGCCTTCTCTCTCTCTCTTTTTTTTTTTTTTTTCTTCCCCTAGGGTGTGGAAAAGCAATAGCAACAAAAGAAAAGATTGGCTATGAAGGGAGAATCACAAGTCCCTATTACCCAAGCTATTACCCTCCAAAATGTCTTTGTGCATGGAACTTCCAGGTAATACAGATTTCTTTCTCTCTAAGCACTGATACTTTTTTGGGGGCATACAGTGCCTGTGTGCGTAGAAGGAACGATGGAATAGGGAGTAATCTGCATCCTCATAGATGTGGTAGTTTATAGAAATGGCACAGCTCAATAGCTGTTGTGCCCAGTTATTTTGATTTCTTTGTCCTTATTCTTAACAAAGAGAACATAATTCTTAAGCTGTCCTATTTATTACAAAGGTAAAGAGCTGAGATGAAATACATTTTGATGTTTGGCTTACAGAAGCACTTCACTGAAGAGAATTCAAGACTTAAATGTTTTTTCTTTCCCTCTTTCCAACTCCCAAAATTTGGGGGGGAGACCAAAAGTAAACTTTTGTCCTCTAACCTAGTTAGTGCTGTTGCTTCTCTGATAACTCCTATGTTACACATAATAAATCAAATTTTTGTATTCAAAGATGGTCTGACTTTTTTCTTGGTCTCTTTTTTTTTTTTCCAAGTATCCTTTTTCTGTGTCTTTTTCTGAAAACAAATAACCAGAAATTTAAATTCAAGATAATTTTTTCACACCTTGTCTTGATGGTATTAGACTCTTCAAGTTATTCCAGAAAATCTGATAGTAGGTTTTCTGCTATCAGAAATGTAGCACTTGATGATCTTTGATTTATGGTTTCCCCATCACAGTGAAGTTATGTTAGTGCATTACAGTCATCCTGTGATTGACTATGCAAAATCTCTGTCGTTCTTTACTGGTTTAAATTCCCAAGCTCATGATTTATTGTAGTAGCTCTTATTAGTCAGCTTTCAAATGCATAACCTTATGCACTGCCTTAGCTCTCTTTTGTTTTCTGGATGGCCTCAAGAGCTTGTTCTTTCTGTTAAGTGTTGCCATTTGTCCTTGTGTGGTGTCTCAAGTTATGAACAAAATTTATTAGTACATCCTCTTTTATAGCATGATCAGTCTCCAAAACAGCAAATAAAACAAACTGCGAGATGGATATTTTTGGGAACTTTTCTGGTACCTGTTTGGTATCCAAGGGTTTTTAATCTCTAAAGAACAAGGCAATGGATACGATACAGCCTACTCTTTGCCTGTCTTCCTTCTTAAGCTACTGGTTGCCCACGTAGAATTACAACAATATGAATGAAGCCTAGTTAACTAGGACCTACATCCTTTTCTCCCTCTAGAAAACTAAGTCAATGACCCTTTTGCTAAACTTTGTCCTCAATTCAGCCTGGACTTCTGAGGGAAAGGTTGCCCAGTTTAGCCTTGGGAGTTGCCCATGCTACTTCCTAAAACCATTTAATTTCCCCATAGTTCGATGTTGAAATTTCCCTCATTTCCTGTATTGTATATTTCCTGTGAGAAAGAAGAAGAATCTTCACTTCTGGATTCTTGCCCGAATCAGCCCTTGCTTTTGCAAGATGTGGCCATGTTTTTTTTTAGATGGTTCTGTTCCTTTTAATAAAGGAAGCTATAATTAGCTATGAATCTTCATGATACTTCCAGTTAAAAGATTCTATAAAACACTAGCAAGTATTTGGCTGAACACATGCTAGCAAAGACTACAGTATTCTGGTAGAAATAACTCCGTGCATTCCCAAGGCAGTACAGGTATTCGGTACAGTATCTTAGCTAACAATCTGCTGGGGCTGTCTGTCCCTGCACAAATAAATTTGGATATGTCTGAATGCTTTGATCTTGACACAAAAGCTGCCTTCTGTCTACAGCCAGTGGCTTTTTGAAGATGAAAGGGCTTTTGGCCAGAGGGGAAGAGAGCCTGTAGCTGTGGTGGCCTTTTACCAACGTTTCATTTTGCTGAGGACTGAATAGCTGGCAGGTGTCTCAGGTGCTGGCTGTTGAGCTGGGAAAGTCAGCACAGATCCCAGAGCTTGGCACTGCCAAGCACTATAATTGCTGAGATAAGCCTAAAGATTTTAATGTGCTATATCCACAAAAAGAAAAGGAAGCCTGCATGCACTGTCTTTCTTACAACAGACTCCACAGAAGAACCTTGGTATAGCTCTGAAGTTTCATAACTATACCATCAGTGAGAAGAATATTAAAGGCTGTGAACGAGGATGGTGGAAAATTAACGAACACATGTAAGTACTTCTGCATGAGTTATTAAACTAACATTACCAAAACAGACTTTCCCATCACTACTGCAGTTCACTCGGAAAGTTTACACAAAGACAGAGATACTTCATTGTTGCCTCTTATAATTCATGTTTCACTTTGGCTGATAATGTAACTGAATCTTCATAAATAGAATAAAAAAAATTCTAATGAAAAGTACCAAAAAGCTGAAAATAAGGGCCCTTGGTGCTCTATTAAAGGAAAGAAATGAGAAGAGTGGGTGAAAATGGATGTCCAGTAAACCCAACGTAGTTTTGGGCTTTCTGTGACGACTGAATAAGGTCTGTTTAAAAAAAAAAAAAAAAAAAGCAACAACAACAACAAAAAAAACACTTAAGTGTAACTTAATTCTATGATTGCTCATGATGACACTGAACCTAATTAACTTTTCAGTGAAATGGTATTACAGTGAGATTATTGGGAGTAGGAGAGTAACTGCTTCTGTGTTTCAGTCATGGGCTCTTGAAAGGGACGCCGCAGATTGATTGCCAAGACACACTATATTTAAGTGGTTTGTATTTAAATACTGCTGCTACTGCTGCTTTTTCATATACATTTTCTACCCATTTTTTTCTGCAATTTAAAAAATAGTCTTTCAGTCACTGGATGATGAGGTGAGGCTGGGTTTGGGAAGTTGGACTCTATTTTTAATTTTTTTTTTTCAAATGGAAACATCAATAAGATCAGACTTGAAACCGAATTTCTGAATTCACTACTGAAACTAAGCTATACTGTGCTTACATAGAGAGAAAAGTCAGTTTTCGTGATGTTACCAACATTATGTCTTGATAGCAATTGGTGGCTGGACAACATGTGCATGAAAAAAGCCAGTCAAAACAGGCAACACGGAGTGTTTGTGTGTTTCTTTTGGTCTTCTTTTTGTGGCATAGTTGGAAGGATTTGAGATATTAGAGATTGCTGAGAGATGCATCAAATAAAGGCAAAATCTGAAGCAAAAATTGATGATGGGTTCCTACTACAAAGATTCTCTCTGTGAAAGACCAGCTTTTAAATAAGCCTACTAATTAAACATTTCACAGAATCAAATGTTGCAGTATGATCTTATGAAATGCATTTGGGGCTAGTTTTGAAGTACTGCAAAAGAATGCATGCTTCTAATTTCTGTTGCTAGTTGCTGCTGATGTAAGTAGGCCAATATGAATTTTCTTTAGAAAATGTCTTTTTCATGAAAAATAAGGATTTTGAACTCAGTGATCTTCATTTCTGTGCTTACTTTCCATGGAAAATAATGACAAAGTATGAAACATTCTGATATTTGCATTTTTCCCTACAAAATTTAATGGTTAATGAAATTGGAATGTGGAGGGAAGCAAATGGCAAAACACACCGGTTTTTCAGGTCCCTGCAATTGCAACTTAGAGCAAGCACATTCTGCTGCCTCGTGTCAAAATGTTTAGGAAGATTCAGGAAGTTGATTTTTGTAAACTAAGACTGTGACCATGAAAATTCTGAAGATAAGGGTTTTTTTGACCCTCTAGGGTCAGCTTTATCTAACCAGAGGCACTGAACATGACCACTCAGTTTGTTCTTGTCGTTATTGCAGAGGATGTGTGTTTGTTGATCTGCCCAGTTGGAAGAGTTGCAGTTGAATAACTGCTTTAGCTAAAATTCTCATTGGCACAGAGATCAGCTAGTCCCTGTGAGCAGAACATTAGAGATGTACAGGAGCTAAGAAATGTTTTGTTTTGTTTTTAAATGCCTTGGTGCAATGTCCCACTGAACCTGCAACAGGATGTGCACATCTGTTCATCCCCTGAAAAGGCAACCCACTCCCTGCTTCAGTGTATGCGATAGGATCACCTTCATTAGTTTCTTTAGCACTGCTGCAGAGTTACAGATGGTGCTTGGCAAACTCTGTTGGCCCTGGAAAAAGGACTCATTAAGCACTAGTAGAAGGCTCACAAGGATATGCAGCTCTCGTACAAACCCCCAAAGCATATGACATTTCTTACTGTGTACAGGACACAGCTTCCTTTGTCTAGCTGTCTCAGCTCTTCCACAGATGGTCAGGAGCTTCCTCGATTGCTGGTGAGATGAGATTGAATTGACCACTTCTCACCCACATAAAGCAGTCTGTGATTTTTTTTTTTAATGTATTTTTTTGAGATGGTGTCAGGGTTTGTTGGAGGAAGTTGTGTCCTAGTAACTGACAGAAGGAGAAACAGAGAACATCTGTGGGTTAGTTAAGGAGAATCAGATGGCTTGCAAACTTTCTCTTTTACGCTTAGGTGGGGTGTTTTAGGCTGGGGACAGTGATGACATGACAGACACTAAAACGAGCGAGAAGACGACTTTCTATAGTAGGAAGATCTTTACTCTTAGCTTAGATAGATTTTGTTGTTGTTCCTTCGACAGTTAAATGTACTATATTAGAAAGCTGTAAAACATTTCGTGACACTGTTTCCAGGATGTGTGAGAATGGTCTCTTGTTATGTTCATTTATTTTTGACATTGTTGGAGTTACCTCCTAGACCTGTTAAAAGGATGTTTCATTTTCAGAGTGAAACAAAGCACATCAGGAAAATGTATGAGCAAGGGTGGCTGCTCCTGATGGCATGCTTCAGTAGGGTGCACAGGACATCAGAAAACATCCATCCTCATGGAAATCACTGCCCAATTTACCTGCATTCATTGATACAAAGAGCAGCACTGAAGCAATGCAATGGCTTCCCTTCATTATCATCTATCCTTTTGGTGTTGCCAAAATAAATGAGAAAAATATTTACCACAGGTTAATACTGCAGTAATACACTTAACAATAAAATAACTCATTTATTGCTCAAGATCACTTGAACTGCGCTGTGTTCCTTTGTGTTGCTGTCAAGGAAATGTATATGCTAAATGTGCCAAGAATCAATACAGCTGCTTCTGTTCTTATATCTATTTAGTCTAGTAAGTACTTCTCTTGACAGGAGTCTTGAAGCCACATGTCTTTCTTATAAGTGTTGAGTTTTTGTGTTGTTTTGGTGGGAAAGAGGAGACAGGCTTTTATTTCTACTTCTTGTGCAACCTAAACTGTCAGTCTTCAAAATTTTCCTACACTTAAAATGTTCTCTACTTTTCAAACCATCGTACAGCAACCTTACACTTTTAAAGGGGTTGGAGTTTGTTTATTGTTTTTCCTTAGCTAGAGTAGCATATAAATGCCAGTTGCAATGTCTTTGGTATCTCTGATGAAGGTTATCTTAGGTTTCTCCAAGTTAAGTGGCAACCAGGCAGAAGTTCAAGGAAGCTCTTTGCCAAAATGGCTGTTTAACATAGATGCACATTGAAAGAATCTTTTCATCTAGACTAGTTACTTGAAGACATGTCTTTCAAAGGTTAAACTTTGCGATCTTAATGGTATTAAGCTGGGTGGCTACCTAGAAATATTTCTAGTTTCCCCAAATCTTTTTCCCTCTGCCTCCAAAGCAGTCAGATCAGTGCCCTGTGCGCTCTTTTTTAGGAGTATTCCTCAAAATGAGAGCAGCTAAACTATGCTGATGTTTCCCTTCCCACCAAATTGCTTATGCCTTTGCCAAAATGCAAATCTTTGAAGGTAATTATCATCAGTGTTGACAAAAGTATCATGTTTGACAACCTTCTTAACTTTCTGGTGAAACATTCTGCTTGAAAGTGTGTGGGATATTGTACTGAGGAATGGTGGATCACGAGTAATGTTTTTCAGAACTTGGGTACTATTTTAGATGTTGGTTCTTAATTAAAGCATGCTAGCTGACTGTATTGTAACGTTGATGTTAAAATTGCATGTAAGGCAATCCTGATGTAAAGGCTGCTTTTGATTTCTTTTAGGTATTGTGGTTACTATGTTGATCACCAAACAGTCTTTCATATTGCAAGCTCTGCTGTTAATGTTGAGCTTCAGTGCAGTTCAAAGGTGTCAGAGAAGCCACTTCTGGTGGAGTACGGCAGCTATAACATCAGCCAACGTAAGATGGACCTTTATTTTTTTTCAACCCATCTTTGTATTTCAGCCCTGTAAAACTGAACATCTCAGGTTCAGTGGGACTTGACTATCTTTATGCAGGAAACTGTCATGTTGCGTTGTTTATTTGTTGATTTTACTTTTTTAGGTGACTAGCAAAGAGCCTTTTATAGCACATCAAGGCTATGTGGCAAAGGTTTGCGGGCATGTGCAGCATGCTCTGGTTTTCCTGTGCATACACAGTCTTTTCTCTTCTGCATAGCTCTTAAAGCTTCCTGTGTAGCGAGAACATGCATGGGTCTCGTGAACTCCTCAAGCCCCACATTAGCTTCTACCTGTGCCAATAGCTTTGCTAGCTATTTACTTCCTATTTAGTAAAACCTGAAGAAAAAAAAAAGTCATACACTGGAATCTGTCAGATGATGTGTGTCAGTCAACTGAAGTCAGTTAATCCTATTTACAAACAAAACTTTGGCAATGAAAACAATCTTCCTATTACCATGAAAAGCTCCAGGTAATGAACACAGTATTGAGCTGTACTGAATAACCAACTGCTTATTCCAGAACTTTTCCAACCATCAGATTTTTCAAATCCAGAAACAGACAACTATTTACTGAAACCATTTCTTATGTTAGTCTTATAAACATTGATGTTAAAGTAGTAGAGAAAAAATGCTTTTTAGTCACAGCTATGTACCACACCAGAGCTCTTTTTATGCATTGAGTATCTGTGGAGTATGTAAAAAGACACTAACTTCACGACTTTATGTTAAAAGGCTAATATTTCTGTAATTCACAAATCACCTTAATATAGTATACTAATTTAGTGGCTATTGAAAGCGAGAGTATCCTTTAGAAGAAGGCATTCTAAGCTGTGTTTGTTTGTTTGTTTGTTTTTTTGTTAAACCTCCAGCATGTCCACCTGGATATTTCAAGTGCTCCACTGGCTTATGCATCCAGCAGATACAGCGCTGTGATGGGATAAACAATTGCTTTGATGAAAGTGATGAACTCTTTTGTGGTTTGTATTTATTCACTAGAGATCTGGATGCAAACCCCCCTAAATGTATTCTTTAATCTGAGGTCTTAAAAGGTAGCTAAAAGAGGTGAAACTTTGGGGGGGGGAGGAGGAAGAGAAGATGTTTCTAGGTTTCTTTGAGTTTCCACATTCAGGCTATCAGTTGGTATCTTGCATGTTTAATTCATAATTAATCAGCACAGGAAAGTACTAAGAATGAAGAAGGTATGACATGGAAAAGCAAGAGGAAGAGAATTAATGTGCAAGAATAATTGTAAGGGGTTGGAATTCAGGTTTTCCTTCTGTGATAAATGCTATTTTTGAGATAAATTATTTTCATGAGGAAATGACAAATTGCAGATAGAATAGATGAGAGTGATGATAAATGTCAGTGGTTGAAAGAGCATGAGCCACCCACTTGGGCCAATGTGTGAACTGGGATGGGTTACTGAAGTCTTTTTGCACTTCATTTTCTCTATGCATAATGCAACCCTCACCCTCATGCTTGTAAGTGCAATGAGCTATGCAAGTGATACCTGGACATGGTCAGAAGGATAGTGTTAGCATTACAAGTATGCTTCTGAAACTGATTTGACTCATGTTTTCAAGTTGTCCCTGAGTGGAACTGTAACTCCAGCTTTGCGATACAGGATAACTTGCTTGCCTGCAATGGAGTAAGTGATTGTGAGAATGGAAATGATGAGGAGAACTGTACCAACAGTAAGGCTACTCTTGTTGTTGTTGTTGTTTCTTCCTCCCCTTCTATCATTTATTCAATCTTGATTTAAATACTTGATGCAGGATTCAAAGAGTTAAGAGGCACTGTCAAATCTAACACAGGATATATAATTCTGTTCAGTTTTCTGATATGCTTGTAAACAGTTATTGATTTAAACTGTGGGTTTTTTTGTTGTTTGTTTGTTTTTTAATGAGATCATGAACATCTATTTCTGTTGAAATACTAGCACAAATGGGGATCTAGAAACCTGAAGTTTGATTCCGAAATTTTATCTCCCTAAAGCAAAATCTCTGCAAATGATTTCCTGGATCTGTTTTACCATCTGTAAAATAACTATAAAGAGGACTGTTTCTTTGGAACAGTTTTCAGGCTTATAAGGCTGATGTGTTTTAAAACGCAATGTAAGTGTAAGTCTGGCGGTAGGCACAGTAAAGTTTTCAATTTGCTGTTTCTTTAACTTAGAACCAATGGACACCATGACATGTGAGAGGGAGTCCAACTAAGAAATGCTGCATGTTTTTAAAGAAACATTTTAAAAGAAATGTCAATATGTATGAACTTTTTAACTTTGACAGTCTGTGTAAATGGTTACAGGATACTTGTTTATGTTAAGAAGAAAAACAGACTCCTTTTCAGTGGAATCCTTTATTGCAAGCCACAGAGAAATAGGAAAACACCAGGGTTGGGAATGCAGTTTAACTGGCTGTAATTACTAAGATGGCTTTCACTGCCATCTTTTGTTTCATAGGTAATGCTGAGATATAGAGGGTTTCTTTCCAGAGTACTGGATGTTCTTCTCTTTCTTGCCTAGCACTTACTCTATTGGCAAGTTTTTGATAGTATACCTATGCTTACTAGTGCTTTGAGAACAGATGAGGGGAAACGCATGTTCAAAAATACTGCCAGCTTGATACAGGCACTAGTTTAGATGCAGCTCTACTTTTGAATAGCTTGTTCAACTTAAAGGCTGGCTTAAGCCATCTCAGACCAAGTGCTTTCTTGCTACGTTCCCTACTGCCTGTTGATACATCTATGAATTTCATCTATGCAGATGTATAAACATGTAAACCTGGTCCAATATTCTTCCTTTTTTTTTTTTTTTTCCACACAATTATTTCAGGTATTCCTTGTACCAATCACACATTTAAGTGCAGGAATAATATATGCATTAAGAAACAAAATGCAAAATGCGATGGGACTGTGGACTGTACTGATGGAAGTGATGAAAGCAGCTGCAGTAAGTCCCTCCCACTTGTTTGAACTTCAAACCTTTCACGCTTGAAAGCCTTTTTATTTCTTTCTCTTTTGGAGTTTGTATAACTCATGTAGCAGCACATAATGAGTTTTTTATTGTGTCTGCTTAGTGGTAGTAGGATAACAGTCTGATATCAGCTTATGTTAGGTCTGGTTGCAGTGTTTGTGGGAGATTGGGCTTACCACTATGAGGAGTCTTAGTTATGATGTTTATTGCAGCTATGTTAAGGAACAGAGAACTTGGGGTAACTACAGAATTAACTTGGCCAGCTGGAAAGGCAGTGTTCTTAGAGCTTTCAGCAGAGCTGAGTACTTTTATTGGAGTCAGACAGTATTTATACTTCTGGAGTTCTGTATCTGCAGTGAGAAACGCGTTTCATTTCTGTCTCCTGATGGTGAAGATCTCAATATCTCATAGTATCAGTCTAGGTTATAATCTTAAACCTTCTGAAAGTAACCTCTGTACAAGTTCTTTTGGCTTATTTATATATATATATAATGTAATTAATAAAATAACACATTCAGATATTATATAATGCATTACATATAGTATGTAAAATAATATATATTATACAGTGTGTATACATATATATATATATAAAAATACAATTGTTACTGCAGTAGGAATTTAAAAAATGCGTTAGGATTCACTTGCTTAAACTGATAAAATATCCTAGGGTATTTTGTCTGGCCTTCAGCTGTTCCTGCAATGTTACATATATGTCAAACCTGCCACCATCTGCCTTGGATCAAGTATGACATTTTAAAAGATGAATTATATGCCTACTTCTGTTTGGAAGTGTTAATGCTGCTTTTGACTCTTTGTATGGGTGCTGGGAAGTGTTAGCACCTGTCTATGAGAGCATGGGACTAAAAGAAGGATACAAGGTCCTGTAGCACAGTCCTTCTCCCTTCTTCAAAATAGTGTGAAGGTTTTTGTGTTGAGGCATGACTTATTCACTTCTGAGTTAGCAATATACAATGCTTTCAGACTTCCAGTTTCTCCCATTGTAAATTAGTGATAGGATCACCTGGTTTCTGAAGTAATAAATGACCAAACTGTGCATACATAGCTGATGCTGTAAGTATCTTTCTCATACTCATGTTTTGGCTGGAAATAAGTATGCAGATGCTCCTGAACTTCCTTCCCTCCAGAAGCACTCCTTTCAGTTCAGGACTAACTGGACTGGGTAGTAAAAAGAGTTGAAGGATTGTATGTTTTTACATATTCATTGTGATGCTTGTGAAATCAATGGATCCTCTGAAATATCTGACACAAGAAAGATTTAGAGACCAATTTCTCTGGCAGAACTAGAATAGAAAGTTTTATTTCTAAGGCCAGTGCCCTTTTTTATGGTGTCATCTCTTGTTTCAGGAACAGACTAGGTGGATAGACAAGTTTTCCGATCAGGGCAAGGAAATGAACTTGAAAACATTTTAAAGAGCAAAATTCTTTCATACAACATGTGGGAAGCACTCTCATTAAAGGAAAGAACGCAGGACAGAGATAGTAACCTGAAATATCCCTTTCAGGTTGTGGCAGCAGCAAGAGCAGCAATCTCATCTCTCGGATTGTAGGTGGTACAAACACAAAGGAAGGTGAATGGCCATGGCAGGTCAGCCTCCATTTTGTGGGAGCTGCTTACTGTGGGGCATCAGTGATATCAAAAGAATGGCTTGTATCTGCAGCTCACTGCTTTCAAGGGAGCAAGTAAGCAGTCTTTTCCCCCCAAACCCTATCCCAAATATCACTAGTGTTCTGGAACACTTTTAGCTTCCAGAGTTTGAACTGTACTAAGGTGTGATGTGCCCTTCTTTCTTTGGCCCAGTGGTGGGAAAGGTGATGCATTGTGGAGTACTTTTTGAAGAGATGGTGTGTGTTTTTGCTCCCAACCAGGCTGGCTGACCCCAGAGCATGGCGTGCTCACTTGGGGATGCAAACACAAGGCCGTGCAAAGTTCGTATCTGCTGTGAGACGGATCATTGTCCACGAATACTATAATAGCAGGAACTACGACTATGACATTGCATTGCTACAGCTGAGCAAACCGTGGCCAGAAACAATGAGCCACGTCATTCAGCCAATCTGCGTACCTCCATTTTCACACAGAGTCCGCAGTGGTGACAAATGTTGGATAACAGGTTGGGGCCAAAAGCAGGAAGTGGGTGAGTTTAATACCATCAGTTGAGTTAACATTTCTTCCCCAGGTGATCAGCTGCAGGTTTGTGTGCAGGACGCCTGCTGTTCTTGCATGCGTGAAGCATGCAGAAAACTGTAATGTTTTGAATTTAGTCTCCTCTGGAAGTAGGTTCTTGCATGTATGTAACTTTATGCACTTAGGAAAATTAGCAGCCAATCCTGTGGATCTGCAAGTACTCTGTGCTTGTGTTGGGTAAGATTGGCAAGGAGCTGCACTTTTTCTTCAGTCATACAGTATTGTTTCTCCTCTTTGTTACTCTTAGAGTTTCATTAACCTGCCTAAATGGACTCTTCCTTGCCTGCTGCAGGGGAACGAACCTAATTTTCCCTACTCCTGCCTTCAACCTCTTCATGATGAGCTCTGAGGCATGGAGCTGCCTGCAAGGCACCACCACCTGTACCCTCAGGGTGTAGCTGAGAAAATGGACACCATATTGACAAAACGGCTGCCCCTGTAATGGTGGGCTGGCTCCCTCCCACACCTTGTCACATGCTGCCTCTTCTTTTGCACAAATGCTAGTACCTTTGGCCTTGTTGTAGCCATCCAGTAACAGAAAGCAGGGCTTAGGAAAGGACTAGGTAATGGTACGGTGGCTACTAGCACCTGTGTGCTGTTGGATGGACTTTCCCAGGTGAGGAAACACAGGTGTGAACAATTGCCACAGCATCAGTCACATCACCACCACCAAGCCAAACCTCCACTCTACTGGGATGCGCCTGACTTAGGTGGTTTGCCTACACCTCCAGGGCTGCCCTGCCCCAGCTTTGCCTGCCATCTCAGGGTGGCTGTCTCCATGCTGCTCCTCCACACTCAGATGAGAGTGGGAGAAGCAAACATGGTGAGGTGCAGCAGCATGTAGGCAGCCTCTAGTATTTTGACTTGATGCTCTCAGCCAGAATCACCATCTTCCAAATCACGTTTCTTCCAAATTACATACAGGCTCTGCAAGTAGCTGTGAGAAATGTATGGTTGTGAATGAAGTACAGCCATCCTACCAGGTCAAGTGTAGCATGACGTTTCCTTGACCTATTGATTAGTCATTTAGGAAATTTTAAAACATGGTGATTTGAAAGATAAACATGATACCTCAAAAAAGAGAGGGAGAAGTGTTCTTTTCCCTTTGCTCCTCTCTTCATTTCCCTCTTCTTCAATTTCCTCTCTTTCCCTCTTTTTCTTCATCAGTTTACATAATTTGTAAAATTATTCTTTTAAATATGTTATAAGTGTATTTTTTAGTATACACCACCTTTACCTAAACCCAAAACAAACCTGAAACTTGCACACTTGAATATGTTGGTGAAATTTCTTTGGCTATACCCTTTTTTGATAGGACCTCATGATATTATTACAGCTTTTATGCTGAAAGGACAGAACAGTTCAGTTTAATTCTGCTTTACTGAAAATGTATATTTTGCAGAAAAGATGTCTTTTAACAAAACATTTGGATAGAGAGGGCAGAATTTAAGGTAAGTCTGAACTTTTAAGCTGCCAAAAGAGAATTTTTTGATGTGTAACACTGATCTGTGATTTTAGTTCTGGATGTAGCTTCTTGAAAGACACCACCCTAACTGCAGATATGTCTTGTTAAAATCCAAATACTTTTATAAGATTCAATTTTTTCCCAAAATAGAATCTTCACAAATTAGTGAATCTTGAGACATTTTGCAAAAGACATTACAGAAGGCTTTTTGGCCGACCCTAATGATTAGGCCATTGTCTTTGCTGTGGCCAAGGGCCCATGATCATGTTATGCAAATGCCTGGTAGAAGAGGCTTTCTGTGCCTTTGGGATTTAGTTGTTTGCAATCTGGAACAGCTTAGAGTTCAAAAGTGTGTGGGGATATTTTCTGAAGACTTCTTGGTTGTGCCTTCACTAGACAAGTAATATGTTAAGCTCTGTTGAACCATCCCTTTCAATTTGTTTCCCAGGTGAGGAAGGTGCTGCGATTCTTCAGAAAGCAGAAGTAGAAATTATTGACCAATCATTATGTCATTCCACATATGGGATTATCACAGCTAGGATGTTTTGTGCAGGACTAATGTCTGGAAAAAGAGATGGGTGCAAAGTATGTATCTTATTACAACTCACATAGAGTTTATTTTGCCTTTCATTGTTGCATGATGAGATGTTAGAACTTGGTGGCAAACCACCATGTGGTACGTATGGTTTGGTTCTGAAACACAGCTGTGTAAAAGAGTCGTTTAATAGGTAGTCTGTCATTTGGGTATTCTCAGAGGGTTGCTGGTTTGTGTGAATGAATAGCTTCATGAAGGTTGAATTGCAGGCCGAGGTCCAATGGATTTGCATGATGAAGGTAGGCTATATCTGGCAAGAGGGTCTCTAAACTGAAAAAAGAAATTGAGAAGCTAGCTTGTTTCTTTTCAGGATTCCTTCCCCCTAGTGTTGAAATAGAGGGCTGTCTGATGAGGTGCAGACAACTAGACATAAAATTTCAAATGTGTAATATTTCTTCTGATCCGGCAATGCTGTGAAATAATACATGTGAAATTCTGAATTCTCATGGCAAGTAATATCTAAGTGTTTTCGAAGAGTATAATGCATTGGCTGTTTATTAGCAGCTCATGAGACTGACAGCAAGCATCATTTCCATTAACCAGGGAACCTTGTTTCTTCAGTTGTCTTTTTGGGCACTCAAGACAGTCAATGAAAGGCATAATTTGGAGGTTGTTTGGCTGCATTTCATTCAAGGAAAAATATTGTCTGACTATGTCTGGCAGTTATTAGAGCTGATAGATTTGTGGGATTTCTGTTTTGTGAAAAATGCTGCTGTTCCTGTTTCTTTTTGTCCCAGTAATTAAAGAATCAATTGAATGATTAACTCTCTAAATGAAAAATCTTAATTGTCAAGCATGGAAAAAGATCTTCTATGTGAAACCTTTAATAATTTTATGAGAATTCAGGATGATCATGGAGTGTCCTACAATCCTATAAAATTTAAAGCAAAATAGTTCACTGGCTGTAACAGAAACTATGTGTAGAAGGAAAACACTTCCTTTGCAAACATCAAAATTGTACCAGCTCAGACTTCGCTTTTGTAAATACTTTTTTACATTCAATGCTTTGGTAAAGCTCAGTTTACTAACAGCTGTTTCAGAGGAATTGTGTCTGCAACAGAGTCTTACAAGGAAGTAAAAGATTGATCCAAGAGACTTTCCGCAAATGGTGGCAATTTTTTTTTGCTTGAATTTCCGCCGATATTGTCCAGAAGAATTACCCTGTAAAGGAAGGGTACTGCTTGCATTGTTCTGTAGCATTATTATTCTATATAAAACTTGGAAGTCTATTACGAACTTTGTTTCAACTGCCTTAATTCCAAAAGCATTGTGGTACCCCTAAGCATTATCTGCTAGCTAGTGTCTATTATATATATAAAACACTTAGTGTTTTGTTTTGTTTTTTTTTTTTAAATGTTGATGGATCACACTCTATTTCCGTTTGCTTTTAATTTGAAGGAAGTTGTGTTGACTATTAAATATTCTAATTTAAAAAAAATATTAGAACAGTTTTGAATTCTTTATAAAAGCTTGTTTTTTGGAGTCGTCAGGTGTGTAGCCTCTAAATGAACATATGTATTAAGTAGCAGATTTGGGGTTTAACTGTTAGTTTGAGGTTAGGAAGTTATTTGTCAAATTGAAATACAGCTCACAAAAGGTAGTGTATTAATACATTAAAAGAATGACAGCTAGTCCTCTCTCATGTGAAAGAGTAAACTTTGGTACAACTGTGTGATCCCATCTGCTTCAATTAAACAAACAAAATACCATAAAACTGTTGACTCTGGTTTGAAGTCTGTGAGTGGGGAAAATGTAAGCATTGCTTCAATTATTTGTGCAAAATGACTCCCATTGAATTTTGTCCCAGTTTTTATTTTCTAGATTTTAAATTCGTACAACTTAATATATTCTTTTTAGGGTGATTCTGGTGGACCATTGTCATGTCAAAGCAATGGAGATGGAAAATGGTTTTTGACTGGCATTGTTAGCTGGGGTTACGGATGTGGAAGACCAAATTTCCCTGGTGTCTACACAAGAGTGTCAAATTTTGCACCGTGGATTCACAAATATGTGCCTTCAGTCATGTAACTTGAAAACTGTTTTACTGAAATAAAATATGTACTGAATATCTTCATTAAAACATGGTTGGTTAAAAACTATTCAGTGTTGGAATTTCTTTCCATGTCACAAGACACAATACTGCTGACACAATATTTAATTTTGGAGTACACATATAGCAGTAACAAGCACCCTTTGTTCAAACCTGGGTGAAATGAGTATCAGAAGAAGACTGATCTTGTGGTGGTGGTTCTGTACAGGTGTCTGTTGACACAGGAGAAGTGATAATGAATGTATGGCAATTTTCACTCTTACTGTTAGCACAAATTATACACACGTGCAATCGTCTGTCAGGAAATCAAAGAGTCAACTTTCCAGCTCGAGGCAGCTTAAGCCTCATTCACATATCTCTTCTGAGGTGTGCATGGTTCAATACAGTAGTAACAGTGAAATAGCAAATGACCATCAGTACTCCTGCTAATCCTACATTTCCTGCCTCCTAGGGTGACAGCTGACAGAGGAAGAGAAGGATTGGGCAAGTTAGCCCAATCCTCTCAAATCTGCAGGGCACTGGTTTTTGGAGATCAGAAGTTCTGCAGATAAGCGTGGAACACAAAGCATTAGCAGTATATCTTCTCCAGTTTCTGTTTGTAATTGACTGTATGGTTTAGAGCTGCTAACTCACTATTCTCTACCTTAATTTCTCCCTATTGAAGATCATTCATACTTCATCCTCCTCAGAATTTGAATTCTTTATCTGAGGCAACCTTGACAAGATGAATGAATGTGGTGATGTGTGTTATTGCAATGATCTTGCCCTTAACAAAATAAAACCAATGCTTCTACTCTCTGAGAGGTATCTTAACTATCTTAAACATCTATAAAATTGGGTTCTGTGAATATATGTCATTTTAAAAAGAATAAATCCTGATTTCATTTTCCGAGATGATCTGAAAGAGGTTTTATTTACTCTAGGCTTTTCCTGTAGGTCTCTTTTCCCTGAAGGAGAAGGCAAAGTATCAGTCAATCAGCAGGTTGTGTGTGTAGTGGAGACAGGGTATTGAAGAAAGAGGAGGACTTGAACAAAGCCGTCTGTCTACAGCTGTATTTTGCATTCCTTAGCTGTGAGGATTGACTTCCAGTAAATCCTTTCTGTAGTGACCTGTGTTTCCTTTGTTTCCATTTGTTTTCTGGAGCACAGGTTTTTTGGGCCAGTTCTGTGGTACCCCCCCCCCCATGCCTCTGGTTGCGTTCTTTGCTCTATGGACACGTGTGTGTGTGTGTGTGTATGTATATACACATACATAAATTCCCTGAAGTTGTTGGCTTGCTGACTTGATACTGTTATTAATTCCAGACATGTAATATGATCATTAATCGCTCTGCAGTTAATGTTTGTTCTGTGGTACAGGCTTGAGGCTATCACATTTGCAACTGAAAAATTCATGTGGTCTTTAAAATTGTGTGCTTTTTTTTTTCTTATAAATGTTTTTGTAGGTTATATTATGTGTTGTCTAGAAATCACATCATTTGCTTTGATCCGTGATTTTTTACATGTAAAGTATGTATTTTGCATTGTGACATAAATTACCTTACTCCATTATGTATCTAAAAGAAGAAGGGTGCAACCAGTTTGTTCCCAAATTATAGGATCCATGTCGTACCCTAGACAGTTAGGAAAACAAAGAGTTACAGTGATTGTGACTTTTCCTCCCCACCTTCTTTGATTGCAGATCGCCTGGCTCCAGCTTTGAGCAGGATGGCAAAGGTGAAATGAGAGAAGCCTGGTCTGTGTTGAGGGGAGAGCAGTATGCTCTTCTGGGTTACATTTAAGTTTTGGGTTATATTTAATAAATGAGGTTCATTTATGATTTTGTTATTAGGTTTGTTGAAAGGTGTTCGTCAAGGCATCATGATACGGGCTATCAGCTCTGGGCGGGTTTCTGTGTACAGCATACCAACTCCATACCACTCTGAGCAGACTGCTGGGCAGGTAAGAGATATCAGCTATGCTTTATAACAGAAACATGTTCTGTTATATGTTCTTCATATATGTAATTGTTAATAACTGAAGTGATAGTAATTTCCCTCCCCATTTATAATTTGAAATAACAATTGCAAGGTGACCTAGAAATATGTGGGTTTCATGTGTGACATAACTGATAACGTGAAAGGCATGGTCTTAATTTAAATCTCTCTTAAAAACTAAAACAGCAAATACAACAAAAAAAAAGAAAAAAAAAAAAAAAGAGAGAGAGATACAGTGGCTCTTCTTGTAGAGCTCTTCTAACTGATGTGTGTCTATCTTTAGGAAAATCCATATATTCCCTACTACCTGTCCTACCAAGAGGGCTTGTGTCAGAAATACCATTTTTTCAAATGGAAGAGGCTGTGTTTCTGGAGAAGATGGTTTCTGGGAATACTGCCTTTGGTTTCTTTAATGGTTACAGTAATTGTGCTAGTCCTGCACTACTCATTCTGTAAGTGTTACTGCCTAGCATAGTGTGAATGGGATGGGTGTTTTGCACTGCGTGAATAGTTAGTGTAAAAAGCTCTGCTCTAAATAGCTAGACATGTAATGTGCGTGTAATTACTGACTTTCCTTTCTCCTTAACATCTTCGCGAAGGGAACAAAATGCACGATAATTAGTGGTTGATAGTTGCACAAGAGTAATGAAGGTATATGTTTTATTCCTAATTGTTTGTCTCTGTTTTTGAATACTATCATGATAATTACTATCATTTCTTCTAAGAACCTGTAGGAATTAACTGTCTAACTTCACTTTTACAAAACAGAATGGATAACTGATTTTTGTATGGTTCTTCCCAAATGTCAATTTATAGACATTAAAATCGTCTCTCTCCAGGAGGATTGCACTGTAAAATATGGAAGTTTAACAATTAGAGTTTTATTAGTAAATACTTATCTGAAAGCTTTGCAGGAGATGCTTTTATTTGGACCTATACCTCATTCCTCTTCTCTCTGTTATTCTACTGGTGGAACTGTCTCAGCACTCTGGTTGTTAGTATTTGCTTCTCTTAAGAACTAATGCCTGTTGATGCTAGGACAAATACATTTTTCCACAAGCTTCTTGTTCTGGAGTCTTTTCCGTAATGTTATTAGATGTGGTAATTTTTGATGCTTTTTTTCTCAGCTCCAGCTTTCTCTTTTATATATATTGGTGGAAGCGTAGAAATTCCTAATCTGACTTACACAAATGATCTCAGTGATCCAAAATCACAGAAATTCCTCCTGCAAGCAGAAGCAATCCAAAATTACGTAAGTTCCTATATAAGTATAGTAATTATTTAAAAATATTTGTTACAGAATCAAATTGAGATTGAGGAGAAGATTCCAGTTTGAGGCACATTTTTTTTCCTTTCAAAGTATATAAATTTAAAATAAACAAGTGGCTTGGAGGTGTACCATGTTAGGAATGCAGATAGACAGATATATCTGTCCCTCGCGTTAAAGAAAAAAAAAAAAAAAAAAAAGGCGTCTGAGAGTTTTAAGGTTATGGATGAATTATTCTTAAACAAGCCTAGGAGTCTGTTTTGTTTTGGTATAGTTGAACGCTTTTCCTTGCTACTTACTTTCTCTTTGATCTGTTATTTATTTATTATAGCTTGAATTTGATTCATGACCTTTTGTTTTGTTTTCCTTTAATCCCACAACAATGCTTGCTTTCTAAGGCTTCTCATGCAGGTTTCTATTTTTTTAGATCAATACTGTTTCTATGATACTTGCAAACAGAAGGCTTAAACACAAAGCAGTTCTCTGTTAACCTGTGTTTTCCAAAAGGGCTAATTGAGTGTCTCAGAGCTGCTTTGTGCATAGCCAATACAAGTTTTTATGTCCAGATTGCATGACAGAAATTTGCCACAAATTTTAGATAACTATGTAAACTCTTAAAAAAAAAAAAAAAAAAAAAAAAAAAAAGCTGTATTTATAAATGCTTCTTTTCCATGGGTAATTCTCAAGGGTTTTCTCAATGTTCTTGTAAATGTGATGGCTTATTTTTTAATGGAAAATAAATGCACATTTATGATCGTTATTTGACACATTTTGTGAAAATTACGAATGGTATCTGTCATATGTAGGGTGTTTGTTAAGGGAAGAAATAAGATAAATACTTTTTAACATAACAGATTATATTAACAGTAAAACATAACACTTCACATTTTCTTTTATAATTTTTTTTTAATTGTCAGTTTGCAGAATCCTATGAGTATTCCACCTTGGGAAAGTACTACTTGAAATCTGTAGTGGCTACATTCAGGTAGGTAGGTTTACATATGAGATACTTAATTATGTTACTCTAGTCTTTTTGGTTGATTTTAAATCAGTTATTTTGGGATAATATGCAGATCTTTATATCAGGGAATGAAAGACACGTAATAAAGACGTGAACTAAGCTAACAGTGTGATTCATGATCTCTGTAGAACTGGTGAGTGAAATGGAGCCACCCATAAACAATTAACCTACTGTTTTTTGAAATCATAGTTCGGCATGTTGTTTGTTTGTGTTTTTGTTGTTGTTGTTGTTGTTGTTGTTTTTTTCTCTGCTACTTATTTTGGTTTTGTCTATTTAAATGAAGTTCCTTTTTAACCCCTCCAAACAAAATTTAAATGTGCAATTGTGGGCAGAGCACTCTATTTAAGCTCCTGCTGAGAAATGCAAATACATTGAGCAGATGTATTGCTGTCCCAAGTCTCTGAAAAAATCACTAAAAACTTCTGAAAGGTCAGTCTGTAAGCCATTTTGGAAGGAGGTTCATCACAATGAACAGTCTCTTTGAATCACTGGAACATTACTTTGCATTTGTACTTATGCAGATAATTTATTTTAACAAGAATTGTGTGCAGTGTTGTATCAAAGTATGGGCATAAAATTATATTGTTGTATAGTGTGTAGCCTCAGTTAAAATATATAAAGTAAAATGCATCTAGAACAATATGACCTTTAAGATATGACCTTTTAATTATACAGCAGGGACGGAAACATCCAATTCCATATAATTATTTCAAGGATTTTCTGTTAGGTGTAGTTTTCAGTCTCTGTGTTACTGTTTAAGCAGTATATTTTCCAAGTATTTCTAATGTATTTAAAAAAAAAATTTAAAATGTTGAATGAGAGAGCTTTTTGCCACCATGTGAAGCTGCAACCCTTTGCATGGTAGTTACAACTGACTATAAAACTATGTGAGCCAAAAATGCAGACTAGTAAAAAGCATGTCCAAAATACTAATTACAGTGTATTTATGATTTTTTTATTTATTTTTTTTTCCCCACACGCAGTGAAGGAGAGTATGGACTTCGAGCTTACTACTGGAATACATTCTGGGCACCACAAGATATTGTTGATTCTCTTAAAAAGTTAATCCCATTGGAACAAAAAGAAATCAGTAGTAAACATATCCCTCACATGTTCAGTACTTCTGGGGAGAAAGATTTTGATCTTGTTACAATGGAGCTTTTTGGTAACAATGTACTTGTCATTTAATATCTATTCTGCCTATTTTGCTTTCTTCAGTTTGTGTCTTTGGCTTGTGTAGCTGACAGTTATTAAATTTCAGTTTCAGATTCCACAGAATATGATGTGATGCTAAAATCAGGTAATTATTTTTCAGTTCAAAGCAGTATTGCTTTGGGGGAAAACATATATCCTGTAAAAGGAAAAAGACATTTTCCAAATTATTCTTATATGGGTGTAGGGCCTATGAAACAAGCCAGAGTAAGGATCTCCCTGGCCTATTTTTGCACTAAATAAGGGCTGGTTTGAAAATGCCTTACAGCTTTTAATCTGATATTCTAACTAGAGTGGTTGACGTTGAGTAGTCCCCACTGAATTGCAGTGAGCTGTGGCTCCTTGGCATCTTCAAAAAAGCTACTGCATAAAATTATACAGAATTTATTTACCTTATGACTAGATAATTTTGTTTATACATATTTAGTGTTCAGTCAAATACTGGAGAACTTTAGTTAGCTTTGCCTGAATTTTCTGTACCAAACAAGCCTCAAGATTAGCTTCCTATACTTAGTGTTTGCATTGCATGAAGATGGACGAAGAAATGTCAAAGGAAGCAGTAGATTTCCACCAGAGATAATAGCAGTTGCAGCCAGGTCCCCTTCTCCTTGTTGCGTGTGTGATGAACCAGTGGTGGTTGTGAAGCATTGTGCTTCCTTGCTGGGAGCAGGGAAGCAGCCTGGAAGGGAAAGGGGTAGATTTGTGGAAATAAGTGACGAAGAGATTAGAATAGTCAAGAAGTGCAGGTAGGTGATTGTTGCCACCTCTTCTGAAACTTTTGCCAATAACTTATCTTTCAACTTAACAGTTTTTCAGACACTAATCTAGATTCTTTTGTGTAGCGGTATCCTTTGACCTGTATGCCAAGCCAGGTAACAACCGAACTCTAACTCTGATGAATCCCAAGAAGTCTTTTTATCAATGGAGGTTGCGTGTTCCTTCTAACTATGTGGTGAGACTGGTAGTTACCACTTTGCATGGTGTCGCTCCAGAGAACTGTGCATCACACCACTTATCTGCATATGATTTCCTTCTTCCTCTGCAGAACAAGATCATTGCAAGGTATGGTAGTGCAGGACAAAGATGTTTTTTGAGCTGTACAGAAAATCTCTGAAACTGCAGAGTTTTAAATTGATAATTAAACAGGCTTCCAAAATGTAAAACCCTTCAATTAGATCTTAATTAAAAATCTTGAATAAGGTAATGAAAAGATCTTCCATATTATCCACCCCCAGTGATGTATAACTCCATCATTTTTTTTTTTGCATTCTATTTTTTCAGTGTTTGATTTCATACAATTATTGATACAGAGATAAAGGCTTTAATTTTTTATAGTACTGTATTCTGTTACTTAGAAAATATGTCCAGTCACAGGCAAACCTCTGTTGAAAACAGGCTTTTATCTAGAGAGGACTTCCTCCCCAAAGTCCCTTTGTAGTCCACTTGCATAAATGATATCAGATGATCTTGAAACAGCTCTTGGGACTAAATGTGAATAGGCTGAAAAGTTTTGGAGCTTGTTATCTGTTGCACAGGTGCTGCACAACACTTCTACCCTGAGCACTTGTGGCCTTTTCAGCACTACCCACTTCTCAGTACTATTGCTGCTACTGAAGTAACCTAATCCAGCACTGATTTTCTGATTCTTCTTTAGGTCTGAAAAATATAGGGTCCCTGTTAGGCAAGAATATCTGTGATGCTGAGCCTGAGTGACTCATCCTTGATGTGATGAAACTCTAGCATTTCATGTAGTACCAATGAAGTGGAAGAATGAAAGCAAAGTGGTAGGCAGGGGAACACTTCTGAAACACAGATGGCCAAATCAGTGTTGTTTTTGTCCAGCTTCTCAGCAAAGATGACAGGAATGTGAGGTTTGTTTTTTTTTTTTCCTTTCTTTTCTTTCATTTCATTTCATTTCCTTTTTTTTTTTTTTTTTTTTTTTAATGCAATCTTTGTAATCCAGGTGGTGTGGATCTGGGGCCTGGTCACCTCCTGTTATTCGTTTAACTTCATCAAAAAATGTAATGTTGCTTACCTTCTCACTGGACAAAAGAAAAGAAAGGAACATACTAAAAGCTCACTTTCAGGCAATCCCTAAAGTCAGTAAGTGACTAAATATAAACAAATGTCTTACGTAAGCAGATTTATTCCTCATTACCTCAAAAAAAAAAAAAAAAAAAAAAAAAAAACAACAAAAAAACAAACAATATTGCCCGAATGTGTCTTGTATCTGGGGGAATGAATGTTGGTATATAAATCAGGCAATTGTGATTCTGACCCACTGACCCCCATTTATTAAAATAAATGTCTGAGAACTGAACAAGGAATAGAGACTATAATAGAATCACTGAATATCCAAAGCTGGAAGGGACCCACATGGATCATCAAGCCCAAGGCCACACTGGACCACCCAAAAATCAGACCCTGTATCTGAGAGCATTGTGCAAACACTTGTTGAGCTCCAGCAGGCTCGGTGCCCTGACCACAGCCCTGGGGATTCTGTCCCAGTGCCCGACCACCCTCTGGGTGCAGAACCTTTTTCTGACTCCCAGCCTGATCCTCCCCTGTCCCAACTCCATGCCATTCCCTTGGGTCCTGTCTCTGTCCCCAGAGAGCAGAGCTCAGCGCCTGCCCCTCCGTTCCCCTCGTGAGAGAGCTGCAGACTGCCATGAGGCCTCCCCTTAGCCTGCTCTGCTCGGGGCTGAACAAACCAAGGGCCCTCAGCTGCTCCTCATACATCTTGTCCTCTAGATCTTTGACCATCTTTGTAGGCCTCCTTTGGACACTGTCTCATAGTTTTCTGTGCTTCTTATATTGTCGTGCCCCATACTGCACATGGTACTTGAGATGAGTACCCAAACCAGTAAAGAGCAGAGTTGGGTAATCACTTAATCACTTTTCTTGATCAGCTAGCAATGCTGTGCCTGGTGAACCCCAGGATATGGTTGGCCCTTTTGGCTGCCAATGCGTACTGTTAACTTACATTCAACTTGCTGACAACCAGAGTGCCCAGATCTCTTTCCACTGGACTGCTCTCCAGCCTCTAGTCCCCCAGTCTGTACGTGTAGCCAAACGCCCCAGTGGCAGAGTAGCACTACTACCAGTTTTGCTAACTGCTCCCCAGCTCAGGGGAAGTGTGTTGATGAAAAATTGAAAACGAGAGCAAACACTTCTAATATTAATCTTTGATCCTTTTCTGAAAGCACTTTTCAATGTAGTTGACTGTATAAGAAAAGTGGATCCAAGTCCCAAGAAATACATTCCAAACCTTCTGGGTGATTAGTAAAATATTTTGGATGAGCCCTAATGCTTTACGGGAGATAGAAAAGATTCACAAGAGAAAGTTAACCCATGGTTATTTGGTACAGTCCAAATGAAAGTTTTTGACATTTAAGAACTCGGTTTTTTGTTTTTTTGTTTTTTTTGTTTTTTTTTTTTTAATGTGGAACAAATCATAGAGGATAGCATATCTGTAAGCTTCTGAGGAGGTTATCCATTTGAACTTATGCTTCTGTGGGTGTTGTTTAATCAAACACTCTTCCTATGGGCATTGCAAATTAGAAATACTTCGTTCTGAAGATGTGTGCTCAGAATTATGTAACACCCAGTCTGTGCATCAAAATTATGGTACTTTAAAAAATTTCTTCAGTTTCACTAACATACACATTTGCATTCCTTTGTTAGCTAAAGGAAAAGCAAAAACAATAGGGGATGGATATCTAGGAGAATTTATGGTAGAAACTGAAACCTCAGAGATATTGCTAAGAAGTGGTATGCATTTTCAGACTGAGAAATGACACATTCAAACTTCCTGGTTTACATTAAGATAATCAGAGTTTTCACTCATAGAAATTAAAAAGCATTCAATTCAAAAAATGTCCACAGAAAGGTCAGAAGGAAACTAGAAACAGGAGGAGGGATGTTCTATCGTGTACGCATTTGATTCGTTCTTCCATTTCATGTCAAAGAATATTTTCTTAAAAATCCAGTCAGAGGTGTTCTGTACGTATTCTCAATTGAAATTTGATTAAAAAAAAAAAAAGTCAGATGAGGAAGCTGGAAATTACACGATTCTCAGTTAATAGAGGCAAGAACTGAGTTTAATCATGTTACAAATCACTATTCCAACTCTGCATAGAGAAGGATCCTAGCAAGTGATGTGGGCTCACTAGTTTAGCGCATTTGAGCTAACTGTGTTTGTTTTTGATTTATTTCTCTCCCAGTGTGTGGTGGTCATTACATATCCTGGAATGGAACTTTGAGCTCTCCTTATTACCCGAGTTACTACCCTCCAAATATTGACTGCAGCTGGATCATCCGAGTAAGTGCTGGGAGCTTTTCTGAGTTGTGGTGACTTACTTCAAGCGATACAGACATAAAACTGGCTGAAATGTTTTTTGACGTGGGTGAAATGAAGGGAGAGCATGCTAAGACCACTGCACCTGACTTATTCTAGTGCACCCTGTTTTTTCTTTCTTAATGTACGTGTCATCTATGGGAGAGAGAAATTTCCAGCTTCCAAAAGGTTGTGTTACTAGTGACAGATGTTAAAATGGTGGATAGGATGGCAATTCCTAACAGCCAGAGTAAATGGCTAATAGTCTGTGTTTTGCTTCTATATTAGGAAAAGAAATTATGAGACATGATTTACATGACCTTGTAATACACAATACACTATTTCCCTGAATTGTGTAGAAGCAGGACCTTCTTAATTATTTTATTTGACCTACTGGAACCACATGATAATGCAAACATAGCATGAACCTCAAGATATAGTACTTCATGTTGGCTGCAGGAAGGTTTTATCTGGCGCGTTCTGGCCAAAGGTTGGCCTAAAAATATTTCTATATATATGTTTAAATTAGAAAGTATTTGGTTCTTCAAAGGTGCTGAAGTGCATCATAAAGAAGAAAAAAAGGCAATATTTTCTATTTGATAATAAGTAAACAAGACTTACTATCTTAGAAGCTTAGGCTTTTTATGGTTTGTGGTTGTGTATGTTGGGATACTTGTCCTTTTATTTTTAGGCACCATTGCCAGCCTACAAGCTCTCCTTAAAAATCCTTGTAATACAAATTCAAGAGAAGTCGCCAGGGTCCAGCAAATGTGACAAAGATTGGTTAGAAATTGAAGGAGTTAGGTGAGTAAATACACTATTTTCTGACATATTAATGTGTTCTTTAATGTTCTATGCAACATGAAACACCTTAAGGAAAAAACATCAGTGTAGAATGATACATTTCAAGAAATAAAGGCATACTTTCATTGAATTACAGTAGAATAATATTCTTAAACCTGCCCTAGTACTAAGCATTTGTCTTTATATTAATTTAAGCATCCTGCTTTTCCTGCAATGGTAAATATTTACTTAGCTGTGCTGCTTGAGAGCAACCACATGGAAAACTGTGGGATTTTATACAGCTGCAGTGAAACTGTGAATTCCTGGATGTGATACTGGTGTGGGTGAAGAGCTTTTGTTATCTGAAATTTCATTTTCTTTGCAAGTTACTCTTTACAGATTGTAACTGTTTTCAGTAAATAAAGCAAATCGGGAGGGGGAGGGGGGGTGTTGAGGAGGGAGAAGGAGGAATATTCAGAGTGATTTGTCTCTTGGAAGGAATGTACTGAAATGGCAACAGCTTTTGGGTTTGGTTGTATGATATCATTGTTGGATTTGTAACCTCTGGAGTTTGCTAACCTAAATGGGAAAACTGAAGGCAAACATACTAAGAAATGGTTGGTATTTATAAGGTAGATTCTGATGCTGATTATCTTGCTGTCCCAGGAAAGCTGTGGGTATGGTGGGTTGGAATGGAGTGGACAGCATTTGCTTTATAATATTTCTGCTTTATAATATTTCTGTTGTGCTGAAAAGTTTTTAACACTTAAACCACCACCCCCAAAAACAAACCAACAAACAAACAAACAAACAAAAAAACAATGACAACAAAAACTTATCTTTACTACTTTTTGGCATTTGTACCCTTCAACAGTAGAAGTAATTGGGTGGTAATGGTCATTTTGATTAGAAATTCATTGTTCTCTCTTTTGCCTGTCAGATACTGTAAAGATAATTCAGAAGACATCAGAAACAAAGAATATGGCTATTCTGTTGCAATCAACTTCCATTCTGATGAGCTGGTCACCCATAAAGGGTTTTATATTGAATACAAAGCCTTCAGTCACACAGACCGTAAGTGAATAAGCATACACTTGGATTCCTAAGGAGCTTTGACAGACAAACAACACACAAGAACTCCATGTGCCTTTTTTTCCTTAATTTATTTTCCAAGAGGAATGCTTGAAATGTTATTGTGCATTTTATTGAACAACTAGATGTAGAAAGTTGGGTACATTATGCTTTTAGTTTCTAACTATTCACAAAATTTCTGTAAAATGGAAAGTGGAAATACAATTTTTTGACTTTCTGTAGAACTAGTTATTTGGTATTTTACCAACACCTTAAAATAGCCAAGCTGCAAATAGTATGGCAGAGAGACTCTAAGCACAACTATTTTGCCAACATGAGTGTTTTTTTTATTTTTTGAGACATCCAGAGGGTGAAACAAGGATTTAAAGAAGATGGAAACATTTACTTGTGTTTTTAATTAGACAAGACATATATGCAGTATATTCTTTGTAAATGCTTACATTTTAATAATTTCTAGATACGTTCTTTCTCTTTGTATCTAAACAGACCAACTTCTTTTTCCCAGTTAACCTCTAGGGAGCTAAGTTCACTGTGACTTCAAAAGATCTGATTGTGAATCCTCAGATCCTTGGGTTGCTTTTACCAAGTGCACTTCTGTTTGTTGTTGTCTTAGAAGTATTTATGTCTGATATACATTTTTTTCTTGCGTCTCATCAGAAATAAGGGCAGAGTGACTCCTGCTTTGAGCTCATGCTGGCTGAATAGTGTGCATTTTCCTCCTGCCAGCATCATGTGCTAGGCAGTGAACAGGATTAAATGACTCCAGGTTGGAATTGATTATAAATAGATAAATGTGGGACAAATGTATTTTGCCCTTCAAACTGATTTAGCTGTTAATTTGCATTCAGTGCTAGAGGGGAAAACATTTAAGTCTCCTTGACCTGGAGAGAAGCAGGAACTTTTTGTATGCTTATTCTTCTACAGATATTTGTGTATCTGTGTGTAGAAGCCAAATCCTAAGACTTTTTTTTGTGTGTGTGTGTGATAAATCTGAAGTGGAAGAGAACAAACATTTCTGATATATTGCTGAGAAACACCTTTGCCTAGATATTAATAGTTAGTTTAAGTGAAAGTGAAAGAATTTCTAGTTGAAAGACTGTTTCATAATGAAATTTCTAGGCCTGAAAAGTGTTTCATAAAACGTTTACATCAAAAAATTTGGAGTGTAGTGGGACAGAGATGAATTGCTAAAACATTTTTATATTAGGAAACTTGTGATACTAAACCTACTTGTGACTTTTTTCCTTAGATCCTTGTGTGTCAAATGTATTATCTTAAAAAAAAAAAAAAAAAAAAAGGTGAAAAAACACAGATGCTTGCTATCAACTGTAATATGTACCTCTGCTGCATTGCTTTCAACCCTCAAAGTTGATCTTAATTTATGGAAGTTAATGTGAATTTAATTTTCTACATCCATTTAATAAATATTGATCCATTTAATTCAGACAGCTTAATAAAAATCTTTGACAGATTATGCCAAGTGACATAGCACTTAGTTTTTTAGCTTTCAGTTGAGTTTGTAAATGAATTAGCCTTGTTATTTAATAGCCATTTTAACATTTCTTCGTGACATAGTCCTGCCTTAATGAATTTAGTCTGTGACAACATGTTAGTGCCATCAATTTCTTGTTTTTTAGCTTGTCTTTGACAATTTAGATGTACAGATGGAACGTGCACTTCTTCAAGCAATCAGTCTGATGGTTGGAAAGGATGTTCAGATGGTAGTGATTAATTATTGGTAGGGCAATTATTTCTTGTTTGTGTCCTGTAATCAGTTTGTTGTAGGATATTTGGAAAGACTGAAGTCTATAAAGTACTGGCGGCTATCTTTAAGGTGACATGAAGGATATGGGTAAAAATTGAAAGGTCTGGAGGAGAGGCCATGTCATGTATCCCTATAAAGAGTGGGAGAACAGGAAAAAATGTAAATTTTATAACAGTCTTCACAAGTTAAGCTTTAAAAAAAAAAAAAAAAAAAAAAAAGGAAACAAAGCAACAAGTAGTTGAACTAAACTACTTGTAAGTATTGAAAAAAATGTATCAACTTGTTAAGAGCAATCATGATGGAGTTTTTGATTTTGTTTTTCATCTATGCCTTGAGAAGGTAAATATAGAAGTTGTACTTTAACAATGTATTATGTCAGAAACTTAGGGGAACCAAGGTGAAAGCAAACTACAGAAAACTGTTTTCAGAGTGTGATTGCCAGTGGTTCATTGCCAAAATGGATATTTTCTTATATTGTTATTTTGACAGTATCCGCTGTCAGCTCATAATCTCTGATAGTGATCTATATGATGGGCAGATGATTACAAAATAAAAAAAGTGCCACACAGTGGGAAGACGGACAGATTTTTAAATATATCTGATGAACTGGAGAATGTGTAGAGAAAATTATATTAAATTCAAAAAATTATATTAAAAATTATATTAAATTCAAAAAAGTATAGGTTTGAAAATAGGTAATTAAATACTTAGGTGGCTCAAAATCTGGCTTGAGACTCACAAAGTCATACAGTTGTTTTTCTTTTTTCTTTTTTTTCTTTAAAACAAACAAAAACCAAAAAGCATCACACTAGGACGTAAGACAGAAGTTTTAAGAGGTCTTCCCAGCTGCCTGTGGGAAGGCCTTAGCTAGAGTACTATATCCAAATTGCACATCAAAGAAGATGGGAAGCAATGAAGAGGTTCCAGAAAGAGTGACTAGAAGGTAATCCAGTGTTAGAGAGCAGAGCACAGCACAAGTTAAATAATGCAGTGAATCTTCCCATCCCTTGAAGCTATCAAGGAGGTAGATTTATGTCTGACAGACATGGCACAGTATCATCAAGCTGACCTGTAGCAGGCAAGGCAGTACAGAGCCACTAGCCAGATATGAGAGAGAAAGAATTTACAGACCTTTCTTCTTCAGGTTGTGAGCCAGAACAGTTGAACTGTGGTGATGAGAACTGTAAGCATCAGTATAAGATCTGTGAAGGTGATGATAGCTGTGGGGAAGACAGCGATGAGAACTGCTGTAAGTATATATTTTTAGTTATTGTTTGAGAGATGGTGCAAGGCAGAAGCAGGGATATGCTCGTTTTCATTTTTTTTCACAGATAAACTGTATCTTTAAGTCTGTGAATCTTCCAGTAGACATGCTGATTAGAAATAGAGTTGAATTCTCTGTGTGTAAGAAACAAAGCCAAGCTTTTTTTTCCTTCTAAGAAGTACTTTTGTAGTAAATGTCCATTAACTTGCTGGAAAAGACTTTAAGCAGCTATTGCTAATTTTGATGGCCAGCCTATACCATCTTATTCCTCCTACAACAGAAAATATATATTTTTTAAAGGGCTCCCCCTTCCTTTTTGTGGGTTCTACTTGTCTGAGTAAGTATACAGTACAGGTTTACGTGAATTCTTCAGATTTTTCTGTCCATAGTTAAGAAAAGTTTGGAGAAGTGCAAGGAAAGCAGACGGCATCTCCAAATGCCTATCAATAATAGAATTAAATACACAAAATTGAGAAGCTATTTTTCTAACCTAATGAAATAATTTACCTTTAGCTACTCTCTGCTGTGGTTTAACTACTAAGTATTCCCTGCTCTGTTTTTGCAGCAGGAATGATTCATGCTGCTGTCACAAGTGGTTGTCACTGTTTAATACAAACGATATGCTCAGCCTCCTGATAAGGACCTATGACTGAAGTAAAAACCTGTTCTATTTTGATATTTCTTCAAATACTGATCCCTGTGCAAATGAAACATAAGGTATAGCCACAGAGATCCACTGGGGTTATAAATGAATACTTAGACATGTCCTCTGACCTACAAACTCAATGACTAAATGTAATAACAGTATTGTTATCTAAGAATCCTGCTCAATACTATCTAATTTGCAAAAGAACTTCAATTCTCTTCTGATGTGATCTTAGTGTTACAGTCATCCTACTTCACACTGCCTATTCATAGAATGTGAATGGAAATGATTCTGCATTATTACTGAATTTAGTAGTTCTGTGTATTTTGTCATAGCACTAAGTGCAAGTTTCATAATAAAGAAAATGTAACATGCAGAGTATAACTAGTTTTGGGGATATTTTAGACAAATTCTTGAAGCTAAATCCAGGATAACAAAGATTTATTTGGATGACCTAACCACAGCTTGATGGTGATCCTGTTAAAATAGCAATTTTTCCCTCAACTACTGCCGGATCAGTAACAAATAATGTAAGGGAGAGAAACATAAATTTGGGGAATTCTGCCCTTTTTTTGCCATGTGCATGTTCTTTATGCCACTGTTAATGATATTGCTGGTACTACTAATGCCTCCCTAAGGACTTGCTGCATTTTGCCTCTAATATTTGCCTTGCTTTGAATCTAAGGTCCTTGAAGTAGCCAGCAGTATGTCCTTGTTTGCTGGAAAAATCCCTGCCACTGTGTAGAGGTCACTATAAACAACTGATAATAAGAATGATAGCAACGGATGCCCACTGCTGAGATCTGTCAGGATTCCTGCAGTGTAAACTATGATAACTCTTAACCTAAATTTTCTTGGAGGAAGATATAAAGCTCTTCTATGATATGTGCTCAGCTTTCTCTTAAAAACAGAACTGACTTCTAGATGATATCTGCTACATAGATGTATAAATTGCAATGCCAGTACTGTTGGTGAAGATAAAACAGCAGATCTGATGAGCCTAGTTCACTCGGTTTAGAGTTAAATAAAATGGGAGTGAGGGCAGTTGAAGGCTCTGCTGTCTTTCCTCACAGATGGTGGAGACTTAAATTAGTGCAGTCGTTAATCTGAGTAGAAGACTCCCACTGTCCTAGTCGATACAGGGACCAGTTTACACCTGCACAGACTATGGCTTCAGGCACGTTGGAATGTGTGGCTTTGAACAACTTTCACAACAGATGAGTAGGTTGAATGTGCATCTTTTTTTAATCACTTGAAATCATGGCTTTAAACATGTGACATTGTCTTCTCTCTCATTTCAGCCTACAAAAGTTGCTTCCCTTATACATACAAATGCCTTAATGGTAAATGCTTGTTGAAACCAAATCCTGAGTGTGATGGGAAAAGAGACTGTGCAGATGGATCTGATGAAATGAACTGTGGTGTGGTAACATTTGTTTGAAGATTAGTTAATGACATGGGAAACTAAGTAAGAAATTGATGCTATGGTCAAGTAAAAGTTGACATCAGACTTGAATTTAAAAAAAAATGCTGGTAACATCTGTATGAAAATGTCTGTCTTGAATTTTGTACTTCCTGTTTTAAACTCACTGATCTGTCTGTGATGACTTTATACAAGTGAATGCACGTTTACAATTTATTAAATTAGTAGGTCTTAGTGTTCATTTGAGCTGAATGAAATAATTAAGGATCTGTGTAAGGAGAGAAGGAATAGAAGATCTTATTCAAGTAATGTTTTGGTAATAACCCAGTTTAGGATTGTCTTTCTGAGTTACTAACCTCCTAAGGGATCTGTAAGGGTGGATAGGCAATGTTTAGTGTATTCCTAATGTACCCATTGAGTGAAAATGGGCAAGTACCCTTACCTTTGTTCCAATTGCACACTAAGAAAATATGTTTTTGTTTTTGATTGGTTGGTTGTTTTTTATTTATTTTATTTTTCAGTGGCTTTGTGGCATGTAGGTAAGTGTTTATGTATTAAGCATGACAAAGTAAAATGACCTTGCATTTTCCTTTACTAATTTATTCTCTTATTTCTATTAGCTTGTGGAAGACACCTGCTTAAGAAAAATAGGATTGTTGGAGGTGAAGATGCAAAACCTGGAAAGTGGCCCTGGCAAGCAAGTTTGCAAATGGGAGCACATGGCCATGTTTGTGGTGCATCTGTTATTTCCAAGAGGTGGCTTGTGTCTGCTGCCCATTGCTTCTTGGATTCTGATTCTGTAAGGTATGGAGTGGTTATGCTGTCATAGAGTTTTGCAATGTGAAGTTTGATAACCTCAAAATGTTGCATTCAAAAGTTTGCAGTAGGTATTCCAGGTGTATATAAATCGAGTCAGCATATAACTCTGTGACGTATTGGTACACAAACCCTTGACATATTATGCTGGCTTTGAAAGTCTCAAATATTGGAAGCAATTATTCTGCTTCCATTGACAGTGAATCCTGCATGACAAAACACACTTTTGTTTTTGATTTAGGGTAAATGTTGTTGGTGTTTCTTTAGTTTTGTTTGGTTATTCCTCCCCTTTTGAGTCTACAGCCTTTCTCTCACAAGAAAAGAACTATTTCTTGATAAGGAGCAAATAAAGCTCACCAGTGTTCAGCTGAGGTAGTGTAAATTGAGAAGGCTTCTAAGTCATTTACGTTTCAAAATGCATAGAAAACCATGCATTTCAATTTCAGTGATTGGATGTATTCTGGACATAAATGGCAATTGCTGAGACTAAGACTGGATTCATGGTAGTACGCTGGACATCATTTACCATAAAGATTTTGTAGCCTTTGTCTAAGACAGTCTTTTACTCTAAATTATACAATATGTTTGCACATACTCAAACAGGATTGAGATCATATTTTTCCTTGTCAAGAACATTACAGTTCTTTTGTTGCAATGTGTACATGTACTATGATTGCACATACGTTTTTCAGTTGATGAAGAAAGCATCATATGCCTGTGTTTTACATTCAAGGTAAAACAAATGCCCTCATGATAATACTTGTTACTAATCCGCTAGCACTAGTGTTGCATACAGTAGGGGAATGTGCATTAGTGCATTAATGGGAGAGGAATTCTGCTGAATAAAGGTTGCTGATACATTGGAGACATAGCAATTCAGAGCATGTTTCCATGAAGTAGTCTAGCTTTTATTCAGCATAAAGGTGGTTGTACACAAAATTTTCCTGAGCTGTAAATGCATCCCATTAGTTAAATGACTAGATGTTCTCTCTTTTCTCCAAAGGACAGAAACATGTATGTGTACAAGGACAAAAAAGCTATTTTTTTCCAGTTCTGTATGTCCTGGTGCAACATGATTTAACTTGAACTCTAGTATCTGAGGCCTAACAGCTTTGCTCTGTTGCAAAGTGGCAGCATGACTGTTAGAGAATTCTCAGAATAACTGACCATTTGTACTTTGAGTAGGGTTTTGATGCTTGTGCTTTGGACCATAAATATTTGAAGACTGCATGACATGCTGAAATAGAATATAGTTATGTTTGAATAGCCACTTTCAAGTTTAATTATCCAATCTGCACAAAGTAATTTTATGATTGAAACAGTCATGTTACTTAGCACAAGTATGACCAAGACCCTGAAGAACCATTGCTAATGTGAAATGGCCATGCGCTTTTGAGGCTTGTGTGTCAGAACAGTTGACTTTGGAGTACTAAGACCAAGGTTTGACTTACGACCACTACTGGTTCTTACTTAAGTTAAATGATACATCAACTCTAGTTGAAAGTTTAAATGCAGTAATGACAGAGTATCAAGAAACCCACTGCTAATTGCTCGATCTGGTTCTGCTTTGGCTAGCACATGTGGGCCAAGGTCAAGAGAGATGATCTACCCATGCATCTGTACCTCTCTGTATTTTTTTTAACCTGACTAAGATTTGACCTTTGTACTCCAACGGGGTTGGATTCTGTGTCAACAGAAAACTATACAGTCGTGTTACAGAGTGAAACTGCATGGTTTACAACAACATAACATGTACCACTCTGTTTTCATTATCCCTGAATGAAAGCCAGCTTTGTAAGTATTGCAGAGTATATGGAATACTTTGCTTATGGTAAAGATGGGTGAAAAATCTGCATTGCAAGGAACTGATCTTATAGCTCCAGGAGGCTGTTATTTTCAAAATAGGATTTTATACTGTTAGTTAATGTTTCAGCAGACACAGACTATAGTATGTCTATCCTCCTAAGTGGTATTTTACTCCAGTCACTGTTTTGATGAATCTCAACAAATACCAAACTGTACATAAAGCAGAGTGAACTGATGCTGCATTACTTTGCAATGGGCTGTTCTAAAAACACTCTCTTTACAGATACTCGGCTCCTTCAGGGTGGAGAGCATATATGGGCTTACACACTATTAATGAAAAAAGCAATCATGTAGCTACGAGATCAATCAAAAGGATTATTGTTCACCCACAGTATGACCAATCTATCTCAGACTATGATATAGCCCTGTTGGAGATGGAGATGCCTGTATTCTTCAGCGAGCTGGTACAGCCCATTTGTTTACCAAGCACCTCTAGAGTATTTCTTTATGGAACTGTCTGCTATATAACTGGCTGGGGAGCCATAAAAGAAAATAGTATGTTCATTTCCTGGATATACTTCTTGCAAGCTTGGCTTAATTTTATACTCTAACAATGAAATATTTATTGTCCTAAGAGAAAAATGCCTGATTATTAACTTAGGTTAATAAGAAGCTTTAAATTGTTCCTGTGGCTAGTCTGTAAATTATGAATATTTGTATATTAGGTAATAACCCATACTCTGTAGGAGGGGGTCAAAGATGGCGTCACAAATTGTTGAAAAGCACATGATCATAGATTAACAAACACAAGCCCCCTTTCATTCTCATGGTTCAATTTATCTGGTGAACAGGTTATAAGCAACCTTCAGGTCAGGAAAACTGCAGAGGAGCAAGACCTTGTTTCTAAGACTGTGGTTGACAATATGGGGCCATGAACAGAAATAACTGCAAAAATAGTTTTGTTTTGTTTTGTTTTTGTCTTAACTAAAGGTAATTTCACATATGCCACATGAAGAGTTCTGCCTGCATAGCTCAGAGCAGAGCAGCATGCTGAAGAGGGGAGGCAGAAAAAAAGCAAGCAGAGTTGGAGGGGGGTAGTAGGGGAGCATGCAAGAACTTGGCCCTATCTCAGCATCAAACTGGAGCCAGCTCTGAGACCTGGGCAGCACCTCCTAGATAGCTCTTCAGCATTGCAATAGTCCCTAGTGTTGCATGGAGACCTAATCCTTCATTAATCCTTCATGTTTGATTAGAAGCCATCTAAATGGTAATACTGGAAGCTGCTAATACTTTCATAACGTGAATTTAAAAAAAAATAATTCTAAGATAACCACATAATAGCCTAATAAAATGCAAAGATTTTTTCAAATGATGCCTTCTTGTACTTTAACAACATAATGCAGGTAATATTTTAATTCAACCTAAAAGTATTGGGGGGGTGGGGGAGGGAACAAATTTTTTCTGATTTGCTTATTTGATTTCTATCCCACTCACAAATGAACAAACGAACCAAAACCCAGTACTTCTGATCATCCAGGTATTAAATAGGTTATTTTCAGTGTTGGGCCAAAACATGACTGAGCATATGTAGTTAACAATGACACCCTATGACAATGCTACAGTACAGAATCAAACTTATAGTATAAATTGTGGCTTACAGGCTCGATTTCCTCACCCCAACCCCTCAGCTTCATTCCTCAGCTCCTTATCTGGATGTGAAAAGATAGAAAAGAAAAAGTAAATTTCATTTACTAGGACTTAGACCATGTTTGGAGCACACCCATAATGCAAATAACAAAGCTTTGAGCATAGTTTGAGATGGCATTCAAAAGATACATTGTGTGGAATCTTGTATTATAATGTACATGGCTTTTTCTTTTTTATTACTTTCCAGCAGAAAAAGTTCATAAAAAAGGCTGAGGAAATGGAAAAGGTACAGAGGTGGTGCATAGGATTGTCCATGTCTAGAGTTGTCTACATAGAAAGCAGTGTTCAAAATCTGAGTGCAGACCACATTTGAAGGGAGAGGAATTAGTTTCCTGCTTCCAGTTGGGTAGATTTTGAATTTAGATCAATTCTCCTTTGTTTAGACAAGTGATCTCTGTGGTAGAGCTGCCATAACCTCTGCAACATTTCCATTTTTCTAGGTCATCTTGCCAGAACACTGCAGGAAGCTAGAGTGAGAATAATTAATCAAAGCATTTGCAACAAATTGTATGATGATCTCATTACGTCACGTATGCTGTGTGCTGGGAATCTTAATGGTGGCATTGATGCATGCCAGGTAACATGGGGCTTGGCAAGAAACTGCAAAGAAAGGTTTGCTTTCATTGGAAAACTATTCAGAATTTAGGGATAGCATTTTGTTGCTTTTTTTTTCTTCCCCTTACTAGTAGAGTGAAATGTCTTGGATGTACAGATAATTTAATACAGTAATTAAAGGCTCTAGAAAATTAGAAAGGAAATTTGGTACAGATAATATCTGAATCTCTTAAGAAAGAGATTTCTTTGCAAAGAAATACAAAACACATAGGTAAGATAAATTTGGTAAATGCAATTGCAAAGCTGCCTCTTAGTTTCATTTGCTCATTCATGTGTATAATGATGAGTTTTGATTACATCATGATCATGAGTTACATGACGTAGTTTATTTGCACGTGCACTCAGAAACTGCTCTTTGGACACACTTGAGCTGTCTTGGCTTTGCCTTCTTTTTTCTTCCTAGTTGTTAAACTAGTTATGCACTTTGTCATGATTTAAATGTTCTAAGATGAATATCCCCTTTCCAAATTACAATCATGGTCATTTTTACCAGATACTGTGTACAGGGAGAAAAATGTTACTGATTATAGACTGTGGTAATTTGATAGAACTTTTGTGTAATATATAAAGTTTAGTGCTTTACTCTTAATGGATCAAACTTCTTTATACACAATGGGCTATTTGTAGGATCCTCCTGTAGTCTGTAAATTCTAATTCAATGGAGTATTATTTTTGCTAGTTTTATGTGTGGTTTGTTTATAACCTTAGGCCTTGGAATTGTTCTGCTTAAAACATGTTGCAATATACCTAACACTTGTTGTTCCTCCAAAATACATGTTGCTTAAAAAGTACCGTTAAGTTTTTTTTAGATGGTCATTTTAACCAGTTTTGCTATATGCCATACTGGTCAGTCCAGTTTTCATCAGAACATGTTTGTGCACAAGTATGCTGGCCCTCTGGACCTTTAACTCCTTAGTCTGGGTAGCATGTTTAATTTTATTATTTTTCTGCCTCCAGTATATTTCCTGTGCAATGCTGGAGAATAATCACGTTGGCAGTTTAGGAAATCCTTTTACTACAGATCAAGCCTTGTAGGCACCTTTATTTCTTTCATTTCTTTATAGACATGTAACTTGTGCAGTACATTCCCAGTTTATGTGAATTTTCCAAACAGCTTTCATCTTTAGATGATGTGATACTTCAGTGAGAAATAGTGTGTGTTCTTTTAGACTTAGTCATCTTATCACTCTAGGCTGGGTTTTTGTGGTTCCTCTTTTCAGAATCCTTCCTCTTTCCACTGCATACAGTCCTTCAGTCTTTCAGAACCATCTGTGTAATTGGACAGAATGTTGGCCAGCCTCCTTTCTCAAATCACCTCAGGATCAGCCTCTTGGGATGATCAAAAATACCAGTATGACAGCAGCCTGAGAGAGAGAATAACTGTTCTGGCTTCTTTTTTTATCTCTGTTTTGGTGATAAAAACTCCGGTTATGTTGGATACTGATGGCTTTCTGTTGTTGCTCTTCTGAACACATGGCTTTCTTTTGCCCTCTTCCATGTTTTAGCTCCAACTGGGGGCACCAGACAAACTGCAGACTTGTGTATGGGTTTGCCTTGTATGCATGAAGAGAATCTGCAGAGATGAGCTGCATTTATAAGCTTTTCAAAGTGAACTGATCTGTTCACTGAAGGCATGGACAGTTAAAACACAGGTCACAAATCACTTTTGAGCCCAAATGCATTTTGATCCTGTGAACTGATCTAAATAGGATTTTTTACTTTTCTACATTGCTGTACAGGCCTGCATGTTCCCTTTGAGAAGCCAGTTCTTATTTGCATGTCCCTTCATTTCTTTTTTCTTCTCCTTCTTCTATGAATGTAGCTGCAGTCTTGAATTTGAAGCTGCTAATACCTAAACATGCCTTTCCATGGCATCTTTTTGCTCCCATTTAACCTCACAGAGAATTCTGCCTTCAGTCTGAACGGTTTATGGTCAAATGGTAGCAGCATTCCCCTTTTTCATCCCTGTCTTTACCACTGCCCATTCAATTTGTGATCACTTGTTTTATGAATTCTGTAATGGGACATTAGCAATGAGCAATTTTTCACTTTCTTGTCTTTCTGTTGTATTAATTGGTGTATTACTTCTGTAACTTAAAACAAAATGAGTAAATTTGCTATTTTCTCTGGGTGCACTCTATCCAGAAACTAGATGCCAATATTGAACTGTAATTTGAGAAAGAAGAGAGACAGGTATTTACTGTCCCTATGTAACTAACTTTTGATATAGTGGTCTGTGTTTGGTGCTAATGGCTCAACACCCTTCATTTTAGGGAGACTCTGGAGGTCCCTTGGCCTGCACAGGAAAGGGAAATAGATGGTACCTTGCTGGCATTGTGAGCTGGGGTGAAGGATGTGCTCGGCGCAATCGTCCTGGTGTATACACTAAGGTGACAGCACTTTATGACTGGATTCGTCAGAATACAAACTGATGTGCCAAGGAGAAAATGCAGATGATCTCCATTATGAAAGCTGATTCCTACAGTAGTCTGTCATGGACATGAAAATGCTGTTGGCTGTTTCATTGTGAAAGAATGCACTTTCTTAACACAGAAACTATCATTTGTTATTCATCTAGCAGGAATTGTTTGGATTCAGAGCAACTTCACATTCCTTATGGATTCATCTTCCTTATCCCCAGCAGAACAGCCTTAAAAAAAAAAATAATAATAATAAAATAAAAATAAAAAATGGGGGAGGGGGTAGAAACTGGAGGAGAAAAAAAATTTCGCCCCTCCTTCCATCTCTGAGATGCACATGTATCTCTCCTGCTATCTGTATAGCATAGACCTATGTGGATATATTTGGGATGTGGCCATGAATACTCACATTCGCTTAGTGATGTTACAGGATTCTAAACATGAATAATTATTTCATGTTTCTTCAAAATACAATTAGCATAGTAAGAATAGTAGACAAATCTGAGATCAATTCATTCTGTAGTTATGCTGCATTACTGTTGTTGTAACAGTAACAGGGCTGTAACTTTTTGTCTGTCTCCTGTGCCACTCAAACCACCAAAAGTTTAGCTCACAAACATTAAGATTAAAAAAAAAAAAGCAGTAAGAGCATAATTTATTTTATTGGCATAACATTTAAAGAAGAGGAAAAGAATACTGAATTCTAATGAAACAACAGGAAACTGCATGTCAAAATGCATTGAGAATTATGTTTCAATTAAGTTCCCAAGAAAAAATTCTACAAGACCTCACAAACTACCAGTTCCTTAGCAAAATGTCAGGAATTTAGAATACTGTCTGTTCTTATCACTTTTACAGGCTTTATTTGTATTTGTGCATGTAGCTGATCAAGATAATATTGTATGTTTGAGTTAATCGCCTTCTTTGATATTAGATTGTGGTGAAAGCACCAAAACCAGAATGATTTCCTTTATAAAAGGAGGTGGGAATCCGATCTCAACAGGACTCAGATCTGTACCCTAGAACGTGAGTGTGTATGTATCCAGACTTCAAGATGACTTTTTTTTTCTTCTCCCCCTCCAAACAGCTGAAGACTCAGCCATCTCTCATGTTGTAAGTGGCGCGTAGCAATTGTAGTGGCATTGTGTTATGGTATATTGGTCTTCAAACCAGCATGAGCACAGTGCCTTGGTGATAGAAAGCCAATGTCAGTGGCTTCACTGAGATTCTGGTACCAGAAACTGCACATACACCTGGCTAAAATAAGGGGGTACCTTGCTGCTGCTGTCTGAGGAGAGAAGGTACCACATATGCAGGATTGGGTGAAACACAGCACAGTGGCATTTCTCCTGGGGCACCTGCAAGCAGTCTGCATTAAGATTATTGCTCTGTCAGGAAGGCCTTCATGTTGAAACCAATCTTTTTGTAAACACAAGCAAAATTTTGCAGCTCTGAGACTTTCCTGATGTACCTGGACATCTCGCCCAGCATTTAGCACTTTCTTAAAGTCTCTTTACACTTAGTTTTATATAGCTGTAGGGCCTAATGTTTTCCATGTGTTACAAGGGAATTCCTCATGTCTGGTTGTAGAGTGCTCTCTGAACTTTGGCATGCTTCTTGTGGGTTCACACTGCTTTCCTTGATGTCCTTGGTCTGCAGTGATCAGAGTTTCGAGGTCAGGTTCTCTGTTTTGTCTCTCTTTCTGGCCAGAAGAAAGGGTTGTGCCCGTATGGGCACACTGCACTGAAAGAGACTTAAAAGGAAAATGGTCTTAGGTGGTTGGATGCATCTTTGGTCTCAAAGAAAGCAGAGGAGGAAATTACAGCTACGCTCCTGTCGTAAGGTCAATCCTTTATCCCTAGAAGTAAACCTAGCTTGGAAAATTATAGTCTGTTGATGAGCCCAAGTATAGCTGATTTAAAGTTTCCAAAGCTGTTTATGAGACTTAGGAATTCTGTTATTCAGTTGAATAAAAGGTCTGCCTGTACTTTCTAGATCGTCTTAAAATTGTGCTGACTACTTGAAAGTATTTAGCTTTCATCTTTAAGGTAAAAAAAAGAAAAAGATGAAGCAGGCAGCTTGAGTACCAGTCCTTGCTGTTCACAGCATGCTTTTTTCTACTGCACATAAGTATTTGATTCTTGTTTAGCTTTAGAACTTTGGGGAAAACATAGCAATGAGTTAGTACTGTAATTTTTAAATAGTAGGTTTCTGGTGTCTGACAGGCTTCCATCTCCTTTCTTGCGCTAGTGTTGGGCATTCCCCCCTGCTACCTGCCTGGCAATGTTTCCTACCTAAACTATGCTCAAATGGTATTCTGTAGGAGTTTTAGTATCTTTAAAGACTACTCAGCCATTCACTTCTTCCTTTCAAATAAACACATGATAAAAATGTAAGTGGCTATGTTTCATTTCATTTTCAGTGCCTCTGAAACTTCAAGCCCGTGATGTGATCAGAACTGCAACTGTACCTTGGAGTTCACACTTCTTATAAAACTGAGCCAGACCTGCCTGTTGTACTAAAGCACATGTTTAAGTTCATGTTTCTTTTCCTGATATTGAAACCAAAGATGTCTTCACAACAGAAGAAAGCAGTTTTCCTGCTGTTCAGTTTTAGATAAGAGCCTAGGCCACAAAGTTCAGATCAGTTCTCAATTTCTCTTTTTAAGAGTTCTGCAGCTCCATGAATCAGAAGGGTCAGTTGCTTCACAGGCAAGAAAAGCACCAAGTATGGAAATTAGATCACCCAGACGACAGAAATTCAAGAGTGTGTACAGAGATCATTAAGAAAGGTGAACAAGTGGACTTTGGCTTTTATGGAGTAAGATCCATAATCATTAACTTGTTTGACTTATACATATAAAAGAAAGTTTTGGTTTCAGACAATATATTAGGAAGGTAGGAAGGTAAGGTCTTTTATATGAGTGGAAATTAAATAACTTAATCTCCAGCAGGACTAGTGAGAACAAGCAGGTCAAGACTTTTCTAGTTGAGAAGTCCCACGAAAATCCTTGTGGATCCAGACACCGGTTTTGATCTTGATGACTGCTCAGCTTCATCCTCAGTCCTCCAGTCTTTTAAGGATTCACCAAAAGGTGGGGCATGGAATTTGTTTCTTTATTTGCTGAATGAAAACAAGCTCTGCACTCGGCCTGATGGATTGCGTTTGCTTGGATGACTACCACAGAACATCAACAATCGACCCCCTTGGGAATGCTCTAGGCATCCGTAACCAGAAGAATTGCACAATGAGGAAATCTGGGGGAAGGCATTCGTAGCATTTGGCAGGGAAAAGAAGGAGCAGTGCTGTGAGTGGGTGTTCATACAGCAGAGGAGAGAGTTGGAAAAGGGGCTTTGTTCCCTTCTTAATGCTTCTTTTTCCCTGTCCTCTCTTCTGAGGCAAGAGAATGAGCAGGAGTGCAGTTACTGGCCCAACCCTTTTGATCCAGAGGAGCAAAAGAAGTGCTATGTGAGGAGGAAGGAGAAACCTAAGGATGGAGTTAGAACAAGAGAAATGAGAGGTAGGATGAAGGATACTGGGAGGGAGGGGATCAGTCAGCCCCCGGCTGCAGTAAGCTGTTGTGTGACTGATGTAGCATGGGAGAGTTCATGTGGTAATCTAGTGCAGATCAGGTCTCAATTCACAGGATTGTTTGCTTTATAAAAGTATACCCTGGAGAACATGGGATAAAATTGAAGGTCACCCACCTCTCTCTTCAGATTTATTCTTTTTTACGTGGAAGTGACTGTTCAGATTTTTGCTTGATAGTGTGTGAATAGACATAAATGCTTCTTTAGCACTAGGCATGATTTCAGACTACAGAAGAGCTAGAGAGAGCAAATTGCCAGCACAAAGGTCAGCAGCATTCAGTTCTCAATAGACTCTACTGGGAGACTAAAATTAGAAGCACTGATGGAAATTATAAGTTCCCTTCGGATCCCAACTGAACCACAAGCGATGTGATCCTTTACTTGGTTTATACTGTCGTGAAACACATCTGTTTGTTTATCTGTGCCGATAGCAGCAAAATCATTTTACTGTTTCAGCTGAAAGCAGCAGGAATAGCAATCCAGTTACTCTCAAAACCACCTCAGCAAGTGGCAGCATTGCTGAAGGTTTAGTCACCTGCTTGTGCTTGTCAAAGGCTGGCAGGTAAACCAGATGAACTGGAAAGCCTGGTATTGCACAGCTAAGGGCTGTAGTTCAGGAGACAGGCGAATCAATCCTTCCTCACCCTCCCTTTCCTATGTGGCTTGTTCAGATGATATTTGCCTTTCCAAGGATTTCCCCTTACTTATCGATGTTTTGACATCATTCCTGTGAAAGCTGTCCCAGCTCTCTCACTGTTACCCTCTCCGGCTTCATACCAGAACTGCCGCTGGCTGTAACTGCAGCTGAAACCAGAAGGAAATGAGTTGGCTCCGTGCTTGCTTCATAGACAGAGGTTCTCGCACTGAGACAGAAGCTATGAAAAGGCAAAGCTCTAATCAGGAACATGAAGTTATTGAATTACAAGAACTTAATGGGGAAGAAAGCGAAGTTGATCACAAGAAGCCTCTACATTCTTCAGCAGCTGCGATGAGCAAGGTAGGAATTTCAGTTGCTCATTTGATGCCTGTGGAGCTCTTGGGGAAATACCACACAGTAAGAGAAGTGACACTTTGCAGGAACATCTTGTAGGGATGGATTTGTTTGAGGGAGGGGGAAAGAGCGCTCACGTAAAAGTAAAGGCTGAAAGCATGTGAAGTATATTTATTTTATCTTGTTTAATGAAGAGTTCTGATGCGGGAGTCAGATTTTCAGCACTGTTATTTTTTGGTGCTGGATGTTTGTGAACTTTAAGTTAACAAACAAAAGTTGTACTTGGTATTCTAAGTTTTGCTTTCTCTTTTCATGTGCTGCCAGTGGGATTAGGCTCAAAACTAGAAAGGAGAAAAGTTGAAATGCATATTATAATCAGTCTTTCTTTAAGAACAAATTAATCAGAAAATGGCACTGCCAAATCAAGAATAGGCAGCAAATTTTTTAAAGTGTGCTGGATTGTCCCTCTTTTTATCTTTGAGAAATTTGCAGTTGCTAACACCTAGGAATGTGTATGACTAAAGTGCCCCAAAGCCTCGGTTAAGACCAGCATGTAAATCCTGAGGTAGTCAGTACCTAGCATTTAGCTTAAAGCTATGGAATAGCGTAAAGCTGGCGGAAGAGAAGTATTTACTCATGGGTGGCTGTGGTACAAAGATTTTCATTACACACTAAGAGCAGAGGGAGAATCTGTGGTAGAAAAAGGAATATTCCCGATTTTATGTGGGGGCAGATCTTCCAGGATGGCCAAGCCCACCTGGGAGCCCAGCAGCATTAGTCATGCCATCTCTGCATTCCTCCTCCGGGTCAAACAACAGTGCCTGCTTCCTTGTGTGAGCCCCACTCATCATCTCAGTGAGCTGATCTATCCCATTAAACAGTCAAAAGCCTTATATCCTATACTATACTGGGGGCCAGTTACTTCTCTTCTGTGGTGAGTTGAATCAGCATGCTGCACGGTCAGACAAATTCTAGGGTGGTTCAAAGAGGAACAGGAGAAAGGGTGGAGGAGAGATAGAGGGGAGCTAGATCGACTGAGCTGCCTTTAGAAACTTTACCCTTGAGTTTCAGTTCAGCCTTCCCCTTCCCAGAACTGTGAATTATCATCTAGGCTCTGTTTCTGCTGATTCTGGCATTTGGCTTCTTATCCTACGAGGACTACTGAAAAATTATTATTCTCTGCTTCCTGCTTGGTCAGCAAATTAATCACAGCTGCTGTCCCCATCGGGGAGAGATTTTCTCTGTCGCTCCTTCCTGGTGCTCTCGTGACGTTATATGGGCGATGTCCAGAGGGTGTTGGCCCAACCAGCGATGAATAGTTGCAGAGCTGAACGTTTGCTCAAGATCAACCCAGTTTACTATGCTTGATTAGCCATTACACTTTTATGAAAGTCTGAAAACATGGGCTATTTATAACTGTGTATAATTAATATTTATAACAGATACAACGAAGCAAATTTCCTAATTGTACTCTAGACAGTAGTTACTGTTTCTTTGTTGTTGTTTATTTTTTTTCAGGTACAAAATGATATGCTAGTGTCAGGTATTAAACTGAAGATTCATTCTTCTGATGCATTATATGTGTGTGTGTGTGTGTGTGTGTATATATATGTATATGAAATAACGCCCCTGGTTGATGTGATGTCATGTCATACAAGTGATGACATGAATGCATGGTGTGAGGGCAAATATTTTAACCTTGCTGCCCTTCATTATCCACAAAGGAAGTTCTCCATGCAGGGATATCAGTAGAGGATACTTTCTGTTAGTTTGCCCCCTGCTCCTGGAGAAATGACTCACGTAAACTCTTTCTGTGGGTGTTTTTTCTCATTCCCTGTGCAACTGCTACTCCCCAGGAAGCTTTAAGCCAGCTGATGGATGTCAATTAAACTCAATGAAAAGCTCTCTATTATGCTAGGTTCTTGGAAAGTTCAAAAGGTAAAGGAAAGTAAAGTGGATTATTGCCTCCATCTAGCAGCTGGTTCCTGCCTACCTGCACGTGCATGTCCCAGACTACCCACAGAATGTGATTTTCCTTACCTGCTAGTACCGAAGTCAAAAAGGACATGGACTTTACACCTGGGTTTACAGTAGGTGGGGAGGAGGATGAATCTAAAAAGCAACATGGTCTACTTCCTTATGCATTCTTGTACTTCATTCAGGCTTCTGTCTATGGAAGAAATTACTTGGAGTTGTTCACTTGTTTTATTATGTCACCTAAATATTTTTTTTAAATATTAATAATACTGGGCTAACTAACAACCTCAAATCTTATATCATATTAAGAGTGAAATGAAAGGTGGGTATTTTTTCTCTCCTACATGAACATGCATGCATACACATATTTTTTGAAGATTATTTCCTTGTCATCTAGAACAGGTGAGGTTTGTAGTAAGCTTTGTTAAATTTACTCAATAGCCTTCCAGTATTCAGTCTTCTGAAGAAAAATGTAGTTAGCTGAAAAAGATTTAATTACTCTAGTGGTCTTCAATGCAACAATATCTAATAAATAGTGGCCCATTAGCTTTGGTTGCTGGCATCCAGGAGCTATACAGGCTGATATCATTAACATCACAGAGGTGAATGATTCTGGAAGTTGTTCCAGACACATTTCTGTCTGGGAGAGATGGCAGACTTTAATCAGATAGCTTGTGGTACATGCAAATCAAATTGATCAGGAAAAAAAAAAGGCAAAGAGAGCACCTTTGTAGCACCTCAGCTTTCTAGGCAATTAAAGAATTGTAGACTGTGCAAATGGGAAATGCTACATCTCTCGAATAATAGACTGCCTTTGAATGTCCTTTGCCTTCTGCCTGTTTACCTGCCCACTTGTGGCAGTACTCAAGGGTGGGAACTTTTGGAATAGAGCATTGCTTGTCAATGAGACATTGTCATTTATGTGGTTTTTGTTTGTTTGTTTGTTTTTGTTTTTTTTTTGTGTGTGTGTGTGTTTCTAAATGTGACAGTAGAGGTATTCTTAAATATTTTTCCCACCTTATTTTATTAATCAATATTCCCTTTCCTTTTGTATCTAGGAGAGAGATCAGTGGAAATCATGTAGAAAAGTCATTTTTTGGAAGTGTGAACTATGGATGGTTTTAACTACAATTTTTGTAGTATTGTTCCTGGTCATTCTCATCAGCCTAGTTCTATATTCTAGTAAGTATCTTACTCTTGGTTCATCTTCTAACAAGAATGTACAATATGTGCAATCTAACAAGAACACATATTGAACAGTAGCATCCTTTAAACTCTTTCTGTAAACTGCTGAGAAGACTGGGATGCTGACTGCAGAAGGTGGTGTGTTGAGTAGTGGATATGAAGGCTTTTAGTTTTGCGGGCAACCAGTAACCTGTATCATGATCAGACAACAATTCTTGTAGCTGAATGAGAAAATGTTCCTAGAAAAGGATGAGCGTGCAAATAAATGATGCTTGTAACACTGCAGCAAGTGCATTGGATCACTCACCTCTCCCTGCGTCGTGTCACTGTCTGCCAGGCTCCCAGAGCAGCAGACCCTCACTGAGAGGGTGGGTCACTGACCTCTGTGCGCTGTTGCTTTTCTTCAGGTGACTCCCACTTTTCTGTTGCTCCCAGACAATCCTTACCTAGGAAGTCTGTGAAAAAGCCATCCTGGAGAAAGCCAAAAGGTTATTTTGTTTTGCTTTCCCAATACTTCTGCTAACTGGAACTTTTCCTACTCTTTCCATTTTCTTTTGAATATTAGATGTTTACACAGATGAGGATGACTATTGGGATGCTGATGCACTACTACAGAGTGGAAATTATCACAATTTTTCTGGAAAGTTCAAATTAATGTGTAGTCTTCCACACCTTTTTATCGATGACATTACTAAGAAGGTATGTATTGACACTGTTCTTGGCGGAGTTGATTCATCTTGTTACATAGATTCAGTGTTTTCCTTTAAAGAAGTTTCTGTTGCTGTGTGTAGCAACTCAGTCATTTTCAAGTCCACATAATTCACTAAATTCTGAGATGTATTTTTTGTAGTACAATTTTAAGTCCTGATCCAAGCAAAGAAATCGATGATTTTAAGCACACAGGCAGTTGCATTGATCCAGGGAAGGATCAACAACAGTTTTATTAAAAACAAAAACAAACAAAAAAAAAACCTCTACATTTGAGTAATAACTGGGACATAGCCTTCAACTTTATCACTGAGCCATTGAACAATTTAGTTTAGGAGGGATCTGTGGAGGACTTCTAGCCCAATGCCAATTAAAAGGCTTTTGCTTTGTGTTCTCCTGTAAGTACATGATGTCAGTCCTGGTTTATAGCTGCCATTTCCATTGAGCCATCATTGCTTCTTGTTACAGATGAAGTAAGCTCAGCAGGCATGGCAGTACTGATTTAGACTTACTGTGTAAAGGAAGTCTCAGTAGAGACATCTTTTCCTCTACCAAGTAAGAGTAGAATGGCTTTTTGCCGCTAATAAAAACCCAAGCCAAACAACATAAATTGCACAGGGCAACCTGAGCACATACTTTTAGTTCACCCTGAATGCCTTCCAGTGTGTTAAGGTAATATAGTAATCACTCAAACACACAGATTAACTTGTCTGTCAAGCTTAAAGGAAATGTGTATTTTTTTTCCTGTGCTGATAAGTGACTTTCAGCACCCGTGTTTATGCCCCTTAAAACACCTTTTTAAGAATGATTCATTGTCCTTTCTTTTATGGGGAAGACAGAGAGTGAATGGAAGAAATATATCTTTCTTTCTTTTTTTTTCCTCCTTTTTTTTTTCTTTTTTTTTTTTTTTTTCTCTCCAAGTTAACGGATGTCTACAGTTCATCTCCTGCTCTAGGACGCTACTTTAGGTCAGCTCAAGTGGTTCATTTCAGGTAAGCAATTTCTATCACCAATATTATCAGAAATTTGCAAACTTTTGATAAGGCATACATGTGCCTATGTAAATACGCACAATGAAAAATTTGCACTGTGAAAAATAAAATGCTTAGGGGAGAGTAAAAAATATAGGTAGTGAAAACTGGTTGAAGGATTCTCTGATGTAAAGGACAAGTGCTGCTAATATACAATGACAATAGCATTTTGCTGCTGTTTAGTATCTCCTCTGTTATCTTTGGTCCCAAGTGATGGCCTTAATATGCTTATTCAATAAAATGTTTTAAGAAGAAAATGAGCTACTGGGACCACCTGAGAACAACGTGGGTTAAATAACCTTAAATAAATACAACAGGGCCTATGGAAAGGGAAGAACTTCTTTGTTCCTCCTAAAAGCTAAAGGCAACAAGAGCATCGGTGAGAGCTAAAACAATAATATTACATTCCTGCTTTGTTTGGACCATTTTCCCCCCGCATTTTATTTTGGGCAATGGGAGCAAATCTCAAGGCAGCAGCGTGTTAGAGAGGCTGGTGGAGCAGGAGCAAGAGGCAGAGCAGGCAGCATAACGGAGGTTAGGCTAGTCCCTGCAATGGCTGGGTACACACGAAGGAGAAACTCAGCCACCAAAGGCTGATGGACCCTGGGGAGTAGTGTGGGGGGAAGGAGGAGAAAAGCATCCAGACCTGTCTTGCAGAGGCAGAAAAAAGATTCAAGCTGGAATAGAGGGGAGATCTTACTGTCAGCAGAAACTGGCACTGAAGGAGGGCTAAGGAGTTCACTGTGTTTGAGACACAAATATTTTAAGCTACGGGAATACCACAGTCCTGAAACAGGAGTGACACTGAGAATCAGTAGGAAAAGTGGGCTGGAAAGATCAGCTATAGTGTGGTCCTGTCATGGAGACATAGCAGAGTGAAAATCTGAAAGGGCTTATGAAGCATTTCTGAAAAAGCAATGTTTCAAGTGGATTAAGACAACATGAGAAAAACTTGGGAAGTAGATAAGCAAAAGCCTAAGATCCTAGAGAGAAAGGGTGGAGGAAGAGCCTTCTGGAGCTGGGGCAAGAGACAGACCTGAGGGCACTCTGGGGAAGGAACACCATCGGCCTTGGGCACACTGGCTGCGCTCAAGGAGCGAGTTGCAACTCCTTAGCTTTTCAGGTATAAATCATGATTTAGACCAAGTATAAATCTGTTGCGTATGTACTGACTAGCTGATCTGTGTCTCTCTGCCTTTTTCCCCATCCAACTTATTTTTTGGTGCTTTGAATTCTGTTTGTATAAAATGTATCTGCCTCATTGTACATTGTGGGTTTCGTAGATCACAAATATTGAAATCTCCAGAGATGGACTCCGGTTCAGTGGTTTGGTTAATCCACTCCACAGCTTGGGTTAGGAGCACAGCTGGGTTGTGCCAGGTACTGTTATCAGGAGAGCAAATCTTTCTGCAGGTTCTCAGCTAAGCTATGTGCAAGATGTTGCAGCACCTGTACCCTTATGTACTTGTTAGGCGTGAGTGCTGAAAACCTCACCCTCACATGCCTAATTGCCCTTTGTGCATTTGAAAACATATCTCTGGTAATGTGCCTACTTTCTGTTAATGTCAAGAGCTGAGTTGAGAAGAGAGAGGAAAAATGAAACTAGAATTGTTGATGGCAGCCTCTCCCTCTCCCTTCTTCTCCTTAGAACAAATTAAAAAATAAATAATCCATGCCAACTTTGTGATAAGTCTATCTCAGAAAAAAGGAAAGATTCAGTGGTGACTTTGTTTTTCAGCAATGAAAGCTCCACTGTATTTTACCAGCTAGAGTTCTCTGTACCGCCATCAGCGGAGGGGTTTATGGAAAATTTAATGGACCCAGATTTTATAAGAAACATTCTACGTCAGAATATTTATGATGAAGAAGATACTTTTTATCCTGGGACGTCTGAATGTAACACGTTAAAGCTTGACCCAGATTCTCTCACATAAACATGTAAGTGGTATAAGTTACAGGAACTGTTTCTCTAGGAAAAGGAGGGAGGAAAAAAGGAAAATCTTTCTGGGAAGATGTTGAGATTTATTAGTTCATGTTTTGCACAACTCTATTGAAAAAAAAAAAAAAAGTTAAATATTTAGATTTCAAGAAAGTCTGGTTATACTTAACTTATAACCTGGAATTCTTTATTTGTTACTGTGATGAGTGATTGAGTAGTGATGATAATGCTGAGCTACAGGGTCCAACCAGGCTTTCCAGATCCCCAGATTTAATGCATACAGTTAAAAAGAAAATCTCCTCATGTATGTGTACCACAACAGGGAGCAAAATAACTAAAATTATTTTTCCTCACCAATTTAAATCCAAGTGAAAAGGCTGTGTAATTAGGGAGTGAGTTTCTGATGTTTTCACAGTCAAGGATGAAAAAGCCTCCTAATTTGTATCTTTTCAGAGTTTTTTGAGAAAATTTATTATGCACCAAGATACCTTTTAAATGAACCAAATGTTCACACTTGAATCCTATCCTATCATATCCTATGATCCTAGGCTAACACTTCACAGTACAATGTATATAAGTAAGATTTGTGCTTAATTTGTGTTTTACTTCCTTGGTACCCTTAACAAGGGACAAGAGATGAATGAGTCAAAAGTTCTAAATCTCAGTATTGTTTTGTTCCTTATATATTGGCAGCATTCATAGAAAAATACAAAAAGATCGGGAGAGTATTCTGAAATATTAAGATTTCATTTTAATAATGTACTGTTTTTACTTTCAGAGAAATAATGGACTCCTCATGTTTCTCACCTCCTAGAAGAGATGGGCTTCTACTGTCTGTTAGTAATCCCAGGTTAGGGAGCTATTTGTTAGGTTGAAACACTTTTAAAGATGGCTTTCTTCAAATGAAAATGTGGTGTATTGCTAACAGTATTGTACTCCTAGAACATTGCTACCTCCTTCTTCATTTCTGTCCTGACTTATGAATTACCCATTTCAGTCTTGTGAAAATCATATATCTTGCCTGATAAAGTGCTCTACTGACTTGGAAAACTCTAATTTGTCTTATGATGAAATCTAGATTCCCTGCTTGAGCTTTAAAAACAGTCCGATAGTGTCTCCTCTCTTTTGCTCTTGGCTTATGCAAAATTATATGTACAGCTTCATCCTTAATTTTCATGTTCACCCATGCTCATGTCTTATACTTTTTTTTCCCCACCAACTTCACCTGCCATATCCTCCCCAGTGTTCTTTTCTCTCAAAACAACCTGATAAGTTAAATATCCTTTCTGTTTTATTTAATTATATGAAAAACCTTTGCACTTCCATCTGAAGTAAGCTGGAACTCTCATCATCCCCTTGTTCATCCTATACTCTTCCTAGAGAAGTTGTCATCAGCACTGTTTTTCCTCTTCTGTAATGTGAAATAAAAATGAAGAAGGAAGAAGAAACATCGTGAAGAAATGTGACTTGTTCACTAATGCATCTGAACGCTGCAGGAATCTTCCAAGGGTCAAATTAGCTGTGTACTTCATTAATTAGTTACTGGTGCTTGTGAAAAGACATGTATTAGACCCACATCTCTAAATTCAAAGGAAAACGGGTCTACACCCTTCTGCCCTTGCCTGACAGTGGGGGGAAAAAAAGAAATGCAGAATTCTTGCCTTAATAAGGCAGCAAACAGCTGTTGACAATAAATCATATGGGACAGACTGATGCCAAGAAAAAGGTGCTGAAGCAGATCATGTGGGCCAATGTAGCATGAACGTTATAGCCAGTAACTGGTTATAAGATCAAAACTAAAAATTAAGCATTAATTTTTTGAGGAATATGAAAGCTTCACTACCATGTTAGTGAAGTGTAGCTTCTCACTTAGAAACGTTTGTAGCCTGTATAAATGTTCATAATGTTGTATAGGAAAAAATATTTTTAGAAACTTTTTGTACTGTGAGAACTATGATGAATTGTTGTTTTTTTTTTCTAATGTTTATTTAAAGAATCTGATGACTATATTGTACATTAAATTATTTATTTTTATTCTTAGAGTGATTGTTTTCATTCTTCAGCAGCTCCTGTCTTTCAGCAGTTTGACTTGAAAAATAACAATGGGAATTCTAAATGCTGAGAGTAGTATGAATTGCCTGTCTGGCAAAGACATACACTCAAAACCACATTTGTTGTTGCCTGAATTTTAAGAGAGCTTTTGAAACAGTCTAAACCAAATTACAGTATCACATGGCTGTCACTTGTGACTAATTCTGACCACATCTTAATTTGTAATATGTAGCAGTGACTATAAAAAACATAATTTCTCTTTTCATGCCTCAGTTCTCATTTGATGAAACACTATGATTATATAGTTAATGCTATTGTTTCTATATATTTATTTTAAGCAGAAAACATTTGACTTTACAGTCCATCTCCACCCATGCTTTGAAATCTAATTGAAGGAAATGTACAAAAAAGACAGTCACATCTGTTTTTATATCTTTGAGGTAAATTGATAATGGAAAAGAAGATAGCCAGATAAAATAATTATGACTTCATCCATTAGGGTCAGAGCAGTGTGAGAACATATTTTATCTGTTTAGGTAATTTGAGAATGCATAATGTTCACTTTAATAGGAGTGTGGATGACATGGAGATGACTGAGGAAACTGAGCTATGGTTCAAAAAGGAAAATAAAGATTTTTCTGGTAATTCAGCTTGTGGATTGTACAGCCAGCCCTTTACAAATCCCATGGTAGGCAGCCTGTGTAGCAAAGCATGAATTCTGGGCAGATTCATCTGCCTGTCACTGTAGCAGTGCCTACACCATGCTTGCAACATCTGTCTTCTGCTGTGTGCAGCCACGTGCTTTGTGGGACCCTCTGGCACAGAAACTGCAGGTGGGATGTGCAAAGGAATCATGCTATAAAGCTAGGACTGCAGCCACAGATCAGATACAAGGGGATATTTAAAATCAGGAAAATCACTCAATGTTTTCTTGCAAACTGTTTTAATATAAAAATACAGAAAAAAAAAATAATGCTTAGGGAAGCACATGGGCACATAATCATTTCATGAGTTCTGCTGAATAGTTCAATAACCAGCTTCAGTCCTATGGGTACATCCAAAAATTCTGTTTGCAGCAGGTTGACAGGCTGTGGCGAAGTTATATTCTGTCATTGTGGAGAGCCAAACTTGAGACTTCCAGCAGAAGTGAGCTGGAAACATTGAGTGGTGAAGGCAAAACCTCCACTGAGAGCCGTGCAGTTACCACCTGTGCAGCACAGGGGTCTTTGTAGGTTTCATGGTCTTCTAAGTGGCAGTCGTTTGCAGTGAGTGGACTTTGTTGTTGTTTGGTATACAGTTTCTTGCCTTTTTTTTTTTAATTGCATCCAACTTTGTTAAGACTTCACTCTGAGACAAGGAGTGTTATGTTAAGGAGTGGCAGGGGGAAAAATTTGAGAAATGAGTTCTTTGTCCAGATTGTATGCTGCATCGTGGTATATATATTGTTCTATATCAAGCTGGCCAGAAAAACTTTGGAAAAAAAAAAGTAAGTACACCTAACACAAAGTTTATGCTTTTTATTTACTGGGAAAAAAAAAAAAAAGAAAAGAAAAAAAAAAAGAGCGGGAGTAATTATTATTATTATTATTGCTTTTTTGAGATTTCCATCATTAGTTCTGCTATAACCCCTTAAAAATACTGTAATTATCCAGAAAGATTGTGCAGTCTCAGTTTCTTCTAGTAAGGAAGCACCTGGTTTTCTGTAGAGGAACCTTCCTTTACAATGGTAGTTACTGCTGATTCCTCTTGTTTTACTTGTTGAGCCCTGTACCCTGTTCCTGTGATCACCTTTTCATGGACAGATTTGTCTCATTGGAACTGACTGGTAGACATGTCCTAAAGCTTTGTAACTTGAGAGATATTCTCCAGTTTGTTTGAAGAGTTGACAGGTGAAGTGGCTAGGAAGGCTGGCTTAAATATTCAAGTGAATATTTGAGTAGGCCCTCTTGGGAGCAGAAAGAGTCACTCTCTAGTTCATGAGGACATAATCATATGCACTGTGCTCTTCAGAGGAGGTGGTATTTCGCTTATTAGTAGGCACATTGACAATTGCATATTCTGTCTGATCATAGTCTGTCTGATTCTTGGTGTCAGTCACAAAGGACTCATGTTTGACGTTGTGGGTGACAGTGGAATACCAAAGCCCGCTGGCATTCATCGAGCCTCTTCTGGTGCAATGTTCCTAGTGGGGGGAGATAGAGAAAACGAGATTGATTAGCTCCAACACTGTTATACTCCCTTGCTGAAGAAGCTTGCAGCATGAACAGACCTGGCAGTCCACATAGCCTGTGTGCTGAGGCAGTGGTGTTAACCCACATAGTATGTGAAGGGTAGGTAAATCCTGCCATTTCCCTGGTTGTGTTGGCTCTAGCTGCATGCTTACACCTGTGCTGTGTGGCTGGAGGGCCAAGGCCCTGACTCTTTTCCTGAGGCTGGTACTGCTACTGATAGGTTATGTGACAAAAAGTTCATCACCCCACACAGGTGCGGGGATCCCCAATCAGCCCCAGTCCCCATCTGTTCCCAGGGCTGTCCCAGGAAAGCTGCCAGCCCTGTGGACCAGGGATGGCACCCACACAGTGTGTCAAAGGGAGCGTCTCCAGCTTTCCTGGCTGGGTAGATTGCAGGGGGAGCTACTGCCTGAAGGAATTGGTGCACGAGGGGGAGAGCTTCTGGCGACCTGTGCTAGGCTTGTCATGGTGTATTCAGGGGAGGAACCAGATGGGGAGAGCAGGGGGATTTGTGGAGGAAAAAGCATGGGAATACGGGTGGATAGGGGAATAAATGGGGCCACTCACATGTAAACAGGTCAGTACCCTTGTCTGGCCTTACACTGGCATCTGAATAACATGTTCTGCCCTGCCTTCTCCTTAAATTCAATCTCTAACCCTCTTTCTTGGGTGAGGGGCTCACTCTTCTGTGTACGCACAACGGCCTCTCCTCCATTTAGCTGCAGGATTTGGCAGCTCCCTACCACGTAAAGGAGACTTTTAACTCCTTTAGCCTGGATGATTTCTAGCTCCAGCATTTCTGTTCTTGACTTCTGAATTTAAATAGACATCAAAGCATCTGTTTTACCTCCCCTTGAGCCACCTGTGCTGTGTCACCATGCGCAGAAGAGGAGGCAAGCTGTGCGTCGGAGCTGGCTGCATTTGAAGGCTATTCAAGCAGTGCTGTGGGCTGAGAGAGATGCGGACAGAGACAGCGAGCTTCCCCTTGGGAACTTGCCCTCTCCATCATCTCACGCTTCTAGACACCTTGTCATACATACGCAGATTGACTTACTGAAACCTAACACGTGTGAGGCCTTCATCCATCCCCCTGTCAGCCTGCCCTGGAGGGGATGGAAACCATGGCTCATACAGCCAGGAACCCGCTGAGCAGGAGGCAGGGCTCCTGGAAGGGGGCCCAGCAACATCAGAGATGCAGAGGATGGCTGCCCAAGCCCTGGTGGCCCTCATCTAACAAGCTCCTTGAAAACAGAAGGAGGAGAAGAAAGAACTGTTCATTAACAAAGAAGAAGGTAAGATTGCATGAGTAAATGCCTTCCCAGCTCTGTTTAGACTTGTCCCTCCTTTTGCCTCCTGATTTTGTTCACTAATGTGTTTTGTGTGACTGTGCACTTAAATAGGTGGTAGGATGGCTCATTAAGTCTAAAGGGATGATGTGAACTGGGGTATGTATTTGGGGTCAGAAGTTAAAATGTTTCTCGCTCTGATGCTCTTGATTTGAACTCGCTAATAAAGACAGTGAGTAAACACTGCCTTTATAGTGGCACCCGCTATAGTCTGGAGTAATAGCGGTACTTTTAAGTGGGGGTTGCTGAGTTCATGTTGACATTTGCGGCCACCTTTCAGTGTTCTCTAAGTGGAACAGAGGTCTCCGCTCCATGGGCTAATAAACCCAAGGGTTATCTTTTGTCTTTCAAACATAGAAGTGAGAAATTGTTATTAGGACATCATTTCTGTGGAATTTCAGATTTTCTCAGCTTGTATGAATCATGTTGTCTATTTGTATTCAGTTTGGTGTGAAAGATTTCCTTCAGGACCTTCAGGAAACAGCATTTTGAAAATAATTCCTGAGTTTATTGTTGAGGCTTTATAGAATTCTTGAAATTCAGAAATTACAGATGTTTTAAAGAGTGGAGGAATCAGGAAAGACTTGCTTAAGAAAAGCCCCTATCTTCGCTATCTACCTGCAGAAGCCAGGCTCTCCCTTCTCCTAGCCACTATTACAAAGAACTGGGAGGGCAGCAGGCATTTCTCTTCACGTGCCTGCAAAATGAGAACAGGTAGGCTCTCTATTTTCATGACTAACTGGCTCCAAATCCACCAAGTGAAGGCTCGGGTGCCGCTTGTACTTTCCAACATACTGGGCTACCTAAGCCTTACTTGTAGCTACACTTTCCAGAGTGCTTCCAGCCTACACATTTTGACAGGCTGTTGTCATCCACCTCTTCTCAGTGGGGACTGAAGTGCAGAGGTGGGGTGATTTGTCCCACACGCTGACGGTGCAGGAGGAGTGAGCATGAAGACTCCTGGAATTTTGTTTGAGTCTTTCACTATCCACACACTGAGTTTAAAACAGGGAAGAAATGACTTTCATATTGTTCTGAAGACCCTACCAAGACTGTCTCCAAACCTTGCTCTGTGGCTTTCACTTGGGGCTGGAGTCTCAAAATGAGACAGCTCCTTGGAAGGTTCCCCATTAAAGTTCCACCCCGCCTCGTCTCTGCCCCCACAGCTCACCCCACACCCCGCACAAATGATGAGCTCATTTGATCACACTCTTTTCTGTCATCGTTCCCAACCACCTTCTTAAAATTTTCTGTTAAACACCCACATATCTTCAGGGCAACAACTTTTGCTTTACCACTGTCATTTTTATTTTTATTTTATTCTTATTTTTTTTAATGTATGAAAATAGGGTGGGCTGCTAAATGGCAGCGCTTTGCTCTGCAGTACACAGGGCTTTTGGTGATTGGTCATGACTGGTGATTTAAGGCACAACATCAGTTACCCTGCTGCTAAGATTGTTTTCTTAGCAGAGGTAGCAGACCATAGGTGCTCAGAGCCTGGCATGTGAACCCCAAACCATGAGTGCATGAGACAGTCAAGTGCCTCAGCTGACAGGAGGCTGCTCTTCTGCCTTTCGCCTCCAGAAAGATGAATTTGGAGAGATGAGTAGGCATGCACCAAGGGATGGTTGCCTCTCAAACTACCTCAGGGTGCCTTACCACAACTCCTGAATCTGACCCAAGAATGGAGAAGCAGGATGGACTGAGCCATGTGGCATCACGCCAGTCCTCCTGCAGTGCAGCCATTTAATCCCTTCTGGTTTATAAGAAACTGAAACTGAACGGTCAGCTTAACAGTGCGTGCTTTGAGGCTTTTTTCCTAGAGGCAGGGAGATGTTGGCAAGAGGAACCTTATTCTGTTCCAGCAGTGATTTAGCCATTCATCACTGTTTTTTACAGTGGAAAGATTAACCAAAGCCTTTTAACTTTTCTAAGTATTAAATCTCCTTTAGTCTTTCAACCAAAGACTTCTTTTGTTACTAAATTGCGTTGGCAATAGTCCAGATAAACAGCTTTTTATTAAAAGATGTCATGCTGAAACCGAAACTATTTTTTTTTTTCTTCTGGAAAACATGCCAATTTTGGTGCAGCTGCAGGCAAGAGAGGTCACTCTGGCTAGCAGGCAGCCGAGGGGAGAAGGTCATGAGGGTGAGGTAGGAGGAATACCCCCCGGCCATGCATTGCCTTGTGGCTGGGGTGACTCACCGAGGGCAGAATGAGGAGGCACAAGCCCCCGAGCTGTGGGACTGGGGCCAGGCAGCATTATGCTCTCCAAAAGGGGCCCTAGAGTGGGGCTGAATCCCGCCCTTTCAGCATACATGTATTGGTTTACTTGGAGCAAAGACTTGAGCTGTTTTTCTGCCTCCCAGGGGAATGTCCCAATGGTGGGGTTACGTCTCTAATGAGGGAAGGTGGTGGACACCTTGTTTTTCAGACAGGGGCATGTCTCGAGCCCAGCCCCCAGGAAGAGCAGCGAAAGCATCCACTTTGAGTCATTACCTGGGCAGGGCTCGGCGCGCAGCTGTCGGTCTGAGCTGGGGAGAGAGGAAGCAAACAGGTGACTGTGGGTCCTCGGCACAGCTGCAGGATGCCAGGCAAGGTGAGCAGTGAGGTGTGGGTGGCCAACATGCCCTGTGGGGGGATGGAGCGTGGTTTTCTGCAGCACGGGGCTTGCTCAGGCTTGGCTGCAGGCTGTGCAACGTCATAAGCTTGTGGGACATGGGTTGTGGAAAGGGATCAACCTCCAAGGGCTAGAGACATCTGATGGCTGGTAAAGATTTATCTTTCCTCTGGTTTCACACATGCTTACAGTGCTGTACTACTCATCGACCATAATGAAACCTAGGTGAATAACCTCATTCATTCAGCAGCCTGGGTTTGTCGGGAAATTGGTCTCTCTGTCCTGTGGGCATCTAAGTGGCAAGGGGTTATTTGCATCACCCTTTTTCACAGCTTTATTTTTAGCTGCTTATCAGGTTCTTGCAAGGAAATTGGTTGAGCTACTGTTTGCTCCTACAAAGTTTCAGAGCTGAGCTTTCAATTCTGCCTAAGGTAGCAGGACTTAAAGTGTTCTTGCTTTGCAGTCTGGCTGGAGGGAAGGCATCAGCCTCTGAATGTCACATTAAACCTACCAAGTACAGATCTGGCAGTGGTGCCAAATAGCATCGTGCTGCCTTGATGCAGCCACAAGATCATTAATGTGTATGATTAACAAATGAGCAAGCACTCCGCTCCTGAAAGCAGCTGAGCATGTTAAACTACAGTGGTCAAATTATTACTGATCACTACATGGTCACATTACCCCTGACAGAAAGGGTAACAGTCCAAGACAAAACCAAGATGCTGTGGTTCATGTGAATGCGTGTGATTCCAGCCACTACATGAGTCTTCCCTATTCACGTTTAATAGGCCAAAGCTATTTTATTAGCAGAACACCTGGTTTCTACAGTCCCCAGCTTTCCTGTTTGTTTTTAATCTTTCAGCCGTAGTGAAGTGCAAGGAGGTGCAATTCTAGGTAGATGTTTTAGATATTAAACCTGGAGAAACTTGCTGCTCAAACTGAAGCACATATCTCTGCCCTGTGTTTCTGGGAGCAGCCCTAAGAGGGGCAGCACACTCGTGGTAGCACCCCATGGCTGGGGCTGCAGTGCTGCTGTGTGGCTGAGGGCACCTCACATCCCCTCCCTCTCCCTGCCACCTTCGGGGTGCTGGAGGAGCATCTTTACTTACTTTCCTTGTTGGAGTACCTCTTCCTCCTCCCAGGGATGCTCATCTCCCACCTGGAATGGGGACACGAGGGCAGGGGGTTAGGCCTGGTGCTGGTTGAACCTCACTCTCCACTGCAACCCCCCAGGTGCCCTTTGTATGGCATCTTAGACGTGCAGAGACCTGCTAGGGGAGCAGGGGTGGCTCACGGGAGGAGTGGCATGAATCACAGACCTGTGGCTGGGCAGCAGCACTGACAAACTAGGAGATGCGTGTCCCGGTACAAACCGAAAGGAACAAGAACGCAGCGATTGTGCAACACAGGCTGCAGGCACAGCAAGGGCAGCAGCAGGCCAGTCCGTGAGAGACTGATCTGTGGCAGCTGAAGTAAGCTTTGCTGTTTTAATCAGATGGTTGAACTTGCATAAGTGTGGTCATTCATTTGAATTGTAAGTCACTCCCTAATTGAATATTTGCACTGTATTTTTCTTTCCCAGGACCTGAGGTAAAAAGGCAATGCCACCGTTCTCTGCTGCTGCTAATAGTTTTCCTTAATAAACATAGGTCCTAGGTCTAACTTATTAACTATGCTTCCTAAGCTCAGCAGCTAGCGTGACATAATTTCTTCCTGCACATAGAAGTGGTGTTCTTATCAGGGCAGCAGGAAGTTTCACAAATATTAGTGAGCATAACTTCCCACCTTCCCGTTCAGGGGGGAAATTTAGTTCTCATAATGCAGCTGGGAATAAAGATAAAGCTGATCTTATTTCATTTCTGATGGCCTACCTGTTTTCTTTGAATTTCATACAGCCTGCACTGAGCATGAACTTCTCTAATTTAGCAGTAGACATCAGCATGAAGGCTTCATGCAGTTTGGTCCTAGAAGTCCTACAAGGCACATTTTAAATAAAAATGTATGTGTATGTGTTAGGTATGTTTACAGTACACAAAATTCATAGCAGGAATATATTGTAACTGTGATTTGATATAAATTTGATGCAAGTGGCTGAGGGAGCTGGGCTTGTTCAGCCTGGAGAAAAGGAGGCTCGGGGCGACATTATTGCTCTCTACAGATACCTTAAAGGAGGCTGTAGAGAGGTGGGGGTTGGCCTGTTCTCCCACGTGCCTGGTGACAGGACGAGGGGGAATGGGCTTAAGTTGCACCAGGGGAGTTTTAGGTTGGATGTTAGGAAGAACTTCTTTACCGAAAGGATTGTTAGACACTGGAACAGGCTGCCCAGGGAAGTGGTGGAGTCACCATCCCTGGAAGTCTTTAAAAGACGTTTAGATGTAGAGCTTAGGGATATGGTTTAGTGGGGACTGTTAGCGTTAGGTCAGAGGTTGGACTCGATGATCTTGAGGTCTCTTCCAACCTAGAAATTCTGTGATTCTGTGATCTGTTTCTTGTTTATATTCAATTTGCTTCTGATTCTTCAGTTTCTTGCTCAGAGGAAGTGATACTGGCCACCAGGCTTGGATAGCTCTTGTCCTGGATGGTCAAACAATAAATACCATGTTTCTTTAGAGAATTAGACTTGCGAACTGCTGCACAACCCTTACATAAAGTGATCTTATTTAGTCAATAATGTAGAATACTGTGGGAAAATAAGTCAGTTGTGTAGTCTGAGAATTTAAAATGTTTTTCATCAGCCATGCTCATAATAGAGACGTGCTGTCTCCTTAGAGGGAGGTGCTGAGTTAGAGAACGAGACCCTGACTTGTCTGTTGTGGTTGGAGGGACTTGGGGCATTGCTTATTTTTTTTTTTTATTTTTTAATTTGTTTGGTTTTGTAGGCAATTATAAATATTGCTTTATCAGTGAAAATGCTGAGAAATAGTCCTGGCCAGCAGTCTCAAAACAGAAGAAATGTGATTCAGTTATTGAAATAAAAACAGAATTAATTTTGGTTTTGTAGTTTTGCTTTGCACTGTGCAGAGAAGCTGTCTGAGCTCTTGTACAGGCTCCAGGGTCTGTCACACAGGGGAAGTGGTCAAGACAAATATAGAAGTGCCACTAAAAAGCAAGCTCTCTGAATAGATGGGATGAAGTGTCAGGCTTCGATATACATATGCTGCTGCTAAGGTTGCACACATATTTGAAAGGGGTGATGCCAGCCTCTTTTGCTGTCAGAAATATGATGTTCCTCTGGTCCTATGATGTGGTAGGGCATTACAGCATGAGCCTTCAGGAGAGAGAACTTCAGTGGAGAGCCACTGCAGCCCTTCTCTCCATTCAGCTTGCTCTCCCTCAACAAGAGGTAATGGTCCAGAAATAGTTTTCTTCCTACCTGGTTCCTTAAGCCACATCTGACATAAAACTGACAGATCCCCAAAAGCTAAACACTATCTGCTGATACCCCTCTGCTTTTTTTTTTTTTTTTCTTTCCAGACCTGTTTAAAGCTACTCAGCAGAGGTGCGGACAGCTGGGTGGCATGACTGCTTGCTCCTGGCTCCTTAGGAATTCAGGTTCGTGACAATAAAAGCTGTGAATGTGGAACAAAAGGCTTTGTGGAGGACTTTTTGAGGCCTAGCTCCCACCACAGGAGAGAACTTAGTGCTGCGCTATGGGTTCAGCCCTTCAGCAGTGCCACACGCTGCCAGGGAGGCAGGATTGGGGTGGCGTGGATGGGCAGACTGCCAGGAGGTGTGCACCAGCTCTGATAGGGTTGGGGTCGGGGGGCAGCCAGGGCTGGACCTGCACAGTGCAGCAGAGCTATACCAGGATGCTGAGTCACCGCACGGGAAGGAGAGTTTTCTGAACAACGCGTAAAAATAACTACCCCTCTGAACTTCTGTGATTTTTCAGAAAGAGATAGATTTATCAGCAACCAGGCAGCTGTGACTGAGGGGTGAACTGCTAGGAGAAGCTGAGGGGAAGCGGGTGCCACTAACCAACTTTGCCTGATGCTCCCTGTCCCAGGAGGGCAGCCTGTTAACACTTTGCCACCTACCTCTTCTGGCAGCAATTTGCCACAGAGGAGTTTCTGAAGGTGAGGTGCCACCCTTTGCTGTGGGGACCATCCTCTTGTCTCCTTCTGTGGGGGAAATGGACTTCGGAGCCCCACCGCCACCTAGTAGGAAAGATCTGCCTTAGGAACAGCTTGTTCAATGTGTCCTGGTTCCTGCTTCTGAAAAGAGTTGGGAATGTTTTCAAAAGCAGCAGGAGTCCTATCCACCTAAGTGATACAGGCACTTAAAACCCAGGGATTCAGCAAGTCTGGGAGACAGGAGCACGGGGCCGAGACTCTGCAGGCACAGGTTAGGACCCACCAGCTTCATGCGAGCTTAGTCATTCTCGACTCAAACTGCCGCTGACAGCAGGACTTCAAGGTTTGGGGACTTTATTTGTTTCCCCTCAAGACCAGTTAAAGCATTCATTCATTGGCCTCTGGCCACAGGGAAGTGAGAGATACCCTTGCTTTGGAAAAGAGCAGAAAGTTTAATTATGGCAACCTGAGTGCCTCATCTGAGCTCCTTAAGAATCATAGAATGGCCTGGGTTGAAAAGGACCTTAAAGGTCATCTAGTTTCAACCCCCTTAAGACTGAGCAAGCTCTCAGGGTACACTACTTAGAGACTGCACGATTTCTTCTTTAACCCATTCAGACCACAGTGGGACCGAGAGGGGATTTTCCTCTTCATGAGCCTTCAAGGAAATCATCTGTCCACACAGTGGTTTTTTGGTTGTTCTTCCTGATAGCCATGTTACCGGAGAGCCCTGGTGACTGTTCCTTGGAAGTGCAGTTCTCACAGGCTGAGAACTAAGGGAGTTTTTAGCAGCAGCAAGGCTGACACACGAATACCCGGCAAGGCAGTGGCGAGAGGGGTTGGACATCTGGGTTGAAGGGTCTTCCAAGCAGGGTTGCCTTTTCAGGCATCTTTGCCTATGCATGTGGGGATGGGCATCCTTGGAAATCCCACATTGCTCTAAGACAGCACATGAGCCACCACTTTCCCAGAGCAAATCTGCTGCTTGTGTTAGGCTGACAAAGGCTATCAGCTGCTTCCTGGGGGGTTTGAAGCAGCTGGTTTTATGGGGGTGGGTCCTCCTCTGTCTTCACAGCTCATTAGGAGACAATCTGGTCATACACACTGCTGCACGTAAATTCTGTGTATTTATGTACATTATACAAATAATTTATTTATATGCAGTGTATGTAAAAGGCTGTCTTTATGAGATGCAGTGCAATGGATGAAACTAAGGTGAGTTTCTAAATAGGATTTTCCAGCCAGGAAGGCCAGAGAAGATGACAAGGACTCTGCTCCTTGTGCTCCCCGCTTGTAATGTCCTTCCCTGCCTCAGCGGACTCCGTGCTGAGACCTATGGATGGGTTCACCTCTGTAAAGAAGAGCCCAAGGCAGTGCTCTTCGACATACTAAGAATTATGTCATTCGTTTTAACTTGCTTGCTAAATTACTTTTGTTTAATCAAGGGACTCTTTGTGGTACCTTCCCTGGTTCCTTAAGGTTGTTTCATCACAGGTATCTCCTAATTTCTCTCATTTTGAAATCACTCTCTTAGCCTTATTCTTTAGCAATTAAACACAAAATGGCATTGAACCTACCTTGTTTTTGGCTGGCAGTTTCCCATCCTCCCACTGGATCTCTGCACCCTTGGTAACCAGCTTTTGGCGTGGTTTCTCTGCTGTCTGAATTTTCTGTACTGGATATGTTACCAAAAGAGACTCGATGGCTGTACAGGCTCCTTATCTCTCCCACCCAGATACTGTACACGAAAAAAAAAAAAAAAGCCTCCACCACAGACAACCACTTGACGTGTGGAGGTGGGGAAAGGAGAAGGGGAGGATGAATGACTGACGTGGTTTCCTGAGAAGCCAAGGCCAGCTAGAGCATGCTGCTGCTGGTGGCTCCCACGAGGAGGCTGATGGGCTGCAGCATGGACTCCCTCTATGATCCCTGGACTGAAAGAGCAATGTGGGGATGTGGAGTGCTGTCAAGAAGAAATCAGAGTGCTTGGCCACTGAGAAAAGTCACGATGAAACAAAAGGTAAAAAACAAGCCCTTTGGACCCCCCAAAATCATAACATTTGCTGCTAGATTTTTCCAGTGTAAGCTAGCTTTACTTTCTCCTCTGTTTCTTTTTTTATTTAATCTTTTTTTCTTCCTCCAGAGCTACAAGGAGAAGTATAATTAAAGAACCAAAATGCAATTTGGAGGGCTGATGGTTCAGTAATCTTATAATTCACAACGCTTGACTGTCCCCTTCCCCCTCCCCCCCCCCCCAAAAAAAAAAAAAAAGTATCTCTAAAAAGGCATCAGGTGTCTGCAGCAATGTTGCCCAAAGCACAGAGGTACACAGCAGTGGGTGGTTAGCCAGACATTTTCATGTGTGCTGTCCCCCGGCAAGGTGCCGTTTTGCAGCGAGGCATACTTTGCCATGGGTCAGGTCTCAGCTAAGCAGCCCCTCTCTGGTGTTTCAGTACTGCATGGTCCCACACTGTCTCACATCTGCATTATTCATGGTGGTGGTAAGAAGCACCAGGCACATTCGATCTGGCAAGCTGTTTCCCATTAGTAGCAGCAGGTGCTGCTGCTCATACAGCTGTGCTACTTGTGGTGTACTGACCTCCAAAGTCACTAAAATTAATCAGTGAGCGAAGCCATGTCTCTCTGTTTTGCTCTATTTATAGGCAGCATCTTGAGAAGCTGCACTGAACCTGCTGACGAGGTAGATGACCTGGTTAATAACCTGTTTTTTACTGGTTATAAATAAAACAGCCATGGTTTGGTCTGATTGTGAGAGCTGAATCTCCAGTCATGTGTGAATGCCTGGCCAGCAGCGTTTTCCAGAAGTTCAGACTTGTGATTTATCAATGGCATTAGTCACTGGGGCTGTGTGGAAATGCTGTCACTGAGTGACTGCAATTAATTCCTGTATACCCTTTTTTTATTTACTTGGAACTGGAGAAACCATCCTAGTGCAGCAGGAAGGAAGGGAAGAACATGAATCAGTGTTTTTCAAGATGTGATTGCAGAACCATCTTCTGCCTGATCATTTCCAAATTCTCATTGTGTTTTGGAGAACGCTTTAAGCCCAGGAATTGGGTGCTGTTCTGAGAAATGCAGCTGCTGTGCAGCTGAAGCAGGAGAACATGGGGTTTGACTGGCAAACAGCTAAGTTTGGGAAATGTCTGAATAAGTGCACTTAAAAATATAAACTGATATCGGTGGTGGGGTTAAGGAGCGGGACCTGACGTTCCTGTTCCTGTGTGTTTAAAGTTGTGAGTCAGGTTCTGTTCCTATGAAGAGAAAGATGTGTAAACTGGGCTCGTGTTTCTCTTAATGCAAAGTGCAATTCCTTTTGTGATCGCTAAGTGGTGAGCGTCAGCTGGGTGTCTGCAGGCTTCTGGAAGTTCTGTCCATGCCTTGTTTCAAAATCATAATACATGTAGAGCTATACGCGAGTGTGCCACCAAATCCTGGAGGGGATCTTCGCATCACTGCTCAGATCACTCTTGCCCTGTCAGGAGGCTTTGGACATAGTTCCAGCAGATCCTCAGAGCTTTTCAGTTCTGAGGGTGAGTACCAGAAGTTAAACGTTTGCTTGGGAATCTGAGGTCTCCGTTTCAAGGCTGGCAGTTTTCTACTCTGCCTTATCTGGTAGAGCTCTTGATTGTATAATAGCTGCAAAATGGTCTGGAAAACCTCACAGGAAGTATTTTTTGTAGATTTTGCATCCTTGCTTTTTGCCTGTTTTTGTATTTATTTATTTATTTTCCAGGTAATTAATTATCACTTGAAGGATGATAGTAGGAACTGTGTGTGAGCATGCCTGATGATTTTTTGTCATGTTATGGCTTGAGCTTCCCCCAAATATTTACGCGATCCAAGGCTAGTACATACAGCGATTCAAAGAAACTAAAACATTTTTAATGCACTCTCAGTTTGGTGTCATCATCATTTACAAAAACACAAGACACCCAGCTAGGAAACAGAAACAGGAGGCTCGGCATGACAGTAAAAGTTTGATTAGTAAATGAGGTCCTGCTGGCTGCTTGCCCCACTGAAGGGTACATGAGAGACCCAGGGACAGAGACTTGTGGTGGTTTCGACAGCGTGATCCAGCTGGCAGAAAAAGAGAAATGCAGAGGCAGAGATGATGAAGCAAAAAAGGCACAAACACAGTGACTCAGGGGATCTGGGTCCGGCTGCCCCCATGCTCCCTGCCTGGCAGAGGTGCTGAGCTGATGGCAGTGGCAGTTCCTGGCCCTCAGCAGCACCTGCAGCCCTGATCCTCCTGCCCTGCGCCTGGTCCTGGCACCACCCGGCCCTCACCCAGGCACTTTTATTTCAGGTGTTTTAGTACAAACACCTCACAAGAAAAGTGCTTCCGAAAAACCCAGCCTTGTAAAGCCAGTGGCACAACTGGGAAATGTTCAGTTTCTGTCTGTGACACTCGTCCCCCCAAATTTTTGTTGTTCAGCTGGGTGCACGTGAGATGAGTTTATGAGGCACCTCTTACCGTACGAGCACATAGGGAATGTCCGTAAAGTAAAAGCGAGGCGTATAAAAAAGAGGAAGCCACATTGTGATGGATCAGTCGGTCGCTCGCTGGTCTCGGGGACGCACAGCTGAAACGATGGCCATCTGCCTGCTCCTCTGCAGCCTCTGGAGTCCTCGCCTCAGGTAACCTCCCGGTCTCTATTTCCTTCTCCTTCAGCGCTGTGATGGATTGGCATACCTCAGGGGACAAAGACAGCATCCACTCCTTTATTTAACGTTGGTGAATTTGTAAGTTGCAGACCAGTGTTTGGCTCTGTTTACATTCTGCACATCATAAATCATCCTGACTCACAGGGCTGAAATTGACTTTCATCTTCTGACTTGGCTGAGATTTGTGCCAGAGCATGGCACTGATTTTCTGTCGCTATGATGGAATTATTTGTAATGATGGACAGGGTGCTTCTAGGTTCCGACCACTGGAAGTGTGAGCATGTTGCATTTGTTTTCATAATTAACAATCATGTAGAAAAGCCTGAGTTTGTTCCAAAATAGCTTCTATGGCAATAGCTTGAATTCTGCCTGTGGTGCACCTGAGGACTGAACAGCAAAATGCCTGGCTGGCTTCCGCATGTCCTGAACATGCCCTGGGTGGACAAGTGCACCTCTGGGCACTGCAGATAACCCCACTCCTCTTTAGAAACAATAATTTGCTTTCTTGCAAACTGAATGATATATTTTCAGTGCTGTAACTGTCCCTGCTGCTATCTCCCTTCCCGTGCAGCATCTACCCAGGTAAACTCTACAAGCTATTATCCTAAGAGCCAGAGCACTGTGGGGTTGAGCTATCAAACCTGCGAGCATCCGCTTCGCTTGCTGGTCCCTTAATAGTTTTCCCACCTGTGTCGGTGAACTGGAAGAGGCGAGTGATTAGTTTTTCCTTCTCCCTGGAGATCTCTAACCACAGAGCAGGTATCGGGCTGTAGGATGTGGTGTGACAGGTGTCGCCTCCAGACAGACTCCCAGGGCAACTCCTCTGAATCATGTTCCTGGCTTTTCCTTGGCAGCAGGGTGAGGGCTGAGGCATGGGGTGTCTGCTGGGGTGGTGAGAGGTGCTGAGCACAGTCCTGCTTCTCCCCAGGCTCCGTGCAGGTGACACACAGGAAGGTGCAGTCGGTCCAGGCAGGCGGGAACGTGACTTTCTCGTGCAAGCTGACCACAAATGAGGACGTGATACAAGTGACTTGGCAGAAGGAAATAGATGGGGCCGAAGGCAACATAGCAACTTACAGTACCATCAATGGCCAGAAGATAGCAAAGGACTATGACAGCCACGTGAGCTTCGCAGACAGCGGGCTGCAGACTTCGGCCATCTCCCTTCACAGGGTCACCTTGCAAGACGAAGGATGCTACAGGTGCATCTTCAACACCTTTCCCTCGGGGGCCATCACAGGCAGGATGTGCCTCAAGGTTTACGGTAAGGCACTGTAATCGTGGATGGGCTGTTGTGTCTTTGAGGACCAGGCTGTTCCCCCCAGAGAAAAGCCTTTCCTTATCACTGTTAGTTGCTAAATCTATGAGGGAAAGGTGGCTTGGTTTCCTCCCTGGCTCTGCATCCCTCGATGGTTTTACTTCTGATGGGGAGGTGCCGTTGAACACTTCTTCTATTTTCTTCCCCTTTAAGCCAACAAAGCAGCTGGTGTGTGCCCTACAGCTTCCTCAGAGTTCCCCAGGCTCAATGCCAGGCTGGCAGCTGCTCTCACCACAGCCCCCAAAGCCCCACTGCTCTGTCAGGGCCACTCGGGGGCTCTTCCCCTTCTGTTTCTTGTGCAGATATCTGTTTCTTGTGCTAGCTTCAAGGAGAGAGTTAAATCTCATGCCAGGAGTCCTGGGAAAAAAAGACAGGCAACCCTGGTTTATAGGGGAATAACGACTTAAGCAAAAGGGGAAAGAGAGAAGGAAATGGGGGAAAACCTGGCGTGACGTAGAAGTCCTTTTCCCTCTCTCCTGGGAAAGATTCTAGAGCGGAAAGAAGAAATTAGTGGGAGAAATCCTCTTGATGTTTCAGATATGAAGGGGAAAGTGCAGTCGCACAACCCTGAGTCATTTGGACAGTAAATGCCGAGTTAGGCATTACAGGAAAATATACAAGTGACTAGTACAGAAATCCCTTTCTGTTTACCATGTGAATCTAAACACGGGGTTAAATTGGCTTTGGTTTATCTTGTCTGTTTTTGATCCAAGTGTGGTAAATTTTCCCCAAATCACCAGCCCTGGGGCTATGATTCACCCGTTACAGAGATCTGAGTGTGTAAGCAAAAGCTCTCATTATAGCTAATTTAGAGCATGCTGTTTAAAAGCTGCAGGTGTATTCCCCTGTTCCCCAGCTGATAACAAGGGGATTAACTTCCCTGAGCACGCAGGCTGGGAAGGTGAAGCAGGTAGGGATGTGCCAGGGCACAGGGATGCTGGGCAAGGTGAGCAAGCCAGCTGACAATGCCGTCAGCCACAGATGAGCCATTGGCATGCGTATGCCATCCAGCGGGGATGGCCAGGGAGTTTACAGGCTGGTTATTGCCTGATTACAACAGCCTTCACCAGAGGGTTCTTCCAGGACCTGCGCGGCATAGCACAGGGAATTGAAACCGCAGTGAGAACCAGAAACGGTGCTGAGAAAAGCTGCACAGGTACAGGCAGCGGGAATCTCAGATCTGTTTGGCTGAATGGGGCAAGGTGAAGAACCAGCAGCAGTTTTCTATCCCGTACCAAAAGCCATTTTGGCACAGAGTATTTTCAAGTGTGCTTGGTAGGTTTCTTTTGAACTGCCGGTTTCTCTTCCCTCTGCATTTTGCATTAGAAATGCTTTGCTGACCTTTGTTGACATAAAGGATCCAAACCCAGAAAGGGGCTAGAGTTACCAGGGATGGAGAGAGGTGATGTGTCGCTTGGGACTGGGCAAGACACCTTGCTGGGTCAGACACCTGCCTGCTGGTAGATAGCCCCATCCACCTGGAGGGCTCCAGCACAGTGGAGAAGTGCCATTGCCATTTCTTAGACAGGGAAACTGAGGCACGGAAATTGCTGCTGATTACCCATGAAGTCTTAACGTACTCACGAGGCATACTCTAATTCCTGAAAATGTCCATCATGTACCTGAGCACAATATGTCCTGTGGGTAGTTTTTCACTGGAAACAAATATTTTGTTAAAAGAGAAAAGCAGAAGTTAATTTAAGCACGTTCATCAAACCTCAACAGTGTGCACACGCTAACAAGCAGCACAGCAGGACTTCACTGCAAAACCAGGTCATTATGGGCTTTGTTTGTGCATCTGTTACAGACACAAGGGGAAGAGCGACCATGCAAGATTTTCCCATGTAATAAACATTCCCTAGGGTCCAACATGGGAAGGCAGAGGACTGCCTAGTGAGAAGAGTCCATTTGGGATGCATGTATGCCTGCCAAGATATGATGCTGAGCAATTTTTCTCACCCCATCTGTGTGCCTTTATAAGCCAAGGTTCACCTTAATCTTTAGGACTCAGTTAAGATTGGAGGTTGCCAGACGGCAGCAATGGTGCCAGTCTGCCTTCCTTGCTTTTTACCACCCGTGCTCCAGTAAAACCCTCTAAAGGGAAATATCTGTGACAATTTTCCTTTACTGCTTTTGGATGTCGCAACCTAATATGTAAAGTCAACTCTGTGGGTGGATATGTTATTTTTATGGATCCCGTGAGTGAAAGAAGAAGTTCAGAGATCATCTATTAATCAAAACATAAACTGTTTGTGACTATTTGTGTCGTTTCAAACACGGGAGATTTTGAGAAGTTCCAGCTGAAATCCCCCTAAATGCTCTGCTTGTTTCTCTCAGAGCACTGCAAGTGGGGTTTCATCAGTTCAGTAGGGTTTGAGTTTCTGTCTGTGGGTGATGCGAAAAAAAAATATAAAATATCCACATCATTCTTCTAAGCAGTCACAGACATAGTAAATAATGAGGCATAGCCACACACACACACAAGGTATAAAGATGGTATAAAGTGTCCTCCTGGCAGTTACGACTTGGACAATCCAGACAGCCTCATGACGTGCATATGAGATTTTACCAGGGGCCTATGGGTGCCATTATGCAGCTACCATGTATCTTTTCCCCCTTTAGCAGGATCATTTGATCTCATTCATATGCAAACCTTCATTTAGTGCTCAAATGGGAAAAAAAAAAAAAAAAAAAAAAGTATTTTTCATTGTAAGAGTAAACATAATCTTTTGGTTTAAGTCAGAATTGCTGAACAACAGTGATATGTTTTCTAGTGTTGTGGCAAAAGTCAATTTCAGCATAAATATTTTGCTGACTTGTTATTTTTGCTATGTAAATAATATATGCATACGGTACTACTAAATATACTAATAGACAAGTGTTAAATCACAGGGCATCCATATTAACTCAAACCTGAATGAAACTAAAGATACCACTGCACTTACATGATTTTAAAAAGTAGTGTTATCAGAAACAGGCAGGCAGAAGTAGAACATGATTTGGACCCCTATGCCATAAGCTTGTGCACTGAAGTAGAGGGCAGGCTGGTGAACTGCCACCTGGAACCCTTGTATTTGGGAAACGGCACTCCCAAGTGGAATTATGTGCCTTTATGAGTCTCGGCGTGAGCAGCCTGAGCTAGCTAGACTGGCTTTGAGCAGGAGCTTGGACTAGGTGGCCTCCAGATGTCCTTTCCAACCTCAGTTATGCTACGACTTTATGGCTGTGGAATAAATAGTTGATTTTGCTTGAAGTTCAACACACAAATTTTACTTTGATATTTCAAAAAAAAAACAAAAACAAAACAAAAACGTAAGGTTTGGAGGTTTGGGCACCTTTTCCATTGTCCTGTTGCCTACTAAGGAGTTTGTACTGTCAGACTCCCACAGATTTCACTCCAACTCCAAACACCTTGTTTTCACTACTTTCTATGGTGGAGGAGCTCAGCCTCCCTGCATTTCTTTCTGCTTCCTTGGGAACAGATTGCCCTGATCTGGGGACGGATGTGTCCTCAGGTGTTCAGATCTTCCCTGGCATTTTACTCTTTAAGATGTGCCCAAGCCTGCACATCTTAAAGAGCAGTAAATCTAATCTCGCAGATGAGTTCAAGGGATAAGAACAAGCACCTTGACTCACTGAAGCTTTTCAAACCTTTCAGAGAGAGGAGGATGTGTGGTTTCACTACCTGTTGTTTTCATCAGTGCTTCTTGTCTGGGATGCTGCTGTGCTGCTCTTAATAGGGGATTTGAAACCTGTATGGTTCTACCCTCTAGCCCTGTTTTTGCCAAGTTCTTCATTTTCAGCATCGTTTTCTGATCACTGTCATGTTTATTTGTCTCTGCCACAGCTTTAGTGAGTGGGATGAAAGGTCAAGTATCAAGGTTGCCCTCCAAGACAATGCTCTCAGACATAGGGTCTGATTTTTGGGTGGTCTGTGTGGAGCCAGGAGTTGGGCTTGGTGATCTTTGTGGGTCCTCCGCAGCTCAGGATTCTCAGTGATGCTAAAATAACAATAAATACAAGTGTTCTCGGCTTAAATGTAAGCAGAAATTAACAGACCTTGCTGCTTTGTGTTTTATAGCCATCTCAGACCCCAAAGTGGAAGCCAAGTTTATTCCCAGTCCAGACATAGCTGAAGACTCCAAGAAAGTGGTGGGGATGAGCTGCTCAGCAACAGGGAAGCCAGCTCCAAAAATCTCCTGGCGCCTTCCCAGCATCCTGCTGCAGAAACCAAGGGAATACCATGTCAGGCTTGGAAACCAGACCGTCACTGTCATCAGCAACTTCACCCACACTGACTCCAAAATCATCCAGGAGTACCCCATCGCCTGTGTGATCCAGCACCCATCTCTGAATGTGACCCTGGACCTGCCCATGGACAGCCTCGCACAGGGTCAGTACACAGCCCCGCTCCTGCCCTGGAGTAGGAGACATGGAAACATCTCCTGGGGTAGATCAGAAGCTCCTCCGAGGGCTGGGGAGCAGGTGGGGAAGGCCTGTGAAGAGCAGCTGGGATGGGGAGGGACAGGCAGATGGGGAGCATCCAGATGTCCTGCTCCCCAGCAGTGATGCAGCACTTGGTGCCCATCAGAGAGAGGTGCTGTGGTGTTCCCCTGGGGCATCAGACCCGAGACATGTGGTATTATTTGTATGTGTGCCTGCACATGCTCACATGGTACCTCATTAGATCCTTCTGAGCCTGGAGATCAGCTAAGGGGTGTCCAAAATGGGTTGGTTTGGTTTGGTTTTCTTCATGGAGAAGCCTGCCTGAGCACCCGCTGCTTTCCCTACAGGTCAGGACAGCGCCATGGCACCATCTGTGGCCATTGTCATGGGAGTGATGGTCCCTCTGATTTCCCTCCTTCTCCTCGCCTGCTTCCTTTGCTGCTGCCTGAGACACCTACATGACCCAGAGAGAAACCTGGCCCGGACTGGCTGGGTAGGTCTCTGTTCCCTTGCTGAGGAACAGCAAAGTTCAGATGGCAACCATAACCTTACACCACTCTTCTGCATCTCTTAAAATGACCCACCTACGTATGGCATGGCCAAGCCATGCCTTCAAGAAAGCGTCTTGAACAGAAGAGGGGCTCTTGAGGAAGAGCGTGCCAGTGTGTGGTGCTCAGGATGGGAAACGGCCACACATGAGCCTGTGGGGTGCTGTGAAGGATGCAAGTTCAAGGCGGGAGCAAACCCAGCGGGACACTGCAGCTTGACCAAGTCCCAGTCCTGTTTTGTGCTGAAGGCATCTCAGCCTCCTTGCAGGATGCACCTGAGGCGTGCACCCTTGCTTTTAAATGCGTGTTTTGGGGATAAAAACAAAAAACAAAAAAAGGCAATGGCAAGAACTACAATGCATTTCTTCCACACATGCTATCCCTAAATCCAAGCTGAAGTCTGCTGGGGAGGTTGTGAGAAGCAAAACTTAAGCTACCATTCTCTAGCACCAACAGGTGCAAAATTCCATTTGGTAATGCAGGCAGATCAAATCTGCTCCCCTGCACTTAAGACATTCATATATTTTTCAAAAAGTAAAATTAAAAAATCTCTTCTGCTAGGTCCTTCCTGTATGTTCCAAGGAGAAGGCATGTGGACAGTCCGTGCTTGTTGGCAAGCAGGGTGCCGCCGTGCTGCCCAACAGCTGAGATCCTGCACACCCAACACATGGACGCCTTGGACTGTCAAGTAAACCTGCTGTGAGATCACAACAAAGGAAATACAAGGAAAAAAAAAAAAAGAGAGAGACTTTTAATAATACATATTTATTTATTTTGTTATACAAACATTCCGTTTTTTTAGAAAAAAGCTGTGAAATATTTATTTGAGAAGCTAAGGCTCTTGGCTATGTGGAACTGCATAACGAAACCTTGTGATTTGCATTTTCTATGCTGCGTTTACTCCTTTCTCATACATTAATATTAGAGGTTCAAAGCTGGGTGGGGGCTGCCTGAGGCAGCGTGATGTTTTGTTGGTCCAGTGACTTGGGGCGTGCTGCCTGTGGGTGGAGGGAGGCAGAGGGGACATGGAGTGAGGCTGTTGCTGTTGTGGTATTTTGGGATCTGAACCATCTCCCCAAAGGGCTCAGGAGAGCACGTCTGCAGCTGGACCAAATTTGTAACCCTGGTGCCAGGGGCTGTAATTTCTGAGCCATCAGGCACCAGCAAATTGCCAGCTCTCGCCTCCACCAGCCTTTCCTAGAAAGGTATGTAAAAACAAAGGGCTTTGTGTCTTCCTTTCCTTCCCCTACACTCCCCATGGCCAACAAGCCAAGTCATCTGAAATGAAAGAGAGTGGGTGAGCTGAGAATGAACAAACCCAATTCTTGTCATAGAAAAAAAAAGGTTTTTTAAACCTCATAGTGCTTAGAAATAGCTGATCTGGTGAGTGCGGGGAAAAGGGAACTAGCTGCAGCCCAGAAGCCTTCACAATTGGGGAATTTTTCTCCTTAATTGTCAAAGGAAGAAACCTCTTTTTTTTTTTTTTTTATTTTTTTCCAGACTTCCCCAGAACTGCAGTTTAGGTTTCCTCTTTGCCTGCATGGGAAAGGGCCATGGAGGGAGGCAGACCTTCCCTGGGGGTATTTTGTGCCCCATGGGATGCAGGCAAAGTGACTGCTGCTCCAGGCAGTGGTACATCAGGCTTCTCTGGTCAGTGGGGTTCACACTTGCTCTTCAGTTTTTGTTTGTTTGTTTGTTTGTTTTTGGTTTGAGGTTTTATTTGTTAGTTTGTTTGGTTTATTTCTGGAGAGTTTTTTAAATTGTTTGCTTCTAATGTTTAAATTAATGTTTTGTTTTGTTTTTAAAAAAAAAGAAATCAGTCTGGTTCTGAAATAGACTTGACATGGGAAGTAAAAGGATTTTCAGAGGGGAGATAAAAAGGCACAAAGCTGGCAAGAAGCCCTTATGAAGCATGGGAAGATTGTAGAGATGACGTGTTTCTATTTTTTTTACAAGTTGTTCATCTGGAACAGAAGCTGGGTTTGGAGTCAATAAAATACTTATGTGTGTTTTTGTAATTCCTTCTACTTTTTAGTTGAATGTTGGATTGTGAAAGGCTTTTGTAGGTTTGTGCTTACCAGCACAACAGAACTAGTGACCAAATGAAAGGGGGGATCTGGCAGCGCACAAGCAAAATGTTGTACAGTAAGGAGCACATTATTGACCTATTTGTCTTTCTCAGTATAGATATGAGAACTGCAAATGACATCCAAATGCAGAACATGTAAAACTGATATGCGTATTTGTCTTCATAATGTACAAAATAGCCAGTGAAATACAGTGCCATAAAATGCTATATGTTACTGCTGTTGAGTTTGGCTTCACGTAGCAAAGGTCTGTTAGGTGGGGGAGAAGAGTACAAAACAGGTACAGACACGTTTCAAAGAACAACCAAGCACGTGACTGAGGGGATCAGAAGTTTATACCGTGGGTGAATAACATCCTAACTGTTGTTCTGAGGTTTCTTTATTATTATGTTGTGCTTGTCTGTCAGCTTATCTCTGTGAATAGTTTGACAGCAACTCTTTAAAGATGAAATTTAACATGGGCTTACTCATAGGTTTAGTATTTAACAAATAGTATCAGAGGTTATAAAATGTTGCCAGTTTTGAATAGGTCTGGAAAAGACAAACAAAAAAGAAAAAAGAACTTGAAGCACAATGGATGGCTCTATTCTCCTGCTGTCAATGCAAGCGATGCAAAGCAGGTTAACTTTGTAAGTATGTGGAAGAGGAGTGTATCTTCAAAGTTTACACTACAGGACTGTTCTGAGCTAGTGTCACCATCACCAAAAAACAAACACCAAAAGCCTAGGTAATAGTAGGCAATGGAGGCGATGTGCTACAGCCAGAGGCTCCCAGCAGCCTTGTGTGAAGCCTGGGTACAGAGGAAATGACTGAGTGGGGAAAGAAAGTCAAGGACAACTCTAACAGGGAGTTTTGCTGGCACTGTAGGCTGAAGTGGGTGCTCCCTGTTGCACTTCGTCTTGCATTTCTCCCCGTGTTAAGTGTTTTTTGTTTTTCTTTTTCTTGCTTGCTTTGTTGAGCCATGGGAATGGGGTTAACTTTTTTCTCTGGGACTTCAGTTTTCCAGGAGGTGTTTGATGGGTTGTCTTTATTCACCTGGCAAACCTGAGTCAGGTCTAACCGAGGAAAAGGAAAACTCTGTGGCATAGTGGCAGTTCATTGGAATGCAAAAAAAAATGAGAATAAAAAAAAATAGAAAAATAGTTTAAAAGTTGAGCAATAGCTACAAGAGCCCTGACAAGAGGTTGATGACCTTGTATGTGGCCAGACCTCTGGCCAGGGACATGCTCAAGGCTGCTCATGGTGCATACTGGCACCTTTGCAGCAAGGTGGCTGTGGCCACATCTCCTGAGGAGGAAGCTTCATGTAGTCTGCACCTCTTGGCTTTGACTTTTGATCTTGTCAGTAGCCATCTGGTTATAGGACATTGAGAAAGTGTCCTTTAAAACTCAGTCAGGGTTCTCTTGTTTTCAGGATTTTCTTACACCTGGCTAGAGCAATAGGAGCAAGCAAGAGCTGTGAGAGGAAACAGCCCTGCCCCTGTGTTAAGGGTGAATACAGGGGACAACTTCCTTGAATTGCATTATCTTTCATTTTAAAAAGCTCTAAATCAAGGCAAATGGATCATATAGTGCAAAGCATTAGGAGAAAGAGTATGGAATATTCCACTCTGCATATCTCCATAGTGTAATATTTGTTTATATTTAGATACGGTAAATGAATCAGAGGCCAAACAGTGTTTTTTAATTTATCCATATCAGAATACATTGAAACATTATTCTAAGGCTGTGCAACATGTCTAGACTCATGTTTTGGCATGCCAGGCTGCTTCAGGGACTCCCCATGCTGTTACTTCTCTCTCTCTGGGTGCCAGGTTCCTGGTTCACCAGAGCAGTAACATGTGAAGGATTTGCAGCAGCAGCTCTGGCTGAGGATGTGGTTTCCTCTCACTGAAGTGCTGCCCTCTAGACATTTGGCAAAACACAGTTGCAATTGCAAGAATATACTTTTTTCAAAAACCGCTACTGGCAGATGCACAGGACTAAATCCCTGCAGTGAAAAGGAACTTTGTTATGGCAATAGAAGATTGAAAGCATCATTCATCATTTCTCTATTGTATGGTGCTGAGGAATGATTCAGCTACTAAATGCCACATCAGTGAGTTTTGTGATTTTTGTGAGTTTTGTGAGTGGATTGTGAGTTTTGTTGTTTGCTAAGTTTTTGGCACTGACCATTGCAAATCAGCTGAAATTAGAGAGTTGCAGTAATTGAGTAGGTTTTCTCTTTCATAACGAGACTATCAAACCAGACAGATAAGTCAGGCATATTTTTGTTTCCACTCATAGTATACCAGAAATCACGCATACTTTGGAAGCCATACAAAAGGCTTTCTCCTGTCTTCACAGCTTTCATCTTTGCTTATATAAAGATGTGTGTGAAAGAAGCACTGAACTCGTGTCCAAGATGTTTGTAGACAGGTGCTGTTGTAATCTTCTTAGCTTTGAGGGAGGGAACACCTGAAATTTCTGTGAAGCTTGAGGGAGTACACAGCCTAAGACCTGTACAAAATATAAACATCTTTTCTTGTGAAATATCCATCTCCTTTTCACACAGAAAACCCTAGAAGAGTTGTATAGAGTGCAGAGGCTTTCCTTCTGTAGATACAACCAGAAACTTCACGCCATGCTTCATCTCACCACTGGATTACCACATGGCTAAGAGCTGTCCTGTGTGGTTTTGCAGTGTAACCCCTGGGCACCAGACCCCTCAGTGCAGAATCCCTGTCACACTGCTGGCTTTTGGTTTCTGGAGCTGCTTTAGACACAGACACGCTTGGGGAGGGTGGGGGTCTTCAGGCATACTTGCCCTCTGCAGACTACTTTCATGGTCCAGCTTGTGGTCTTGGCTTGTTGCAGGCTGGAGTGAAGCAATGGGACCTGTGGGTGTCTCTTTGCTCCTCTCGGTGGAGGAGCGTCTCTTGTGCTTGCTGGTGAGTCCCTTGCACTGGGTGAGGGGGAGCAGGGTGATATGTCCTGGTTTGCCTGGGATTGGCACCCAGAGCTGCCCTTCCTGCTGGCCATCAGCCACCTGCATGTATTGGGAACAGCTTGCAGTTACACCTGGCAAGCTGCAAGTCGTATGGTGCACCCATATCTGAGCTCACCAGGGTGGCTCTAACGGGTCTGTGAGGAAGAGTAAGTGTTCCTGCTCTTTTTTCTTTTAGGGGGTGTTGATTATTTCCAAGCCTGATAACCCTTGCAGTCTGGGGAACAAAGCCATGCAGCTGCATCACAATGCCAGATAACCCTTGCAGTCTGGGGAACAAAGCCATGCAGCTGCATCACAATGCCAACACATTGCAGACATTGCTCGCAGGCATTAATGATTGACCAGCAGCAACAGGAGGAGGAAATGACAACGACGGAAGATGTTTGCTGCACTGTTTGTGGATTGGTTCCCCCAACGGAGCTTTAAAAAACAGTGTGAAATCTTTCACTTTCTTCCCTGTGTGTGTGCCAGCCTCTTGCCGACAGAGGTGGGAGAAGTGGCAAGTTCTCAGCCCATGCGCAGCCCCACCATGCTTTTGCTCTGGGGCTACTGGGCTGGGATCTGCCTGCTGCTGCTTTGCAGGGGCTGCCGGCTGGAGGAGGCTGCCAGTGGTGAGTAGGGATGCTCTTTCCCCATGGAGGCTTTCTGGAGCATGACCAGCCTCTCTGGGCACATCCAGAGTCTCAGACGCTGTTCAGACTGAGCTCCTTAGCAGGAGGAGGCTTGTATTTCCCATTTGTGTCTCTGTGTCTCTCTCGTGTTTCTGTTGGGACAGGCAGAACAACTCTTCTGTTGTACAGGCGGGTCTTTTGGTGGTGGGGTGCCCTGGTCTGCCCCCCATGTCTCCGTAGATGCCAGTGTGAGGAGCAGGGGGATGCTCTCCAGAGTGGGAACAGTTTTTCTGGTACTTTCCAGGACAGCCTAGAGCTATCCAGGTCAAAGAGGGATCATTTTGGCAGTGGTGGGGTACGGGCAGGCAGGTGGTTAAGGGAGGAGGCACGTTGCCAATTAGTGGGGCAGAAAGGCACCTGTGGGGCTGCTGGAGAGCCCCTCTGATCTTGTCCCAGCTCCCAACCTCAGTGAGGGTGGTAGCACTGCATTTCCAGGGCCGCATGTGGGGACCACGCATGTGGAGCAGGCAAATGACCCTGGTGTGATAACACTGCTGTTCCAGCTACAAGTACAGAGTACGGCACTGTATGGGCTGCTGCCGGGAAAGTTAACATTCCAGCCAGACCCTACAACCTCCACCCCTTATTCCATAACATTTGTGTCACACTCAGATCCCCATACTTTAGCATACAAGCATTCATTATTCCTTGTCCTTTCAGGACAAGGATTTAATAGGACAGGATTAATAGGCAGGTGTATCTTCTCATTCCATAGGTCTTTCTTGGAAAACGTTCATAAGAACTGTTGATGATTAGGTCTTCATCTGCCAAAGTGGCCACTCAAGGCAGGTGGAGTTGGATGTCTGGACGCGAGCACCAGCTTAGCTCAAGTCCTTGTTGCACTGCCCGGCTCCTTGCAACGTTGACCTGTCGTTGATCCTACAGCATCTTCCTACAACATATAACTTAGATTACAGATTAGTTTTCTCTCAGTGTCAAATCTCCTTGAGGCACACACTTGATATCCCCATTCCTTTGCATGACCCACCAGGTATACCCTGGTCCTTGGGCGAAGACAATCCCACGAGTGGGTTTGCCTTTTCCCGAGGCAGGAGCAACCCACACTGCCTTCCCCATCCACCTTCCTACATGCACTACGGGAACTTTAGCTCCTTTCACAGTGTGTAGGGGTTTTGTTTCGGCAGGACCAGCACGGCTGTCAGACCCCCTATTGTTAACTAGCCAAGTGGCTTCTGGTAGATTTGTGTCCCATTGTTTCCATGTCCCAGCACCTAATGCTCGTAACATAGTCTTTAACAGTCCATTGTACCTCTCAACCTTCCCAGAGGCTTGTGGGTGATAAGGGATGTGGTATACCCACTCAATACCATGCCTCTTTGCCCAGGAGGTAACAAGATTGTTTCGGAAATGACTCCCATTGTCAGACTCAATTCTCTCTGGTGTACCATGACGCCACAATACTTGTCTTTCCAGGCCCAAGATAGTATTTCGGGCCGTGGCATGGTTTACAGGGTATGTTTCCAACCACCCAGTAGTTGCTTCTACCATGGTGAGTATGTACCGTTTGCCTTGGCGGGTTTTTGGAAGTGGTCCAATATAGTCAATTTGCCAGGCCTCACCATATTGAAACCCTAGCCATCTCCCCCTGTTCCAGGGAGATTTTACCTTCATGGCTTTCTTGATTGCAGCACAGGTCTCACACTCATGGGTAACCTGTGTGATGGCTTCAATGGTCAAGTCCACCCCTCGATCACGAGCCCATCTGTAAGTGGCATCCCTCCCCAGATGTCCTGATGTTTCATGGGCCCATCGAGCTACAAACAGCTCACCCTTACGTTCCCAGTCTAGGTCCACCTGAGCCACTTCAATTTTCGAAGCTCGATCCACTTCTTCGTTGTTCCGATGTTCTACAGTAGCGCGACTCTTGGGCATGTGGGCATCTACATGACGTACTTTAACATCCAGGTTTCCTACCCGGGCAGCAATATCTTGCCACAGGGTAGCAGCCCAGATAGGTTTACCTCTGCGCTGCCAGTTGCTCTCTTTCCATTGCTGCAGCCACCCCCACAGAGCATTTGCCACCATCCATGAGTCAGTATAAAGATACAATACTGGCCAATTTTCTCTTTCGGCGATATCTAGGGCTAGTTGTATGGCTTTTACTTCTGCATACTGACTCGACTCACCTTCCCCTTCCATGGCCTCCACAACTCGTCGTATGGGATTCCACACAGCAGCTTTCCATTTCCGATGACTCCCTATCACACGGCAGGATCCGTCAGTAAACAACGCATACTGCTTTCTGTCCTCTGGCAACTCATTGTATGGTGGTGCCTCTTCAGCACGGGTTACCTCTTCTGTTGGTACTCCGAAATCTCTACCTTCCGGCCAGTCCATAATCTCTTCCAGGATTCCTGGGCGATTGGGTTTTCCCATTCGAGCCCGCTGTGTAATTACGCTATCCACTTACTCCATGTAGCATCAGTTGCATGGTGTGTAGTGGGAATTTTCTCTTTGAACATCCAATGTAACACAGGTAACCGCGGTGCCAAGAGGAGCTGTGCCTCTGTACCCACAACTTCTGAAGCAGCTCGAACACCCTCATATGCTGTGAGTATTTCTTTTTCAGTTGGGGTGTAATTGGCTTCTGATCCTCGATAGCCCCGACTCCAGAAGCCCAGAGGTCGGCCTCGAGTTTCTTCTGGGGTTTTCTGCCAAAGGCTCCAGGTGAGGCCATGCTCCCCAGCTGCAGTGTACAGTATATTTTGCACAGCTGGTCCAGTACGGACAGGCCCAAGGGCTACTGCACGAGCTATTTCTTGTTTGATTTGTTCAAATGCCTGTTGTTGCTCAGGGCCCCACTCGAAATAGTTTCTCTTTCGAGTCACTCGATATAGAGGATTCACAAGCTGACTATAGCCTGGCACATGCATTCTCCAGAATCCCACGAGGCCTAGGAAAGCTTGCGTTTCTTTTTTGCTAGTTGGCGGAGACATTGCTGTTATTTTATTGATCACATCCATTGGAATATGGCGACGTCCATCCTGCCATTTTACCCCCAAGAACTGGATTTCCTGTGCAGGCCCCTTGACCTTGCTCTGTTTAATGGCAAAACCAGCTTTCAGGAGAATTTGGATTATTTTCTTCCCTTTCTCGAAAACTTCTTCTGCTGTGTTGCCCCACACGAGGATGTCGTCAATGTACTGAAGGTGCTCAGGGGCTCCCCCTTGCTCCAGTGCAGACTGGATCAGTCCATGGCAAATGGTAGGGCTGTGTTTCCACCCCTGGGGCAGCCGATTCCAGGTGTATTGGATGCCCCTCCAAGTGAAAGCAAACTGCGGCCTGCATGCTGCTGCCAAAGGGATGGAGAAAAATGCATTAGCAATATCAATTGTGGCATACCACTTGGCTGCCTTTGACTCTAGTTCGTACTGAAGTTCCAGCATGTCCGGCACTGCAGCACTCAGTGGTGGCGTGACTTCATTCAGGCCGCGGTAGTCCACTGTTAGCCTCCACTCGCCATTAGACTTTCGTACTGGCCATATAGGACTATTAAAGGGTGAGCGAGTCTTGCTGATTACTCCCTGACTCTCCAGTCGGTGAATCAACTCATGGATGGGAATCAGGGAGTCTCGGTTGGTGCGATATTGCCGTCGGTGCACCGTTGTAGTAGCAATTGGTACCTGTTGTTCTTCAACCTTCAGCAATCCTACAACAGAAGGGTCTTCTGAAAGGCCAGGCAAGGTAGACAGCTGCCTAATCTTTTCTGTGCTCAAAGCAGCTATGCCAAAAGCCCACCGGTATCCTTTTGGATCCTTGAAGTACCCTCTCTTGAGATAGTCTATGCCAAGGATACATGGAGCCTCTGGGCCAGTCACAATGGGATGCTTTTGCCACTCATTCCCAGTTAGACTCACTTCAGCTTCCAGTACAGATAGTTGTTGGGATCCCCCTGTCACTCCGGAGATACAGGTGAGTTCTGTCCCTTGGTAGCCTGATGGCATTATGGTACATTGTGCGCCAGTGTCCACTAAAGCTTTGTATTCTTGTGGTTCTGATGTTCCAGGCCATCGGATCCACACAGTCCAATAAATCCGGTTATCCCTCTCCTCTACCTGGCCAGAGGCAGGGCCCCTCTAGTCCTGGCTGGAGCGTCTGCCACTTAATTCTTGCAAATGAGAGGTAGAGGTCCCTTCATCAGGGTCAAGAATAACATCAGCTCTTCTACTGCCTCTGGGGTACTGCCCAATAGAAACTGGAGCAGCATTTCTCTTAGGAGCCCCTCTTCTTGCTGCTGTATTTCCTTTCAGTTCACGTACCTGAGCAGCTAGGGTTGAAGTAGGTACACCATCCCATTTCCTCATATCTTCCCCATGGTCATGCAGATAAAGCCACAAGGTGCCACGTGGTGTACGTCTTGGGTACTCTCTCTCTTGAGCAGGTGAATGCTGATTCTTAGTGGCTGAAGTATCACTCTGTCTAAATGAGGAGGAATATATTTGTTCCATGAGCTTGTCAAGTCCTTTAGACAGTTTCTCCACAGCTGAGACACAGGACTGTAGCGGAGCAGAGAGATTGTCTTCATATTGTTGAAGCTGGCAGGACACATCATACATTGTTGGTCCCATCCCCTCCTCCCAGCGAATTGTTGCCAGGGTACTGGCATGTGCTGATGGTGCACTCTGCACAAATTTACGCCACAGGGATGTTGTGCACTGGACTTCATCGGGGTCTTGAGGTGTCTGGGCATTGTCCAAATCACTATAAATGATCTCCCGCACAGCTAGTTCCCGCAGATGCTGGAGACCTTTATCCATAGTGGTCCACTTGCCTATGTGATATACAGTATCTTCCTTATGGGGATATCTTTCTCTCATAGCTGCCAGGAGTCGTCTCCAAAGGCTGAGGGCCTGTGCTCCTCTCCCAATTACTTCGTCGATTACCCTTTCTCTAGAGAGGGATCCCAGCTGCTTGGCTTCATTGCCTTCTAATTGTAGGCTATTGGCCCCAGCATCCCAGCATCGGAGCAGCCAAGTGAGGATGTGTTCACCTGGGCGTCGACCATAGTCCTTTCGTATTTCTCGCATCTCACTCAGGGATAAGATCGAGTGATTTCTGATTCCTTTATGATTTCCATCTCGTCTTCCTGCTGTTTTTGTGATGGCTCTGCTTTAGAGGTGCCTGCCATTTCCCCTTCTCCCTCCTTCTTAGGAGAGCCTTCTTCCCTTACTAAACGAGCTGACCTCCGTTTCCATTGTTTTGACTTGACTATGGGGGCAACTGATACCATAGTTGGTTGGTCCTCTGGGTCAGCCACACCGTGTGTTACTTGGTCGTCAGATTCAGAGACTTCCTCCCTCTCTTCAAGTTGCTGGATGATGTTAAACAGTGTTTGATAGGAATCAGCCAGGACCCAGCACAATGCTGCAAGCTGTCGTTCTCCGGCATTATTAGGGTCATGACATACAATTCAAACATTCTACCAAGTTTTTAGGATTTAGCACTTGCTCAGGGGTGAAGTTCAAAACTATTGGAGGAGACACTCGTGACAGGTATCTGCCAACATCATCTCACACACCTTGCCACTCACCACAAGACTGTTTCGGGACAGATTCCCAAGTAAGTTTTTTAAACAATCGACTAATCTTAGAGAGAAAATGAAACCTGTTATTCAGAATTAGAAATAGCAATACATGGGTTACAGATGGATCTTCAAAATACTCCCAAACTGTTGTAATTAGCCCACTGTGAAAGAAGGGAAAGGTACCATTCCTAATATTATTAATAAACTGGTGTCCAGATGAGAAAAGGAAGGCAGTGTAGTTCTGAATATTCTCTGAAAGATAGTTTCCATGGGACCCAAATGATAACAGCGCAGAGCCTGAATTCCAGATTAAACCCAAGGTCAGTGCTTGGCAGCACAGCGAATTAAAAAAAGTGAACACAGATTGTAGCACTTTGTCGGATCGGATATATAGGAGAAAGGAGAATATGACACGGATTGCATGACATATGAACAAAGCTATTATTAACAGGACAATGTACATGGTTACTAGCAATCAAGTGTATTAGTTGTATGCGTTTAATCAATTCTATTGTTATCTCAACCCTTCGAGCCCCACGTTGGGTGCCAAAAAGGACTGTGGTGGTTTTACCGTGGTGGGCAGCTAAACCCCACAACCGCTCTCTCACTCCCCCTCCTTTAGATGAGGAGGGGGAGAAGTAAAGGAAAGAACAACTCACGAGTTGAGATAAAGATAATTTAATTAAAGGGAAATAATTATAATAATTAAATAAAGACTACCATGAACTAAACAATTTAACTAAGGGGAAATAAAAAGGGAAAGGGGAAAAGGGAGGGGAAAAGGAAAAATAAAAAGAAGGGAGGAAAACAAACAAACAAAATAAATGAAAGCTATATGGAAGTGCAGAGGAAAGAAATTACTCTCTGCTTCCCCAAATAAGCAATGATTGACCACGTCCTTGAAGCAAGGCCTCAACACATGCAGCCAGTGTTCGAGAGCAGAACCGACGTCTTCTCAACGAGAGCCCACCCCTCCCCTCTTCTTCCTGTTTCCACCTTTTATTGCTGAGTGTGACATCACATGGTATGGAATATCCCTTTGATTGGTTTAGGTCAGCTGCCCTAGTGATGTTTCTCTCCTCACTTTTTGTCCACCCCCTAGGAGGGTTAGAGAAAGGCCCAATACTGTGCCACTGCTGCTCAGCAGCAGACACAACACTGGTGTGATAACACTGCTGTTCCAGCTACAAGTACAGAGTACGGCACTGTATGGGCTGCTGCAGGGAAAGTTAACATTCCAGCCAGACCCAGTACAATTATGCAGGCTAACAAAGTGACAACCACATGCAATATCAGGGAGTCGACAGGTATCCAAACATCCCCCGTGGATTCATGGTGTAGTTTCCTGTTCCAGTGCTCTGTGAGATGGGAAGGCTGAGACTGGATGGGGACTTCAGGGGATTACATGTTTTCCCAAGTGAATTGTTGGGATTTTTTCCTCTCTCCCTCTGATCTTGAGGCCTGCTTTGTTCCTAGGTGTGAAGGAAGCAGTGAAGTCTGAAAGCTTTATTGCAGCAGCCCTCGGTGGAGAGGCTAACATCTATTGCAACTTCTCACTCTCCCTGGATGTCTTGCAAGTCACTTGGCAGAAGAGAAATGGGTCTTCTTTCCAGAACGTAGCCACCTACAGTAAAACCTATGGGCTGCGGCTGATAGGGTCATTTCAGAAGAAGGCACGTTTCACTACAGCAGCCCTGAAAGCCTCAGCCATCACACTCCAAAATCTCACTTTTGAGGATGAGTCCTGCTACAGATGCATCTTCAATACGTTCAATGATGGCTTTTACAGTAAAGATACATGCCTCAACATTCAGAGTAAGTTTTCCAATTATTTTCACTTACACGTCTCCTGACTTCACCAGACCTGTGCTGCAGGCCTGATCAGAGCTCACTTACCCAGCTTTGACCACGGGGTGTAGTAACTATCTCCTCTCTTTGCTCTCAGCAATTTCTGAGCTAACAGTGGAATTTGAGTCCTACCCGGCCACCAAGGATCTTCTCACTGCAGTCTGCTCAGCAACAGGAAAGCCTGCTCCCAATATCACCTGGCTGATTGACGAAGACCTCTATGAGTCCCCTGAGATACACTACATCCAAAATCCAAATGGAACAGTAACAGTGGCAAACAGATGCACCTTCTCTGCTAGCCACCTCCACAATTTGGCTTGCCTCCTTGACCACCCACAGGGAAGGAAAGTGAAGACATTAACAGGAAAAAAAGGTAAAAATAGTCTGTGTTTGCATGGAGGGGTGAAGCTTGTAGTAAGGGGTACTTTGGAAAGCGGTATCAGTAGCCAGCCTCATGGCAAAGAAAGCACAATCGTGGTCTGTGCAATTGCAAATTGTTTGGCTGGCATCCAGACAGTCATTGGTATGTGCAATTGTGGGAGTGCAGTTTGTCTTACGTAGGTCTCAGTAGAGATCTTTCCTGGGAGTGCAGACTTATGTGGGATGAAGACTTCTTGATTTGAAAACATCCAGAAGGCTTCTTCCTACAATACTTAAGTGGCTGCGTGGGGTGTGTGTGTGTACACGTGTGTATATATATAATGTTCATGTAGGTATGTTGCATGTATATACATATATCTCTGAATGTGTCTATTTGTACATTATCACCAGTTCATAGCTGATGATCTCCAGCAGCATCCGCAGCTGGAGAGTACTAGCAGAGCTGGCCCCTGTCTGTCGAATGCTGGGGAGCAATCTCTTAGATAAAAGGTCTTACATCCCTCAAGAAAGGTGGGAGACTTCCCTCATGATAAAACTTCTTTGTACAGAAGCAGAAACACACAAACAAGTCAGGAGTAGGAATGCTGGGGTTTGGTTCCCCTGCTACCAGGGAAATGTGATATTTCTGGTATTTATTTAAAAATAAAACGGTTAATGTTTCAATTCAGTCCCAACCTCTGGAAAAGGAACTGAGGAACATATTGATACCCTTCCATGTTCTCTGTCTCTTTGTAGGTAAACGGAAGAGCATAGCCATTGCGGTGCCTTTCATAGGTGTGATCTTCACAGTATTGATACTTTTCATCATCAGTCATATCTACAGAAAGAGGAAAAAGTAAGAGTGATTTTTGCTTTCTTGTAAATGACATGGCTTGCCTGTGTTCACATTGCTATTTTCCTTTCTGTTTCCTGTTGGTGTTTACATATGCCTGCACTGGAAACTTATCAGTACAGTAGCACTAGTTTTAACATAGCAAGATTCACTCTAAATATTAGGAGGTTCCTGAGCACTATATGATGAGTTAATGTTTTTGTTTGTTTGTTTTACCAGTCTGAAGAGACCCAGAGCACCCAGCACACCTGCAAGGGAGAAAGGTTTAGAGCAGGATGTAAGTGAGGAAGCTGCAAACCTGCGCACACAAAAGGACCAGTGCACTGCTTACCAAAATGAGGTAATGCCAAAGCCCAAGACTTCCAGGAATCCCTCAAGTCCTTCTGAAATCTTGGACAATGCTCACCACGAACGTGCCAAAACTCTTGCACTGGCTAGGTGACAGCACATGTGCCCCAGCTAAGCCCTGGCAATGCTGGGGAATGCCTGGAGCTTGAAGGAGGAAAGTTAAGCTACAGTTAAGTGGAAAGGCAGAGAAGAAGTACTGGAAATGCCCTGAAGGGTGGGTGGGATGTCCCTTCTGGAGAAAGGTGACACAGCACTGCAGAGTTTGGGCTCTGTAGCTGACAGCCTCACGTAGACTTCTTCCTAGAAATGTTTGTCCTGCCCTGCTGGCTGCACAGGCGTGAAGGTGTGCTGGAGGGCTGGTGGCATACACAGACACAACCAGCAGCTTACCACAGCTGCTAGTCACTCCCGCCAGCAGCTCTCCTTTGACCTCCTACAGGTGTCCTGCATCCAAGCTCTTGCTAGTCCTGTGCTGTGAACAGGAGCCCTCTGTTTTCTGGTCTGCTTGATCGTGGCCACACAGCTGTGCTGTCTCTTTTATAGGAACTGACACCAGGATCTTGGCTTCGCAGAAGGCTACCACATGAAAAGAGAAACCTGGAAGAGACCCCAAGGTCCAGCCTCTCACTTACAGAGGAAGCAGAGAGCCCGGACACGCGTCAGAGGGAAATTGCTGAGGTGTGCAATAAGGAGCTGGGCTGCATGCCCATGGCTGAGCACAGAGAAGCAACAGCAGATGGGGAGCCCGAATCAGGCCCTGACACTGCTGCTTCCCAGCCCAGCACCGGAGAGCCATCAGCCCATCAAAGCCCCATCTCCACAAGCCCAGAGACACAATGAGGCCTGCGGGCTATTGTGGAACCCAAGCTGAGGATGCAGGGGAAAGGACAATCTGCATGGGCCCTTCCAGGTGTGCCCCCAGGGGACTCTCAGCCCCAGTGTCCAGGCACGAAACCCATCACAGAATCACAGAATTTCTAGGTTGGAAGAGACCTCAAGATCATAGAGTCCAACCTCTAACCTAACACTAACAGTCCCCACTAAACCATATCCCTAAGCTCTACATCTAAACGTCTTTTAAAGACTTCCAGGGATGGTGACTCCACCACTTCCCTGGGCAGCCCGTTCCAATGTCTAACAACCCTTTCAGTTAAGAAGTTCTTCCTAACATCTAACCTAAAACTCCCCTGGCGCAACTTAAGCCCATTCCCCCTCGTCCTGTCACCAGGCACGTGGGAGAACAGGCCAACCCCCACCTCACTACCCCCAGGCTCCTTTAAGGTATCTGTAAAGAGCAATAAGGTCGCCCCTGAGCCTCCTCTTCTCCAGGCTGAACAAGCCATCAAGATGAGCCACCACTGGAGCACCTTTGGGACCGAGGGGTCACTGCCTTCAGGTGTATGGGACATGCAATGGGGTGCAGGGGAAAAGCATTTGGCGTATGTACAGGTTGTATATGAGATATTTAGGTGGGAGGAACTGAGGGTCAAAAAGAGCGGGATGGGGGGATTTGGGGAGGAAAAACATGGGAAAATGGAGGTAAAATGTGTAAACAGGCAGCTGATCAGGACATTTATCTGGCCACGTTCTGTGCCTGAACAGCACTGTCTGTCCTTTTTTCTTATTAAATGCTTTTCTAGTTCTTTTCCTGGGTGAGCGGCTCTTTATTTGGTGTGCCTGTGTGTATGGGGGTCTGGTGCCAGCAGTTGGACAAGGACCATGGTGCCAGGGACTGGAGATACCCAAGGAATTAAAACCAACCACCAGGAGGGAGCAGGGTCAGCACCCGTGTGTCCATGGCGCAGCCTGTGGAGCGAGTACAGGTGTAAAAGTAGGTGAGTGCCAGCAAGCATGGAGCTGGAAGAGCTGGTGAGCAGGGGCACGGTCTGGAAGCCAGGGGCGTGCTGGCTGAACCCAGGGGCTGTGGACAAGATGGCACTGACCTCCTCTCAGAGGTGCTTGGTGGCAGGCTAGAAGCAACAGGAACAAGAAGTTCCACATAATACATGTATAATTTATAATAAATGTATAAGTGTATAAGGTATAATAAATGTCTTTTTCCTTACCAAGCAGAAGGACAGATGCTGGAGTGGGTGCCCAGAAAGGCTGAGGAGGCCCCGTTCCTGGAGACAACCCAAACTCACCCAGACAAGACCTGGAGCAGCCTGATCTACCTGGCTCTGTTTTGTGCAGGGTCTTGCAGGAGGTGACCTCTCCAGTTCCCTCCAGTCTGAGCTACCCTGTGATGCCCCTCCTGACACTGTTGTTTTTTGTTTTTTTTTTTCTCTGTATCTGAACTCTTTACTTTGTTCTCACTTTTTAAGTGAAAGAAGTTACAGGTGTAGAAGGTACAGGTGTGGAAGCCTATGAAGTTACCATCCTGAGCAACACGTTGCTGCCTCTTTACCTCTGCCGTTCCATGAGTGATCAGGCAGAAGGATCTGTGCTGTGGGTACAGCAAGACCTGTGGGAGCATACCAAGATAGTAGGTATTTGGGAAAAAGTAGTATGGTTAAGGACTCGAGCAGGAAAGCTTCCCCCATAGCTCTCTGTACTGTCATGCGGGGTGTTAGAAGCGACTCTCCCATGGATCTCTAACGGGTCTGTGAGGAAGAGTAAGTTGTTGAGGGATTTCTTGAAACAGCAAAAATCCCATGGCTTGCTGTAGCTGAGCGAACCAAGCTACCAGGGCAACTATGAGAAGTTCCCATGACAGTCTTCCCACATCGCCCAATTGAGGAATTCAGAAAAATATTGTTACCAGTAGCTGGCTTCAAGGACAAGGTCTATGTGACTGCTAATCACAAGGGGGTTGTTTTCTTGCAGGTGGGGTTGTTTTCTTGTAGTTGTTTGTCTGAGTGCTTTTGACCAATAATCTTGTGTGAAACACTGTCCACCCATGTTAAGTTCATTATAAAAGTTAGGCTATTCGGGCAATAAAATGAAGCTTGCTGATCACTCATATTGAGTGCTCTTGTCTTCCTTCCGTCGACAACAAATGGCGCCCCGAACAGGGATACTGGTGGCGGTGAACCTGCGAGCCATGGATCGACGGAATACGGGAACCAGTCCTGCAACGCAGCTCAGGAGGTGAAGGGGACGAAAACACTGAATCCCCGCACCCGGGAGCACCTATAGAGGGTCCCGCCGGCCACGCGTTGCCGAGGTCTTGCAAAGGCTGCAAGAGCGCTGACGTAAATAAAGGTATGGAGAGACAAGCGGCATATGATTTGCTCGAGTGCTTTTTAGAAAAGCGGAGCACGCAGGGTATAGAGTGCAAAACGGAATCGCGGAGGGATGCGGAAAAAGGAATCGTGGAGAGACGCGGAAAAGGGAATCGCAGAGAGACGCAGGAAGTTGAAGCAATCGCGGGAAATTGAAGTAATTGCGGTGCGATGCGGGACATCCGAGATCAAGTTGCTACGGGAGACCAGAGGCGTCAGTGGACAACGGCAGCCGACCCTCAGCGTGTGGCGAGTCGGCACAGAGCAGAGGGACAGACATGAGGACCCTGCAGCCTGTCTGACGGAACCATGGAAGCAGCAGCGGCTGTGCTGCTTCTCTCTGGCATTCTTTTTATAAAAGGTTTACCTTGCAATGCAAAAGGGATACTAACTGGAGTGTTAATAATTGTGTGTTATTCTTAAATGTCCAGGTATTTTGTGTTGGAAGTATTTGTGTAAGGGTAAGGTTTTAAAACAAAGTGTTGCAAGTCACTTCACAAGGAACACAAAGAGAGACAATACTTGTTTGTTTGCTTATCATTCTAAATTATATTCTTGTGAATGAGATTGTGGTATGATTGAGATTGAGATGTGCCAGAGGCCTCTGGGTGTGCAATTGTGCTGTGTGGGTGCGAGTGTGCTGTGTACTGTGTTAGTGAGAGCGCGCTTATTGCCATAGTGCAGGCTGAAATCATAGGAAATCAGTGCCAGCAAAAAATCATAGGAAAATGAAGGACAAAGTAGCCCTAGATTTATTACAAGGCTTTTTAGAAAAATGGGGAGTCAATTGTAAGCAACTAGCAGGGCTAGTTGCGGTCGGTCGAGCAAAATCATGTTTCACAAGTACGGAGTCATTGTTTGAAGTAGCCACTTGGAGAAATTTAAGGGAATGTACTGTTTAAAACTTTTTGATCATAATGAGTCAATTCACAAATCCATTACTTTCCTGAAAGAGCACATGAGAAAGATTCAATATGGTATCAATCCTTTCGATGTTTCACTGATTTGTTTGAAACAATGCATAGATGGTTACTGGGATTAGTCAAAGAGGGATTAAGGATTCTGTTTGCTGTGGTGTCAATCATCATTGCATGTGGTATTGTGATAAATGTGGTTAAAGGGTTACTTGCAAAAATGTTATATTGGGCATGGTTTGCTCAAAAAAAAAAAAAAAGGGGGGGGGGGGGAATTGTTGAGGGATTTCTTGAAACAGCAAAAATCCCATGGCTTGCTGTAGCTGAGCAAACCAAGCTACCAGGGCAACTATGAGAAGTTCCCATGACAGTCTTCCCACATCGCCCAACTGAGGAATTCAGAAAAATATTATTACCAGTAGCTGGCTTCAAGGACAAGGTCTATGTGACTGCTAATCACAAGGGGGTTGTTTTCTTGCAGGTGGGGTTGTTTTCTTGTAGTTGTTTGTCTGAGTGCTTTTGACCAATCGTCTTGTGTGAAACACTGTCCGCCCCTGATAAGTTCTCTATAAAAGTTAGGCTATTCAGGCAATAAAATGAAGCTTGCTGATCACTCATATTGAGTGCTCTTGTCTTCCTTCCATCAACAACAGTAAGTGTTCCTGCTCTTCTTTCTTTTAGGGGGTGTTGATTATTTCCAAGCCTGATAACCCTTGCAGTCTGGGGAACAAAGCCGTGCAGCTGCATCACAATGCCAGCACATTGTAGACATTGCTCGCAGGCATTAATGATTGACCAGCAGCAGCAGGAGGAGGAAATGACAACGACGGAAGATGTTTGCTGCACTGTTTGTGGATTGGTTCCCCCAGTGGAGCTTTGAAAAAAAGCGCGAAATCTTTCACTTTCTTCCCTGTGTGTGTGCCAGCCTCTTGCCGACAGAGGTGGGAGAAGTGGCAAGTTCTCAGCCCATGCGCAGCCCCACCATGCTTTTGCCCTGGGGCTACTGGGCTGGGATCTGCCTGCTGCTGCTTTGCAGGGGCTGCCGGCTGGCGGAGGCTGCCAGTGGTGAGTAGGGATGCTCTTTCCCCATGGAGGCTTTCTGGAGCATGACTAGCCTCTCTGGGCACATGCAGAGTCTCAGATGCTGTGTCAGCCTGAGCTCCTTAGCAGGAGGAGGCTTGTATTTCCCATTTGTGTCTCTGTGTCTCTCTCATGTTTCTGTTGGGACAGGCAGAACAACTCTTCTGTTGTACAGGCGGGTCTTCTGGTGGTGCAGTGCCCTGGTCTGCCCCCCATGTCTCCGTAGATGCCAGTGTGAGGAGCAGGGGGATGCTCTCCAGGGTGGGAACAGTTTTTCTGAGACTTTCCAGGACAGCCTAGAGCTATCCAGGTCAAAGGAGGGATCATTTTGGCAGTGGTGGGGTGCGGGCAGGCAGGTGGCTAAGGGAGGAGGCACGTTGCCAATTAGTGGGGCAGAAAGGCACCTGTGGGGCTGCTGGAGCGCCCCTCTGATCCTGTCCCAGCTCCCAACCTCAGTGAGGGTGGTAGCACTGCATTTCCAGGGCCCCATGTGGGGACCACGCATGTGAATCAGGCAAATGACCCAAGTCTTGATTTGCTGTGCTAAGACACCTTGCCTCTGCATGAATGAGGAAATCCAAATGCATGGCAGCACCTGTGCTGCAGTCATTCACTGGTGTATCGCACCATCAGTATGATCCTTTGCCTCCTTTCTCCCCACCACAGCACTGCCTCGTGGCTGGGAAATGCATTATGCAGGCTAACGAAGTGACAACCACATGCAATATCAGGGAGTCCACAGGTATCCAAACATCCCCCGTGGATTCATGGTGTCGTTTCCTGTTCCAGTGCTCTGTGAGATGGGAAGGCTGAGACTGGATGGGGACTTCAGGGGATTACATGTTTTCCCAAGTGAATTGTTGGGATTTTTTCCTCTCTCCCTCTGATCTTGAGGCCTGCTTTGTTCCTAGGTGTGAAGGAAGCAGTGAAGTCTGAAAGCTTTATTGCAGCAGCCCTCGGTGGAGAGGCTAACATCTATTGCAACTTCTCACTCTCCCTGGATGTCTTGCAAGTCACTTGGCAGAAGAGAAATGGGTCTTCTTTCCAGAACGTAGCCACCTACAGTAAAACCTATGGGCTGCGGCTGATAGGGTCATTTCAGAAGAAGGCACGTTTCACTACAGCAGCCCTGAAAGCCTCAGCCATCACACTACAAAATCTCACTTTTGAGGATGAGTCCTGCTACAGATGCATCTTCAATGCGTTCCCTGATGGTTCTTACAGTAAAGATACATGCCTCAACATTCAGAGTAAGTTTTCCAATTATTTTCACTTACATGTCTCCTGACTTCATCAGACCTGTGCTGCAGGCCTGATGTGTTATCCTTTCCATCATATGGAGCCTTTCCATGCAGCAGCATCTGCTCAGTGGATATTCTCCAGAATCACCATGTCTTTCCTTAGAGGTGGTGAAGGTAAATAAGCTGGGGGTCCATTTGGATGAGAACCCAAGTTCAGAGAGCTCACTTACCCAGCTTTGACCACGGGGTGTAGTAACTATCTCCTCTCTTTGCTCTCAGCAATTTCTGAGCTAACAGTGGAATTTGAGTCCTACCCGGCCACCAAGGATCTTCTCACTGCAGTCTGCTCAGCAACAGGAAAGCCTGCTCCCAATATCACCTGGCTGATTGACGAAGACCTCTATGAGTCCCCTGAGATACACTACATCCAAAATCCAAATGGAACAGTAACAGTGGCAAACAGATGCACCTTCTCTGCTAGCCACCTCCACAATTTGGCTTGCCTCCTTGACCACCCACAGGGAAGGAAAGTGAAGACATTAACAGGAAAAAAAGGTAAAAATAGTCTGTGTTTGCATGGAGGAGTGAAGCTTGTAGTAAGGGGTACTTTGGAAAGCGGTATCAGTAGCCAGCCTCATGGCAAAGAAAGCACAATCGTGGTCTGTGCAATTGCAAATTGTCTGGCTGGCATCCAGACAGTCATTGGTATGTGCAATTGTGGGAGTGCAGTTTGTCTTACGTAGGTCTCAGTAGAGATCTTTCCTGGGAGTGCAGACTTATGTGTGATGAAGACTTCTTGATTTGAAAACATCCAGAAGGCTTCTTCCTACAATACTTAAGTGGCTGCGTGGGGTGTGTGTGTGTACACGTGTGTATATATATAATATTTCATGTAGGTATGTTGCATGTATATACATATATCTCTGAATGTGTCTATTTGTACATTATCACCAGTTCATAGCTGATGATCTCCAGCAGCATCCGCAGCTGGAGAGTACTAGCAGAGCTGGCCCCTGTCTGTCGAATGCTGGGGAGCAATCTCTTAGATAAAAGGTCTCACATCCCTCAAGAAAGGTGGGAGACTTCCCTCATGATAAAACTTCTTTGTACAGAAGCAGAAACACACAAACAAGCCACGAGTAGGAATGCTGGGGTTTGGTTCCCCTGCTACCAGGGAAATGTGATATTTCTGGTATTTAATTAAAATAAATTGTTAATGTTTCAGTTCAGTCCCAACCTCTGGAAAAGGAACTGAGGAACATATTGATACCCTTCCGTGTTCTCTGTCTCTTTGTAGGTAAACGGAAGAGCATAGCCATTGTGGTGCCTTTCATAGGTGTGATCTTCACAGTATTGACACTTTTCATCATCAGTCATATCTACAGAAAGAGGAAAAAGTAAGAGTGATTTTTGCTTTCTTGTAAATGACATGGCTTGCCTGTGTTCACACTGCAATTTTCCTTTCTGTTTCCTGTTGGTGTTTACATATGCCTGCACTGGAAACTTACCAGGACAGTAGCACTAGTTTTAAAATAGCAAGATTCACTCTAAATATTAGGAGGTTCCTGAGTACTATATGATGAGTTAATGTTTTTGTTTGTTTGTTTTACCAGTCTGCAGAGAGACAGAGCACCCAGCACACCTGCAAGGGAAAAAGGTTTAGAGCAGGATGTAAGTGAGGAAGCTGCAAACCTGTGCACACCAAAGGACCAGCGCACTGCTTACCAAAATGAGGTAATGCCAAAGCCCAAGACTTCCAGGAATCCCTCAAGTCCTTCTGAAATCTTGGACAATGCTCACCACGAACGTGCCAAAACTCTTGCACTGGCTAGGTGACAGCACATGTGCCCCAGCTAAGCCCTGGCAATGCTGGGGAATGCCTGGAGCTTGAAGGAGGAAAGTTAAGCTACAGTTAAGTGGAAAGGCAGAGAAGTACTGGAAATGCCCTGAAGGGTGGGTGGGATGTCCCTTCTGGAGAAAGGTGACACAGCACTGCAGAGTTTGGGCTCTGTAGCTGACAGCCTCACGTAGACTTCTTCCTAGAAATGTTTGTCCTGCCCTGCTGGCTGCACAGGCGTGAAGGTGTGCTGGAGGGTTGGTGGCATACACAGACACAACCAGCAGCTTACCACAGCTGCTAGTCACTCCCGCCAGCTGCTCTCCTTTGACCTCCTACAGGTGTCCTGCATCCAAGCTCTTGCTAGTCCTGTGCTGTGAACAGGAGCCCTCTGTTTTCTGGTCTGCTTGATCATGGCCACACAGCTGTGCTGTCTCTTTTATAGGAACTGACACCAGGATCTTGGCTTCGCAGAAGGCCACCACATAAAAAGAGAAAGCTGGAAGAGACCCCAAGGTCCAGCCTCTCATTTACAGAGGAAGCAGAGAGCCCGGACACGCGTCAGAGGGAACTTGCTGAGGTGTGCAATAAGGAGCTGGGCTGCATGCCCATGGCTGAGCACAGAGAAGCAACAGCAAATGGGGAGCCCGAATCAGGCCCTGACACTGCTGCTTCCCAGCCCAGCACCGGAGAGCCATCAGCCCACCAAAGCCCCATCTCCACAAGCCCAGAGACACAATGAGGCCTACGGGCAATTGTGGAACCCAAGCTGAGGACGCAGGGGAAAGGACAATCTGCATGGGCCCTTCCAGGTCTGCCCCCAGGGGACCCTCACCCCCAGTGTCCAGGCATGAAACCCATCACAGAATCACAGAATTTCTAGGTTGGAAGAGACCTCAAGATCATCGAGTCCAACCTCTGACCTAACACTAACAGTCCCCACTAAACCATATCCCTAAGCTCTACATCTAAACGTCTTTTAAAGACTTCCAGGGATGGTGACTCCACCACCTCCCTGGGCAGCCTGTTCTAGTGTCTAACAACTCTTTCGGTAAAGAAGTTCTTCCTAAGATCCAACCTAAAACTCCCCTGGTGCAACTTAAGCCCATTCCCCCTTGTCCTGTCACCAGTCACGTGGGAGAACAGGCCAACCCCCACCTCACTACAGCCTCCTTTAAGGTATCTGTAAAGAGCAATAAGGTCACCCCTGAGCCTCCTCTTCTCCAGGCTGAACAAGCCATCAAGATGAGCCACCACTGGAGCACCTTTGGGACCGAGGGGTCACTGCCTTCAGGTGTATGGGACATGCAATGGGGTGCAGGGGAAAAGCATTTGGCGTATGTACAGGTTGTATATGAGATATTTAGGTGGGAGGAACTGAGGGTCGAAAAGAGAGGGATGGGGGGATTTGGGGAGGAAAAACATGGGAAAATGGAGGTAAAATGTGTAAACACACTTATCAAGGCCACTTATCTGGCCATGTTCTGTGCCTGAACAGCACTGTCTGTCCTTTTTTCTTATTAAATGCTTTTCTAGTTCTTTTCCTGGGTGAGGGGCTCTTTATTTGGTGTGCTTGTGTGTATGGGGGTCTGGTGCCAGCAGTTGGACAAGGACCATGGTGCCAGGGACTGGAGATACCCAAGGAATTAAAATCAGCCACCAGAAGGGATGTCATGGTTTAACCCGGCCGGCAGCTAAACACCACACAGCCGTTCGCTCACCCTCCCCCCTCCCTCTCTGGGATGGGGGAGAGAAATGGAAAGTGAAGCCTGTGAGTTGAGATAAAGACAGTTTAATAAGACGGGAAAATAATAATAATAATAATAATAATAATAATAATAATAATAATAATAATAATAATAATACAATGGTGATAATAGGTAAGTAATAATAGTATGTACAAACAAGTGATGCACAATGCAATTGCTCACCACCTGCTGACCAATGCCCAGCCTAACCCCGAGCAGTCCGGCCCCCTCCCCCCAGCTAGCCACCCCTATATATTGTTTAGCATGACGTCAGATGGTATGGAATACCCCTTTGGCTAGTTTGGGTCACCTGTCCCGGGTCTGTCCCCTCCCAGCTCTTACTGCACCCCCAGCCTGCCTGTTGGCAGGACAGAGCAAAAGGCTGAGATGTCCTTGGCTTGGTATAAGCACTGCTCTGCAACAATTAAAACATCGGGGTGTTATCAGCACTCTTCTCATCCTAAGCCAAAACACAGCATTCCACCAGCTTTCTTCCACTAGGAAGAAAATTAATTCTGTTCTAACTGAAACCAAGACAAGGGAGCAGGGTCAGCACCCGTGTGTCCATGGCGCAGCCTGTGGAGCGAGTACAGGTGTAAAAGTAGGTGAGTGCCAGCAAGCATGGAGCTGGAAGAGCTGGTGAGCAGGGGCACGGTCTGGAAGCCAGGGGCGTGCTGGCTGAACCCAGGGGCTGTGGACAAGATGGCACTGACCTCCTCTCAGAGGTGCTTGGTGGCAGGCTAGAAGCAACAGGAACAAGAAGTTCCACATAATACATGTATAATTTATAATAAATGTATAAGTGTATAAGGTATAATAAATGTCTTTTTCCTTACCAAGCAGAAGGACAGATGCTGGAGTGGGTGCCCAGAAAGGCTGAGGAGGCCCCGTTCCTGGAGACAACCCAAACTCACCCAGACAAGACCTGGAGCAGCCTGATCTACCTGGCTCTGTTTTGTGCAGGGTCTTGCAGGAGGTGACCTCTCAGGTTCCCTCCAGTCTGAGCTACCCTGTGATGCCCCTCCTGACACTGTTGTTTTTTTTTTTTTTTTTTTCTCTGTATCTGAACTCTTTACTTTGTTCTCACTTTTTAAGTGAAAGAAGTTACAGGTGTAGAAGGTACAGGTGTGGAAGCCTACGAAGCAACTGTGCCTGAGCAACAGTTGCTGCCTCTTTACTTCTGCCGTTCCATGAGTGATCAGGCAGAAGGATCTGTGCTGTGGGTACAGCAAGACCTGTGGGAGCATACCAAGATAGTAGGTATTTGGGAAAAAGTAGTATGGTTAAGGACTCGAGCAGGAAAGCTTCCCCCATAGCTCTCTGTACCGTCATGCGGGGTGTTAGAAGCGACTCTCCCATGGATTTGCAGACTCTGCAAACAGCTTGCACAGCCTCAAAGCAGAGCGGGTTCTTCTGTAATGGCAGAGTACCCTCTAGTGGGAGAGACCTGAATAGGCCTGTGGCTCTGGCAGTCAACCAGTAACTCGTGGGTGCTGATTTTCTTTTCTGTTTGGAATGTCGAATAGCCTTCTTGTTATTCATCAAAATCACAGATATTAAGAAAGTGTTATATTAAGCAAGTGCAGCTACTGCTTCCAAAAGGATGCAGGAATCACACCACGAAATGGCTTTACAGGAGTTGTCCTGCAGACACTCTGACCATGGTCACTGGAAGGAGAGGTACGGAAGGCAATGGAGCAGGAACTTGTTTTCAGTCCTGCCTTGTGCTCCTGGAGATCTTGCAAAGGACCAGGCAAGACGAGTGTTTACCCAGGGAAGGAATGGGGGAAATGTTCCTACAACCATCAGGTTGGGCTGTGATGGTTAAAAGAAGGTTTGCTAGGGCAAGCGTGGAGCCACAAGCAGAAGTGGTAACAGCAGGCATCTTGGTAGGAACTGTAAAGGCATCTAGGGTGCCAAAATCCCTCTGCCAAATTCTGCCAAGAGGTTGTCAGGCATCAACTGTTTCATGAGGGAGCTGGATTTTTCTGTAGCCTTCTCAGTCAGGGGAGCTTTAGCAGAATATTGAGTGATGTTTTAGCCGAGTCTAGTTCGGTGTTTAAAGGGCAGAAAATTCCCTGTGCGGTGAAAGACATGCTGCTTCAGCTTGCCTTGGAATCTGTTGTGCCACATGCACATAAGTTACAATGGGTAGCTTCAGCTTTGCTTTTCCTGAAGGAGAGTACTCTGACATTAAGTCCTCTTTTAAAATTTTAAAAGAAGTCACTTGTCCTCCCCTAGGGAGTGTGAGCAACACAGAGGGGCAAACAAGGCACAGCGCATCAGTCAAGGCAAGCACAGAGGGCGCCTCACTGCTCCTTTCCAATGGTCTTTCCCTCTGGTGCTTGTAACCTGCTCAGAAAGCCATGGCCAGCACATCGCTTGCAGCCTCTCCAGCCACAGCTAGTGATGTTGCTACCCAGACAGAGGTCTCAGGGAAACACGCAGCCATCCAGGCCTCGGGCTGCAGGGTGTGCCCGAGTCTTCTGTCAGTGTCCGACAGCAGCAGTGGTGGGAGGTGTGCCCAGGTTGTGCTCAGCCTGGTGGCAGCGCTTTGTGTGGACGTGAGTAGGCTGAGGAGCATCAGGGAGTCAGAGAGGAAAACTGACTGGTGGAATCATACCCTACCCACCCTGGGACAGACTCATGAGCCAGCACACAAGAAACAAAGGTTCCCCTATCCCATCAGGCAGCCCCTGCACAAAAGACAAAGGTTCCCCCATCCCACCAGGCAGTAGGAGGGGACCTACGCCAAGGGGGGAATGGAAACAGGTTTTTGATCGGGATGGTAGGTGAGCCCTCTCCCAGCCCACCTCACCTTTCCAACTACCCTTATATAAGTGGTATGAAGCTCTAGAACATGACAGTCAAAACAACGATGTAGATGAAAGCCCATCTTAAGGGACAAACGAATAAAGGGGATGTTGTCATGGGAGTCTCTTACACACCACCTGGCCAGGATGACAACACCTGATGAATTATTCTTTGCGGAACTAAGAGATGCCTCAGTGATCAACTGCCCTTGTCCTTATGGAGGACTTGAATTTGCTAGACGTCAACTGGCATTACCACATGACTGACACAAACAAGTCCAGGAGGTTCATAAAGCACCTAGATGACAACTTCTTGGTGCAGGTGCTCAGGGAGCCACTTAGGAAAGGTGCCCTCCTAGCTCTGTTGCTGGAGAACAGAGAGGGTCTTGTGGGGGACATGACAACTTGGGACATGATGGTAGGCAGCAGGTGCTCCAAACCAGGCAGGACCTCCATGTGTAAGTGTCTGAGCATTTGTGACTTTTAATAGTGTTATTTGGATCTGATGATGAAGGGGGTTATCTTAACGGATATGAGTAGACCAAGAGGGGCATTCAGTCAGCAGGGTCTCACGGTCTTGATGCAGGTCCCCAGCAGCTGATATGTCCTGCAAAATTTAGTGCTCTTGTCATTTACCTGACGTCTTTGGCACTGCCTCTAGTCTTACTCTAACTCACTAATTTCCCCTCCTGTTAAATACCAGCAATGTGCATCAGCTGTACCCCATCCTTTTCTTCCAGCCTGTAAAAGTTTCACTGATTACCGGCCCAAATGGTTCTGCTTAGAAGAGATCATTAGTCCAGAAATCACAAGAAGAACCATTAAATGCATTCACAGCAGAGAGCACCTGCCCAGAAGGCAAAGGGAAGACTAAAGAATAGAACACGTTCGTGACAGAAGGGATTTCAGATTTCCTCTTTCACTAGCACACAGGTAGCATTGCAGGTGAAAAAAATAAAAGGAGGGGCACAAAGAACTCTCCAGAATGTGAGACAAGAGCTTTCTACTCACTTTTGTTCACACTGAATTCAAAGGCTTTGGCATACCAGACAGTCAGTGTCAGCCCAGCCACCACCACGTACAAAGAACTCTGTGGAATTGGGCAGAAATTGTTGAGCTGAGCTGGGAGCTTGATAAAAGAAGCAATTGAAATGGGGGTGGAGAATGGGGCTGAAAGGGACTTTTGTGCCTTTTACTTCTATAACGAATATAAAAAGTTTTTATTTTCTGAAAATTCTGGTCTGCCTGCAGTACTTTCTGTTTGCCTCTGTCCGGAGGTTACCTCCAATCTTCACTTATTGCTTCAGAACTATCCTCTCTTTGCTCAGTTCTGGCTTCCTCCCTCTTTTCCAAAGAATAAGACCCTTTCATTGTGTCCTTCTTTCTTCTCTCAGTTCCCCCAGCCTACTGAGGGAAAATTTAGATAAATATAGAACCTTTCCACCTCAGAAGACAGGGGTTACTGGGTAAGCTAATAAAAAAAATACCATTCAAGTCCCTTGAATGTCCCCTTTATTATCATGAACTAAGTGCAGGAAGATGTCCCTGGGACTTCCCTGCTTTTGTTGCTTTGATGGCACAGAGCACTTCTTGATAAACTTATTTTAAGCTGTATAGTCTGCAGGTCTCTAAAGTTCCCTCAGAAATCCCCTCAACATCTATGAAGGCAGGTAAATACAGGAGATACTTTTTTTTTCCTCAAAAAAAAGGAAAACATGGCTGAGGATTATAGGTACATCAGTCTCAAGCAACAAGCACTAGGACAGTAGAATAGCTGCTGGAGACCAGACTTACTTTGGAGGGCACCCATTCTCGACCCAAAACAAAAAAGGGAAGACTGGTGGACAGAAAAATCTGACGAACTCAAGACCTACTCATTGGTCTTAGGAGATGGAAGAAGATAATCAAAAAAGCCAGTGACAGAGTTTGGGCTTTGGTTTGTTAGTTGTCAGAGGAAGGGCTCCTCTGGATCAAGCATGGTGGTGGAGTTGCTGTCTCCAAGAACAGTTGTGTCCAGCTGGAAGAGCCAGTGCCTGACCATACATATCTGTCTTAAAAAAGTGGTTTCCATTTTATGTGGGCTCCTGACCACTCCATGGGCATCTCCGTCAAGATATTTTGGTGGGCAGGGTTTTTTTAATTTTTTTTTTAATGCTGATTTCCTAATATCTGGATGGAGAACATCACTGCTCTTGGCCGTTCTTACAAATTATTATTGATCCGTTGTGTCCCTGCTGTTGGATCCTACTTTTAGCATTTCATTGCAAAATGAAAGCCTTTAATGCAATCATAATAACGATAAATATTAAATTAATAATTAATGCTATTTATATTAATGTTAACGGATGTTATTACCTAATGCTCGTTGTTTGGCGCTGTTCCGCTGTTTGTCCAGCTTGCTCCCGTCACAGCCAGCAGCGGCCCCAGAGGATTGGGAAGCAGGGGGCGAGCCCCCGGTAGGTCCAGAGGGCGCTGCCCGCCCCTGTTACGGGCGTTTTGGTGGGGGCGCCGCCCCGCACTGCTCTTTCTCGTTCTGCAGCGGGGCTCTGCGAGTGTCGCGACCGCTGACTCTTTGTCGCGGACACCGTCGGCGCCCGAGGGCGCGGAGCGTGAGTACCCTGGGCTTTCGTTGGGGGGAGGATCGGGTCGTGCCCGGGTCCTGCTGGCTGAGGGTTGGGGGCTCAGCCTCCGCCGAGGCCGGGGTTGGAGGCAGGACGGCGGGGGGCAGCGCGGCGCTGGGGCTCGGGAGACCTCTGGGGTGCCGGCGATGGAGAGCAGGGTGCGGCAAAGGGTTGCCCTATTACCTTACACCCTTCCCACCAGGAGACTAAAGTGGGCCTGGGACCCCATGGGACTTTTTTGGGTGATCAGAGTAGCTCCACGACCTACTGTTTGCTCGTGGCAAGGAGATCTTGTAGCTACGCTGGATGGGAGCAATGGTGTTACAGTCCTATCAGGTTATGGTCTTACCATGGGAAATAAATGCAACAAGACATGATTGCTATGAAAGGTATGCTTTCAAGGGGGTGTAGCACTTCTTTCTGTGGTCTATAAGTACTTTTGTAACGTAAAACTTTCCTCTGGCTTGCTGTGCTTGCTCCTACTTTTTGCATGTTTTTAGGAATGCTGTCTGAACACGGCAGAGCCACGATCAATTTGTTATTCATTGAGCTTATTGCTGATGCATTGAGCTTGTTGCTGAGATCTTGATTTTATGCACGAGATTTTCGTCTGTATTCACACTTGGTGTCTGTGGAGTTGTACCAAGAGTTACTTTAGCACAGTGAGCCTGAAATGTAAAGACAGGCTAGAAAGCGTACATGTTGTATGTGTGAGTTTGTTGGGAAGTTGTTTTTTAAACAGAATTTTCTCTCCTCATTCACTTATTAATTCATTAGCTTTTTTTTTTTTTTCTTTTTTTTTTAAGGCAGATGGTAACAGAAAATGCTTTACAGTTTCTGTTTTCTGGCTTTTTCCACGTTGTGAAAATTTTACAGAAGTAGGGGTTTGCTTGTGTTCTTGGTAGAAGATGCTCCCAGAAAGCATCAGCTAGTTTTATAGTCATAGGCAAGAAGGTGTACATGATATGTGTTACAAATATTGTTATTACTATTATTTGATGAAATAATGTTTCCACTTAAATATGACAGCAGCTACAATTCCAGGCAGCTCAACAATTTGGTGGCATTGTGATAATATTAAGTGATGAAGTAAGTTGAAAGCAGCAATGCAATCTCAGTTTTGCCCCCTTTGCCTCACTGGAAATGTTTGTATGTATTAGGCATGTATGCCCCAAAGGTTCCCCAATTCATGCTTTTTTGTGTTGAGATGTTTTCAATTTATCCCTTGATCTCGTGAGCTGTGCTGTACACCAATGTTATGCTCCTGGTGGAAGCCACTGGGCACACAATGCAGGCTGTGTGTGAATGTGGAGGAAAATCATTGCCGGGAATGTCTGAAGGCAGATGCTGGCTCTTTTTTTCTGTTCACCTTCTTCCACTAGTGTTTGTGTAGATCTTTCTGCTATCAAAGTGCAATTTTGTAAAAGCTTATATCTGCTCATGTCTCTGTGGGTCTCTGAGCTGAAAGTGCTAGGCTTTCAAAAGCATGTCTAATAAAGAGTGTAATAACCCTTTGTTTCATGTGCACCAGTTCATCCATTCAGCAAAACCAGATCCACAAGCTCTATGAAATAATAAACTGCAGTTTGCAATTCTCCATGTAAATGTTTAATGAACATTATTATTTGAAGAACAATCCAGAAAGTTAATGCCTTTCTAGCTTTCATCATGCAACGTTCACACCTTGACCTCAGCTGTATCTCTGTTGTGTAATTGTACTACTTGTCACCTACCCAGATCAGTTTGTTTTACTTAAATGGGAAAACAATCATTAACGTTCACACTTTGGAGTCACGATATAACCAGAAGATGATCTGTTATTAAACCATGCATCTCTTCTCATCTTCCTTCAGGTGAAGCAGATGCTCCCTTCCAAAATGACTTTCCAAGCCCTGTTTCTGAGTCTACTTTGTGTTGTGCTTGGAGAGCCAAATGGTAAGTTCAATTTCCTTAAATCTGCTTACAAATGGCCGGTGAGATGATTTCTGATTCCCAAGCCTTCACCAGTCATACTAAGGGGCAAAAATTGGTGAAATTCAGATTGCTGGTGCCATTTGACATATATTAGATAGCTGGGGCTGGCAGATGTGACACCAGATCTCCTGGAGCAGCATTTGGAGATGGGGAGGACATGCAACATCCTGTATCTGTGACACTGGACACTTTTGTTTGCTGGAGTTCACAACTTCTTATCTGGAACAAATCTATCTTTTTCTCTCCATCCCTCTCAAATGCACCACAAACTCTGAAGCTATATAGTCCAGACATTTTCTTTAACCTGTTTTGCCCTTCAGTACTCTAAGAATGGTTTTGCATGCACTTCCCCTGTGTTCAATCTTCCTCTATCTTTTAGGAAGCAAAATTGTCTACATCTCTGCTAAGAATGGGAAACCACAAGATGATATAATAAAACTGAGGTGGAAGTCTGGGTACAGACATAGGATGTCTTTTTCTTGTAAATAGTTTAGAAGAAGCCAGATACTCAGCTGATATGAATCAGCAGAACGCCATTGATTTGTAGGACGATTCAGGAGAATCCTTGGTGGGGGAAGAACATAGAAATAGTGCTTAGTTGGTTGAATTGTTAAGTCCGTGAGTATGCCAGGGTTCAGAATAGTGTCAGGCTTCTAAATAAGTGTGATATTTGCCCATTTTACAAACTGTTTCATGTTGCTGCAGTGATTACTCACACTGAACACGTGAAGGTGAATGAGGGCAACGCTGCAACTCTCAGGTGTACCCTGACAGAGCCCGGTGATGTTCTGCAAGTGACCTGGCAGAAGGACTCTGAAAAAAAACACACTAATATAGCTACGTACAGCACCATGCTAGGATTTAAGATCCATGATCCCTACCAAGACCGGATGAATTTCACAAGTCTGGTACTCAATGACACAAGCATCACTTTCTGGTCTGCGAGCCTGGATGATACTGGGTGTTACATTTGCCTCTTCAACGTCTTTCCTTATGGCTCCATATCGGGACGGACCTGCCTGAGTGTCTTTGGTGAGGTTCTCTGCAGGGGTATGTCTCTAGTGGAAAGGGAGGGGTTTCTTCAAGTGGACTCAAACTGCAGTGGTAGGAGCAACCCTCAGTAGGACATGCTATAGAAATAGAGCTTTATTGCCGTTAGCAAGATTTCTTGGGGTCATATTCAAGCCTTTTGTGGTGCCTGCTCTGGGCTGTCTGTGTTTGTTAGTAGCAGCTAAAAAGCGAGGAGTGAGATCTTTGTAAGCCAAACTGGAAGCCAAGTCCTAGCTGGAACATGGTAGGGCCGATGTTGTCCACTGCAGTGTCCTTTTGGTGTCAGGTACCACCCCAGCACTGTGAGCTACCCTGCCAATCCCTAACATTGACCAGGGATTAGCAGATAGGAGAAAAGAATGGACAAAACGATTATTTTAATTTAGCAAACCACTGTAAAACCTGGTATTTTGGATAGAGGGAAACCTTTGGGGTATATCACTTCAGTATAAGGGAAGAAACATTAAATCTCAAGGGGGACTTAGCCCAATGAGCTTTTTCTGCATTCCTGTGCCATGGGGCTGTGTAAGAATCCAGTGAGCTTCTCTCTGACTGATAATGTTTAACCTGCCGTTACTGCTTCTGACCAATGCTCTTTGTGGTGATGGATTGTCTCTTTTGTGTTTTGGAAGGTCTCAGTGCATCTGTCCACTATAACATTTCCAAAGGTCATTTGATAGCCATCTGTAATGCTGTTGGATTCCCAGAGCCCACCATCAGCTGGAACAATCTGTTCAATTACATCCCTACACAGGATAAGGTCAGGCACACCAATGGGGTAATGTCCATCACCAGTAAACTGGAGATCTCTGACTCTCAGAGCATCAGTAAGCAGGACTTGACCTGCAGAGTAAGCAACAAGAATGAAGAAATGGAATTGCCCATAAAAATCAAAAACGGTAGGTGAATGATCAAGTCCTTGTAAGCATTCCCTTGGCCTCTATGTTTTGCAATAACATGTTTGGATAGGAATCTGCTGGGAAAGAGAGGGAGTGAAATGCATGTGTGCCAAGTAAGGAGGAAAGAAACCCTGCTCTGCGTTTATTGTTGTCTTTGAGATGAGGATATACTGTTGCCTCCTCCAACAGGGGGAAAAAAAAAAAAACAACACAAACAAAACAAAACAACAACAAAAAAACAACCAACCAAAGCCAGGGAGGTACAGGGTTTAGAGGCACCATGCACTTTGTAGCAAGCTGAATGTCACTTTTCAGGCAAGCCTTCCTGGTCTCTTTGACAGTCCAAAGATATCTAAGTAGGTATAGATGTATGTATGAGGTGAAAAACATTTTTATGAAGTAAAAATGCTGTGGGTGGCTTAATAATTGCTGAAGTGGAAGTTTTGAAATGAATAACAAGCTCTCTGTTAACAACAGTTAAGCAAATGTTTCAGATAAACTTATTTCATGCTTTGTTATTGTATTCAGTTAACCTGTGCAATATGCTTTAGTTTCCCTGACATTTTTGACAAGGGACACGTGTATTGAACTAATGGTCAGGGAGGAATGGTATTTTAGGGGAGATAGGAAGGTGATCAGCTGAAGACACTTAAATTGGTGTTATGGGAAATCTTAAATACAGGTTATTTAACTTCTGAATATCTGGTAGCGCTACTTTATTTCTTATTCCAGTGTTCTGTTCTGCTGAAAAGCTTTCGGCCCCAGTCCTATGGGTGAGAAATAAAAATATGAAAAGCTGAAGTACCAACCTCAGTTCACACAGGAGTGTTGGCACAGGTGGTTTAAAATCCACTTAAACAAATCCAGAACCTTAAAAGGAAGATCACTTTGCTACTTCATAAATTAGAAAAACAAGAAAAGCAGATTGGGTTTGAGGGTTATTTCCCATATTACATGCTTGTGAAATTATTGTTATATGAAAAAGAATGAAATCTGACTTGTAAAATCCCTCTCGAACTTCAACAGCAAATTAGTCCTTAATTCTGAGTGACGCTAATTGCAGAATCGTAATAAATCTTTCCATCCTGTCTCAAGTGCAGTATTGTTTTGTTTTGGCCTTTTAAGAAGGTAAGTGTGTATCTCTAAAAGCAGAAAATTGAGATTCCTGTTATTCTTTACTAGGAGAATGAAGAGTCCAGGAACAGCTTGTTCTTTTAGCAATCTTTCTATATTTTAGAGAGGGAGAAATTCGAATGAATTGCATTTCTAGTTCAACCTATCTGTGTTAAAAGACATAATAGCTTTGGCTCAGTTCGATTAGATTTCAGTTTGGTAAGCTTTCTCACTAATATCAGTGAGCATTGAACAGAACGTTCACATTATTATTTTGATTAATGGCAGTCATATCAAGCGGCTAATGCCCAACTAGAGAGGGACATTTACAATCAAATGTTGTTTATAGCTGTTCGCATGAATCAAAACACACACTATCTTCTTTTTTGAAAGTTCATTTAGTCTTTGCAACAGTTTTATGTGCTTAACAATAATAGGAATAGCTTTTATTTTACAACCTAAAACGCAGATTCTGGGTGAACAAAAAGCTCTTCAGAAAGTGTTAGGGCGTATAAAATTCTGCTTGTGTATGTATCACAATTACCGTATCAGGGTGGGAATAACAATTTTATGTGCTGGGGATGAACATCTTTTCTTTACAAAGCATTTTCCAGAAAGCAGTGGGCAAGTATGTTTGTTTTTGAAGATACACATGCTGTTTCCTAAGCAATTCCTGCTTTTATGTAGCTTAGCAATAACTTTCACAAACTCTTGATTAGGAACAGTTGTCATTAAACAGATACTTCTCTTGGCTCTCTTTGCTATTTTTCATAGATAAATTTATCTTTGTTTGCTTTTTTTTTTTTTTTTTTCCTTCATAGAGCAGGGATTCTCATTCCTGGGTCTGGTGATTGCTCTGGGTATTTTACTAGTCATCGTGGTCCTGATTCTGATCACTCTGAGCTGCAGGAAGAGGATATGCAAGAGGACGCGTGGCGGTGAGTCGCGGCCAATGTTTTGAGCCATAGAACCATAATAAGGTCTTGTCAACAGAGAAGATTGAAACTGCTGAGATACCATTAAGGAGTGTGGGCTGTCATATTGCCAAAATTCATAATGTTTTAATGGTTATTAGAAGTTGACTCAGTTGCATGCAATTTCAAGAGCTGTTTTCCCACTGCTACTGCTAAGGGACAATGCAAGACTGCAAGTCAAGAGGGCAGGATGCAAGCAGAGCAGGATACACTGCCTTGCTGTGCCGTCTTGTGGAAGTCTCAGCAGAAGTAATTTGCTGGTCTTTCTTATTTTCATGGAAGGACAACAAAGGATTAACTGTAGGTCTGCTCATAGAGTTTTTCGTATGAGAACTGGTACACTGGTGAGAAAATTCAAGGAAGGGCTTTCTTCTGGTCACAGCATGCGTACGCATTTTAAGACACAATGTGATGCGATGGAGAAGTTAGCTCAAACTTGTCATGTGAGCCTGGTTCCTAATGCTGAATGAAGGAGAAACTGCAGGCAGTGCAATGTCCTTGTATGTGTGGTGACCCTATAATGGACCAGCTCAGCTCTCTTCGTTTTGCTATGAACAAAACAGAAAGGGAAAAATAATAGAGAGGAGGAGAAGACTTGAGTTTCAGATTTGATGGTCATTGCTAATTTTGTTTTTGCATGACAGGATAAGAATTATGTACCTGGCTTTAAATTCTACCATGATGTTTAGAAACACTGTCAGAAGCCAGTCCACATTGACTCAGTTCATTTCTGAATCTTCAGACACTTCATGATGATGTGATAATTTAAAGGGGTATTTCCAGAACATCAGACATGTCTAGACCTATGGCACTTAATATTAAGAGAGGGGAACCCAGTAGAGCTGCTTCTGCCAGGGACACAAAACTCTTCATTGAGAAGAAAGAGAAATTAATGCTTTTTAGACCCCAGATGTAACCAAATACTACTACTTCATAGTAGAAGGTGTTTGAGCTCTGTATCAGTCTTATAAAGAATTCAGAAGAGGAAATTCCATTTGAATTTTCAGACCAAACTGGAAGTTAAAGGACAAGGAGTTGGTTCTATAATTTGGTTCTGTTCTTAGGAAAACCCCTTCCAGACACCATTGAGCTTATACAAAGCAGGAGAGACCCTGAGGCAGGGGTGGCCTAGCAGAGGTCCATGATCACCCTCTGTAGTGGATCAGAGAGTGACAGGACATGGAGACCGCTATGCAGTGCGGGTGCTGCCTTGCAGAATATGTTACCACTTTGTTGCACACTAGATGAGGAGACACATGCTCACATTTTCTGGCTGCACTGGTGGCGCAAGCAGGAGCAAGGTCTGTCAGTGAAACATGGCTAGGTTGTGTTCAGACCAGGCTGAGGGTGTTAACATTCCTCCTGGCATGGTTTTGGTCCTTGGCTATTAACAGTTGTCCAGGCAGTTGCCTGCCTATGGTTCCAGTGATGACATGCCACGGGACCATCCCAGCAGTCAGGATGGCTAGCTTCACAGCAGGTTTCCTGTCCTCTGCACCATCCACTGTCTGTCAGACTTTGAACCGTCATGCCACCATATGCATCCTTGCACCACATAGCTGCCTGTGCAGGACACAACTTCTGGCTGCAGAGACACAAGTTGTGATGTGCAACAGCTTGAGCCTACACGTTATTTTGGAAACTTTGAACAGAACCCCCTCCACCCATTGTAAATAAAGAATAAGGCATAGAAAAGCATAGTATGTGTAAAATGAAGGCACTGTGCTTTTTCCTTAACTGCTTGTGGTGGTTTTACTCAGGTGGGCAGCTGAGCTCCACCACAACCGCTCTCCCACTCCCCCTCTCCTCAAAGAGGAAGGGGGAGAAAATACAACACAGAGAACTCGATGTTTGAGATGAGAAAGGTTTAATTAAAGGGAAAGGGAATGGGGAGGAAAAAAAGAAACAAAAGAAGCAATCAGTCCGTGCGGAAGCACAGAGAGAGAGGAAAAAAAAAATATTCTCTACTTCCCATCAGCGAGCGGTGTTTGGCCACGTCCTGGGAAGCAGGGCCTCAAAACACCTAGTGGTTGTTCAGGAGGAAAAGCCCCCTCCCCCACGAGAGCCCCCCCTTTTATTGCTGTGTGTGACATCAGGTGTTACGGAATATCCCTTTGGTTGGTTTAGGTCAGCTGCCCCAGCAATGACCCCTCCCCATCACTTGCCCACCCCCAGCCAGCTGGCTCTTGGGGGCTTGGAAGGAGTCCTGATGCTGTGCCAGCACTACGCAGCAACAGACACAACACTGGAGTGATATCAGTGCTGTTCCAGCTATGAGTGCACAGCACAGCACTGTGTGGGCTGCTGCAGGGAAAAGGTGACTCCAGCTCAGACAGACCCAACACACTGCTGGCTCCAAACTCTGAGCCATTAGAGAAGTGGATTCTCTCAGCCCGTGTAGCCAACAAGTCAGCATTAATGAGATTGTTAATACCTGGGGCAGAGGGGGAGAATTAGGTGAACAGAACTTAGCAATGGATGTAAGTTTGTTGTACTAGTGTTTATGAACAACAGCAAGATTTTAGGAACTTCAGTTGTTAAGTGTTCCTTCCCATTTACCATGGGTTTTGGTAATGCTGAGATGTGACTTCTATAGTAGGCTTTGTAGTCTTTGGGTGCCTGTTCTTTTAATGTACTGCACTGTATTCAGTGTCACCACTGCTAGCTGCCACACAGTAATGAGGAAGTCCCTTCCATATCCTTAACTCCCCTGTCAACAGTAAACTTTTGATCCTAGTCTGTTTTTGCAGTGACTTGTTTTTTTTCCTTGATCATCCTTGAAATCTGTTCTCTAAAGCGTAAAGATTCCCCCAGAAGAGAGTAACATCTTGGAGAAAGCTTGTGTCTTGTTTTATCCTCTGCTGTGCTCAGATTCTGTTAGAACAAGAAGCAGTGCCTACATGCACATACTTCTGCACGCACTTTTAAAAGCAGCCTAGCAGAGAGCTGATAGCACTCACTGGAGGATGCCAATGTCTCTCTGAGGCCATTGTCTGGGGTTTCAATACTTCTTTCATTCCGCACTAGACAGAAAACAAAGCATTTCCAGTTTTGTCCATTTTTTTTTTTTTAATTAAAATACAATTTTATTTTATTTTTTTTAAATCTGTGTGGCTGGGGAGCCTTCTCTGTCAAAGTTTCTCCTCCTCTGCTGCGAAGAATAGGGTTGTTGTTTTCTGCTTTGCTTTCATTTTTGTTTTCTCCCTTCTCCCTGTGGCAGACACTTGAGAATAGGATGAAGAGCTGAGGCTCCTTCCTTGGGCATTTGCTATAAGTACCAGTTACAGATCACATACATGTTTTAGTTCTCTACAAAAACAGCCCGAGTGTTGGGTTGGCTCTTGACAAAGCCTTTCAAGTTTGGCAAAAAGTCATTTATTTGGGAGCAAAAGGGGATGCAAAAACATTGGAAAGCTTGCATCTTCACCCTCTGCCAAGCACAGAGGCAAACCTGGCTGTGTTGTCACTTGATTAAGAGTGATGAGCAGGCTGTGATGAATCACCTTTCTGCAGATGTAACTACACCTATGCTAGGAGTTTGTCGGTGATACTTTCTGGAAAAAGTTGCACCTTTTCCTAACTGGTTCAGCTAATAGTGCTTCACTGTAGAGCATGCCAACGTCAAGCAGTCCAGTTAACAAGCCAGCTGGTTGTACCCAAGCAAAATAAAGGCTCTTAGTCGCAACAGATTTCTGTGGCTCACCTACCGCATACATGTCTCAACCTATATGCTTTCCTCAGCATCCGCTCATTTTTCTAAGACTTGAAGGACTGCTCATGTTTCAATCTGGCCATTTGAAGAGCTTTACAGTACGCTCTCAGGAGCTAGCAGCCTGCAGGGGGATTAAATTCCATGCAAAGTGTTCTCTGAAGGCTTGTGGTTTTCTGGAAGGAAAGTTTATTTCACAAATGGATACAGAGGCCAGCAACTTTTTTTTTTTCTTTTTCTTTTTTTTCCATCGGTATCCAAGTAAGAAACAAATTATCTACCTTGGGTGGCTTATGCATGTTTTGCTATGTGCAAAGCTTTAAAAACAGTCAAATAGTATATTTGTGTTTAAAACTTACAATATAGTGACAAAAAAAAAAAAAAGGGACTGTTTCTTCTTGGTTGGACTTGATGATCTTCAACGTCTTTTCCAACCTAAATGATCCTATGATTCCCATGACAATTTCTTGGAGCTTGTTATTGAATAGATATGATGTGACCTAAGGAGGACAATCAGATTAAGTGAATCTGGAAGACAAAATCTTGAAAAGTCAGAGAAGAAAAGACTGATAAAAAAATCTGTTCTCTAGAAAACTCCAACATGGCAATATGTTTGTCCAGTTTGAAAATCAGAACATTCAAGTTTTCCTTCATGTGGAACTTCTCCATTAAATTACTTATTTTATTAAGCATTAAAATCCTTGTTTCAAAATGTTTGTCAGAATACAGACAATGAGCTTTGGAGCTGACAAGGAACTGAACCTTGGTATACCTGGATTGTAACAAGAGTGCTATAAAACAATAAAAATCTCTGCATTTCCAGCTAGATATCACTTACTACTCTGAATAGGAATTTAAGGCTCCTTGATTATTATTTTTTTTTAATTCCTGAAGTTGCTGCAAATAATAGAGATCCAGCTCTCTTAAGCTGCAGATAACACTTCTGCTGATCAGCTGGAATATATAGGAAACAGAAAAAAAATAAATTTGGGGAGCACAAGATGTCCTGAAAGGCTAGAAAATATGGAAGTCACATGTGGTAGATTCCAGTTATTCAGGAAACTTTACAGGAACAAGAACCTGAACAAGCTTTCCATTGCCTTCTTCTTGTTTACAGTGAAGGTAAGGACTATTTCAGAAGAATCCTCTAGTGGTTATTCATTTTGAGGAAGGCTGTGTTTATCACTTTTGACTTATAAATTACACAAGTTCTTATTTGGTCTGTATAAGTGCTTGTTTCTTCAGTGGGCGTTCT